AGTCTTGATCTTGTCTACTCTAGGTAGTCCTGTACTCTTAGGCTTACTCTATATACTCTACTCTTGTCTCACTCTCTCTCTCTGTCTGTTTTACAAGTTCCAACTATGTTCTAGTACTTGTGTTCTGTATTTCTGTTGTATAGAATAGTTGTAACCTAGGTCCCCTTACTAAGCCTTCAGGTCCCCTCTATACTGTTGCTAACATAGTGCTTCTAATGTATTAGCTACTATTACAAGCTTAACTAATGATTGAGAAGACTAGTAAATTTCTACAATATTATTATAAAATAGTATTAAAAGTATAGATTTTAGTAAAGTAAATTTCATTCACTACTAAACTTCTACACACAATAAGTAAGACAATGACCTGTTAGTAGTACTCTACACTATAGTATAATTTACAGATACACTTACAGTATATACACTTACACACTATATTGTAAGAGAAAATTTTAACTGAAAATACAGACATATATTTACACACATATGTATATACTATAAGTAAAAAATTTCTGTATACACTGTATACAAGTATACAGTATTACTAAGCATATTCTCTAATTAAATACTAAGTTTGAGTTTCTAAACCTTATTTACTTTACTTATTTATATACCAAATCATTTTAATACTATATAACAACCTTGTTTAACTTAAAAAGTACTAGTATGAGTACTACAGTTAGTATAGTTACTATAGTACATTATATAAAGGTTTAGAGCTGTCATATAATATTAACTCACAACACTCAACTGTCTTATTTCTGTGTGTAAACAGTACTACAATACATTTTCTTAGCTTAGTAATATTAAGCATTTGTTTTGAAAGATAATAGTGTACTTTTATGAGCTATTTTAATGTAAAGTATCTTGTTATATTTGGCACAGTGTATATACTGTATATACTGTATACAGAAGTAGTGTATTGTATATGGGTCCTACTGACCCAGTTTACACCTGTAATTATACACATGTATGCATATATGTAGGAAATTTTACATGTATAAGCATATACACTACACACAGAGTACTACCTGTTAGTCTCTACTAGTATAATTGTTTGTACTTATTGAGTACTTTCCCTATACATTTTCTGTCTCAAATTACCCAACAGTTGCTCAAGTTTGTTTATTCTCTCCTGAATTTCTATCTGGCACTTCTCTAATTTGTTCATTTCACAATCTAATTCCTAATTTCTTGAATTCAAATTTGCAAGTCCTGCTTCAACTTTCCTTACTTTCTGTGCCTTCTCAACTGTAGCACCTGCTGCCAACTTCTCAATCTTCTCTGGTGTTAGGTTGTTGATTGGACTAATAAGCAGCTCAATACTGTCACAAAGTTTTTGGTATTCTACTATATTTCTATCTCCCTCCTCTTCAAGTCTCTGAATCCTGGCATCTATATTATTTGATTCTGTACATATACTAGAAAATTCCTTTACTAGCTTAGTGAGTTCTTTAACATCCTCCTCCTTTTCTATCCCTGGCAAATCACTAATTGACTTGCTTATAGTACTGTCTTAGTGTAACCAAGGGCCTGAGTGACCTCTAGTAGAGCTTGTATTGCTGTAATGTTTCTTGTAATGTTGACTGTCAGACATGGTTGACTGTATTTATGATTAATGCACAATAAGAGCTATGTAGAATGAGATACTCCTGGCTGCTGTTTTATTACACTAATTGAGGTGTAAGACAATTTTGTACAACCTTGTACAAGCAGGCCAGCATTGTGCAAGATAGACCTAGGCAAACTGAGCCTTCAATTGCAAAGTAAATACTTTAGATATTATATTATAATGGTATTTATCATCCAGAGGCTGAAACAAGATTACCTTATACTAAAGAGCAATTCTGAAGGGTAGACTCCCTAAAGTTTGCTTCAGGGTACAATCAGTAAACTATACTGTAATGCTGCAAATATAATAGAAGGTTGTAGCATCATAACCAGAGATGCAAATTACTTGATCTAGTAATACAAATGTAAAAAGTATAGTCCTGTAGATAACTATACATATTGGACTAAAAATAAGTAATTAAAGTTAATAGGATGCAGTGTATCTGTTACAAGAGCAGTTTTCAGCTGTATTGTAGCTGTGGAGACAGATGCCGACTTAGTGTGTCTCTTGATATCTGGAAAATCAAAGGCAAGCCTTCTTTGCTGATTGATTGAGCAATGTAAAGTTGTCATGAAACTACAGAAGAGACTGCTCCAAACAGACATTTTATTTGTCCTTGACTTACTGTACAAGGCATGTAGACCAACACAACTGTAAGGGCGAAGAATTAAACTAAGAGAAATGATTTCGCTAATTGACTCTCAAGGTTGCCAGGCTTTGTATGCACTTCTTATATCCTTGGAACTATTTTGCAAAACGATTAACTTATCAGAGATAGCGACTTCCTTTGCTTCATAACCAATTCCCAAAAGAAGAAGTTGTGCGGAAGAGTCACTTTGCTTATAGCTCTCATTGTAGATAGATTTCATTGCATGATCATTCAAGTCTGCTAAGCAGATGCCCCTCCAATCCGGAGAAACGCACGATCAAGGCCACCAAGATCAGACCTCCTCAAGTTCATGTGACTCTATCTCATGTCGAAGCAATATTGTAAGCAAGTCCAGTGATGATAGAGTAGGAGGGAGCGATAGGAAGGATGAGGTTTTGACGGACTTGATGACATGTGCAAAGAAATCGAAAGTTTAGAGAAGGAACTTGAACACATTTCTAAGGAGTATGAAAGCATAAAGGAGGAAGCTCAGAAGCTTGAAGGTAATACCCTTGTACAATTCGAAGGGTATGAGTCCTTCCCTGACATGGCAGCAGAGGAGTGTATAACAAAGCAGGAAGAGTATACACAGCGAAGAGAAGAACAGCGAAGGAGATTCGAGGATGTATTTCTTCGTTTGGAGGGAGCGGAGCAGAAAAAGATAGAATTGGACAAGCGAAAGATAGGAGCTATTCGGAAGACGACGGAATTGAAAAAGCGAGCAAGCAACCTGAGGGAGTAAATTCTGAGACAATATCAGTCAGAGGAAGGACAGTGACTCAGAAATTGATTAACTTGACCTGGGGAATCATACTACACGAGAGTGTGTGTATGGCTTGAACTATCCATTCATATGGATGAAAGCCCTAGGATTTTGGGCATTTTACATTCCTAGTCCTAGTATTCTGTAGCGATTGTGTCGCAGTTAGAGAACCAGTTGAGCGCGGAAACAGCGTTTGATAACACAAGTCTTGCATAGATGAGAATTCATGTGAATATTGGCGGATGGCCGAATTTATCGCACTTTGTATTTTATCGATGGGTTCTGAGATAGTAGTTGTATCAGCCTTGTACCCTTGCAGAAGTAAAGCTCGAACCATTGGATAAAGCGTCAGAATGTGGAGGGTGCTGGTTGACAGAGGTGGAGGGATTGTCTGTAACTTCAGCTTGGCACGAAGATACAGTCGTGGTAGGCAAAGCTATAGAGGAAGTTTAAAAGACACCACCATTATCAGAGACATTCTGGGGGATTGTTATTTTGGTCTATCGGCTCTATGATTCATCACAAAAAGCACAAAATACAGTGTCAATGAAAAGTACTATCAATTCACGTTTAAAAAGAGACGACGTACAAACGTCCCGCATCCTCTACGTCTCCTACACACCCCAAGCAGTAACCCAAATAATGTCTTCAAGACATACAGCTCAAGAACAGCAACAGCAACCAGCAACAAGTCAAAAGTTTCAATAGAAGCTAGAGATTCCAAGAGCTTGGCAAAGATTAGCGAGGTTGTATCAAATTTATCGTTCGTGCCACTTTGATGCTGGTCAAGAAGCGGAGTTGACACATCGGTGGCTTGCACAGGATAGACCGACGCGATCGGAGAAAGGGAAAGCTGTGAATAACCTTGCATATTGAAGGCCATCCTACTCTTGTACGAGGGGAGCTAGTTTGTACGCAGTACACGGACAGCAATAGATACGGGAATTTGTTGTTTGACTGAGCGATTCTAAGTACATCGAATCACGTGCATCGCGTCAAATTTCTATATTTCTCGGAAAAATCGCGAAGTTTCAATTGGATACATGTCTTCAACAACAGCGGCTACAGATTTCTAGTTAACGAGTCAAATAATACCCTTCACATAAAAGCTAATGAACAAATGAAAGCATGGTGGTCCATATGCATTGGTTTTATACATGTTGAAATTCTGAGGATAATGTCCGTTCGAGATTAAGATAATGAAGTAGAGTACGGAATGCCGTGCAATGGCGTAGACGAAAAACGTATGCATGGATCACAATCGAGATGGCACTGCGTAAGATGGTAAACCGTCAGTACATGAACATACACAGGATTGATGAATAGAGGATAGGGTCAGAATTGATAGGCAATATATTGTTATCCGCAGATCCACGAGATATGGATCGGTACAGGTCTGATGAAGGTTCATCATGCAGAGAGGGACGACGATCGACATATAGCAAGAATACTCACGCTCACGAGTCCAACGGATGTATTAAGCAGAAGTCGGCATAGGTGGTCGCATAGTCGGGGCAGGTGCGAATCGTCTCCCACCAATTGGCTGGCCGTAGAACCATCCTTCTTCCTGCGATGGCGAATCACTGTCCGATACGTCCGAATCAACGTCAGGATCGCCACAGTCCTCGACATATACACCAACGCCCGGTCCTTCCTCAGGTTCGATCAAGACCGAAACGCCCGCAGACCCGGGTCGCTCTTCGATCTCTTGTGAGAACTGAAGTCGGCACAGGGCAAAGATGAGATCCTCCGCGAGAGGTGTGTTGTTGGGAGGCTCTTCTCGGATTGGCTCCCAACCGACAGGAGGGGAGCCAGGTGGAGAGATCAGGAAGTTTCGTTCGACAGTGGGTGGTCTGAGATGGTACGGAGAAAATTTGGTCTTGGAGGTAGGGGAAGATGACCCGGAAAGAGGATGGATGGGGGTAGGGTCTGCTCGGTACACATGTAGAACAGTTTCTGGGCTACGAGCAACTTAAGTAACCAGTCTAACAACAAAGAAATATAAGCAAACCGTACCTCGCAGAAGTAGCCTCTAGTCTGACACCGTTCGCTCCCGCTTTCGCATTCTCTGCGTCATCCTCACTATAGTAAACAAGGATGACACGCGCGAAAGAACGAATAGGAGCCCATGCATATATCTCGCCGAATGAGGCGAAATAACTGCGCAAGGCGTCAAGCACAGTGGGGTGGAAGAACGCAACGGGTAGGCTTGCGACGACAAGAGAGTTTGTACGTGATGAAGTCGATGCCGATGTCGAGAGGGGTGGCGTCGACGGGACAGAAATGACTGGACTTGAAGTCTCAAATGTCATTGTGAATAGAGACGAGCGTTGTTGTCGTAGTAAGTGGATGAGCAGTGCAGAAAAAGTGAAGAGAGGGTTGACAGAATCAGACAGATATATATACTATTATATAATACTTGCTGACAACGCCTTCTCTGTGCGGCTCAGCGCACAAACACAGCCACAAACCGATTCAGCTCTCACCAAGGCGATACAGGCATACACGCAACACAAATCAGTCCGACTCTATTATTGCCTCCAGTCTTCTTTTCACCGCACATACCCCTGCACAGTTATGCACAGTGCGAATCAAAGTGAAATAGCCTCGTTCATGCCATTTGATTTGTCAGGCCACGTCGGACTTTCCTTCGTTCATTGTTTGACCGTTCCCGCCGCGCGGAAGTCAACGCGCAGTTGGCAGCTGTGCTATGCCCCTGATAGTAGAAGGTCAAGCAATTCAAAGCACCGCTACAGGTCTGGTCTCTTAGTCTTGGTTGGTGTCGTGTCAATGTCGTATCCTGATGCGCGTAACTTGCGCATTGTCACTATGCTGCGATCCTCGGGCGCTCGTATACTTGCATTTACCGAAATGGCTTGTACCAGTCATACACATCAAGGAACCTTGTACAAGGCTGATACAACTACTATCTCAGAACCCATCGATAAAATACGAAGTGCGATAGATTCGGCCATCTGCCAATATTCACATGAATTCTCATCTATGCAAGACTTGTGTCATCAAACACCGTTTCTGCGTTCAAGTGGTTCTTTAACTGCGACACAATCGCTACAGAATAATAGGACTAGGAATGTAAAATGCCTGATATCCTAGGGGTTTCATCCATGTGAATGGACTAGTCCCAGCCATACACACTCTCTCTTGTAGTATGATTCGCCCAGGTTACAAGTCAATCAATGTGTGAGTCACTGTCCTTCCTCTGATATTGCCACAGAATTGTTTCCCTCAGGTTGCTTGCCCGCATTTTCAATTCCGTCGTCTTCCGAATAGCTCCTATCTTTCGCTTGTCCAATTCTATCTTTTTCTGCTCCGCTTCCTCCAGACGAAGAAATACATCCTCGAATCTCCTTCGCTGTTCTTCTCTTCGCTGTGTATACTCTTCCTGCTTTGTTATACACTCCTCTGCTGCCATGTCAGGGAAGGACTCATACCCTTCGAATTGTACAAAGGTATTACCTTCAAGCTTCTGAGCTTCCTCCTTTATGCTTCCATACTCCTTGGAAATGTGTTCAAGTTCCTTCTCTAAACTTTCGATTTCTTTGCACATGTCATCAAGTCCGTCAACCTCATCCTTCCTATCGCTCCCTCCTACTCTATCATCACTGGACTCGCTTACAATATTGCTTCGACATGAGATAGAGTCACACGAACTGGGGGATGTCTGATCTTGGTGGCCTTGATCGTGCGTTTCTCCGGATTGGAGGGGCATCTGCTTAGCAGGCCTGAATGATCATGCAGTGAAATCCATCTACAATGAGAGCTATATGCAAAGTGACTCTTCCGCACAACGTCTTCTTTGGTTATGAAGCGAAGGAAGTCGCCATCACTGATAAGTAAATCGCGTTGCAAAACAGTTCCAAGCATATAAGAAGTGCATACAAAGCCTGGAAACCTCGAAAGGTAATTGGCGAAATCATTTCTCTTAGTTTAATTCTTCGCCCTTACAGTCGTGTTGGTCTACATGCCTTGTACAGTAGGTCATGCACAAATACTACAATGTCTGTTTGGAGTAGTCTCTTCTGTACTTTTAAGACACCTTTACTTTGTTCAATGACCCAGCAAAGAAGGCTTGCCTTTGATGTTACCGGTATCGAGAGACGCGACAAAGTCAGCATTTGTATTCGCAGCTATAATGGGGCTGACAAACTGCTCTTAGAACGGTTAAACAGCTTCCTATTGACTTCAATAGTGTATTCTTTGTCCAAATATGTATAGTCATGTACAGGACTGTACTTTTACATTTGTATTACTAGATCAAGTAATTTGCGTCTCTGGTTATGACTCTATAACCTTCTATTATATTTGCAGCATTACAGTATGGTTTACCGGTTGTACCCAGAAGCAAACTTTGCTTCCCAACCCTGGAAAGTCTACCCTTCAAAATTGCTCTTTAGTATAAGGTAATCTTGTTTCAATCTCTGGACAATAAATGACATTATAATATAATACCTAAAGTATTTACTTTGCGATGGAAGGCTCAGCTTGCTTTTGTCTACCTTGCACAACGCCGGCCTTTTTGTATGAGGTCGTACAAAATTATCTTACGCTGCAATTAGTGTAATAAAACAGCAGCCAGGAGCAACTCATAGACTCATTCCACATAGCTCTCATTGTGCATCAATCATACATACAGTCAACCATGTCTAACAGTCAACATCCCAAGAAACATCACGGCAATACAAGCTCTACTGGAGGTCACTCAGGCCCTAGGTCGCGCCAAGACAGTACTACAAGCAAGTCGATTAGTGATTTGCCGGGGAAAGCAAACGAGGAGGAAGTTAAAGAACTCACCAAGCTAGCAAAGGAATTTTCTGGTATATGCACGGAATCGGATAATATAGATGCCAGGATTCAGAGACTTGAAGAGGAGGGAGATAGAAATATAGCAGAATACCAAAAACTTTGTGACAGTATTGAGCCGCTTATTGGTCCAATTAACAACCTAACACTGGAGAAGATTGAGAAGTTGGCAACAGATGCTACAGTTGAGAAGGCACGGAAAGTAAGGAAAGTTGAAGCAGGGTTTGCAAATTTGAATTCAAGGAATCGGGAATTAGATTGTGAAATGAACAAATTGAAGAAGTGCTGGATAGAAATTCAGGAGAGAATAAACAAATTTGAACAACAACTGAACAAATTGAGACAGAATATGTATAGAGATAGTACTCAATAATTACAAACAGTTATACCAGTAGAGACTAACAGGTCATTGTCTTGCTTATTGTGTGTAGCAGTTTAGTAATATATTAACATTACTTTACTAAAATCTATACTTTCAATACTATTTCCTAACAATATTGTAGAAATTCACTAGTCCTCTCAATCATTAGTTGAGCTTGTAATAGTGGCTAACACACTCAAAGCACTGCTATAACTGTAATACATTGAATACAATTGGTCAGGTCCAAAATTAGTATAGACTTCTAAAATATTTGTATTCTATACTATAATTCTCAGTTTAGCTGTCTATTCTATTATATTTTAGGTGATTTCAGGTGGAAGCAATTAGTAAAAGATAAATAGGTTAATGTCTTTCTGGTTTATGTCTCTAGAAAGAAATACTAAAGTATTAGACTTTATAACAAGTAAATAACTAATAATTTAGAAAGCTATTAACTAGTACTTGCTTACACTAGTTTATTCTACTTCTTTAAGATATTCATTTGTTTTACTAGCTAGACTGAACAATCAGTTGTACCATTTTTAGTCTTTTTGTCTCTAAGGATTATCTATAGTACTTTACTAGATATTTGAATTATTTGTGAGTCAATATTCTAGATTCTTTCCTTTAACTCATCTTACTCCTGTATAGTTTCTGTATCTTCTTTCTTAGTCTCCTTACTTACTATACTGTCTTAATGTGAGGAATAGAAAGGACTATTATTGTGTCTCTGTGAATAAGTATAATACATGTTTTTAGACTAACTTAAGTTTTGTTTCTTAAACATAATATAAAGAAGTTATAAACAATAAGGACTATATATACTCAAAATCCTCTCTGTAAGACTTTATAGCTTGATTGTATAGTAAATTACATTTATCAAGATTGTAAGCCTTATAGTATAATAAGTAGCCAGTTTAGTATAAATAAGATTATAATACAAACAATCTACTTTACTGTTTAAAAGATAACTAACTAAGTATATCTTATTATTAACAGCTCTAATTGTACATAAATCTTATAATCAGTCAAAAATACTATTATAACAACTAAACTTTTAGTAAATCCAGAGAAATACTGTATTATACTTATAATTATTAGTATTCTCTAGGTTATACTAAGTAAGTACTGTAAAGAATCTAAATTTTTATAAACAGGAGGATAAAAGTAGAAGGTAAAAGTATAAACAGGGAAATAGTTTAGTAATTAGTACTATAGTAGTCTAGAGAAGGAAACTAGAAGGTTTATAAAGAAAGTTAGGAATTTTACTAAACAATTTAAAGAAACATATTAAAACATAATTGTGACTTAATTACAGGACTTAGTAAGGAGAATTAGCAAAAGGAGAATTTGAATATAAGAAGTAAGAAATTGAATAAGTATCACAGGTAAAGTAGGTCCTTCATGTAATGTTCTATTATAGTACTATGTACAACACAGAAGTAGTAATATTCAACTTACTTATAAATACAAATATAAGTTTTAGTAATAGTAAAGTATTACTTCTCTAAAATTCTTTCAAACAACTTTACTAGTGTTTACTAGGGATCCTTGTATACCTTTCACTCTACTAGAAAGGATGACTGATACACACTTACTGTCAGGCCTTAATGTATTATATATCTGAAAGGATATCAAGTTAGAGAATCTAACACTATTTATTACAAAAAGTCTACTATACATGAAACAATAGATTTGCTACTCAAATTTTAATTAGTCTATGTTGTGTTAAAGATCTAATAAGTGAACATGTTAGAAGTATTCTGTGTAGTGTATTTCTACAGATACAAGGAAGTCATTAGAAATACAGTAAACATTAGCAAACATCCCAAAATACATTGATATACTTTGCTAGCACATACACCTTAGAGAAATTGAACACTAATTTGTACTTGTAAGATCATCTACATTTTCAAGTTTATACATGTTATGTGTACTCTAGTAATATGTTAAATTTCCCTTTCTCAGCAAGGTTCTATCTATCCTTCTTTTGTATATTGTGAAGAGGAGTAGTAACTAGTCAGTCTTATAATCTTATATCAGCTCTCATTGCTTTCTGGAAAATCAACCCAAACCTCAGCTTCTTGTTTTATCAGCCTCTACTGTCTTGTTATCAATGGACGCTTCTTGCCTCTTCCATAGCTTTTTCAATGTTGGAAAGGCTCTTCTGTATTCCTTTCTCTCTCTCTAGCAGTTCCTGTATGTGTGCCTGCAATCGTCTGCTCTGCTTTTGTAATTCCTGACTTTCATAAATATCCTGTAGTCCCCTGTCTGCACCACGCTCTGCTGGGCTTCGGTATACGAATTTACCCTCAGAGTTGGGAAGGGATGCCTTGATAGTTTCTGCAATATTCCGAAGAAGCTTCCTTTCATTTGCTTGGAGCTTCTCTTGTATATCAGTATACTCTTTCTTGGTTTCTTCCAATTCACTGTTTATGCTTTTTTGTTCAATCACTAATTTCTCTAGTTCTGTGGCCACTGCATTCCCCTCCTTTGGGTGTTTCTTATTTTTCTCGCTTGCAGAACTGTCTCGACGTGTCCCGCGTTCCCCAGCCTGGGCAGAACTGTTCTGGCGTGAACGCTGATGTGTATTATGTGTATCCTTGTGCTGACCTGGGACCCGTTTTTCGGACATGATAGAAAGATCTATGCACAATGTAAGTAATATATATTAAAGTACCTTCCTCCAGCCAGATTTTATACGTTGTTTACATGGCAAAGTACCTCATTGGGACTTTGGGGCTTGTAATGTATCAAGCAACCACTTTGGCAGGAAACCATAATACAGTGCAATATAGAGATTACGGCATATGAGTCTGATTGCAATAGTATACTACTCTTGATGCAAGGGCACCTAAAAGTAGATTCAAGATCAGAAGTATTGCATGCAAAATAAAAATTCCCAAGCAGCTTAGCGTGAAAAGACGACTACCTTCAGTACACACTATTGTCAGTCGGACCTTAGTCGACTATTATGAAGCATACTACGTAAATGGAGAGGAAAACAACAGGTGGTGCTGTCATTCCTGGAATGCAATAGAAGGACTGGACTGGTGTTCATGCTGTTAAGCATCGATTAGCCTGGGCCCTGATCTATCAAGCTGCAAGCGTGCAAAGTGAAGGAAGCAGTGCCCAGGAGACTTTATCCATTGGTACATTTCGGGTTAGAGAAATCGCATAAGGGCGTGAATAGTTAGTTTAGATATTAGACCAAAGTGTAGCCAAGTATTTTATCCAGTTGCACGTCAAGCAGACGTTCAATGGCGCCGGAGCCGTAGAAGGGACAGATCGACATGCCCAATAAAGCTGCGGAGTATGAAATCCGGTCACGCTGATGCTGTGGTCGACCGTCGTACTCGTCGTTGTTGGCAGAGTGCCTCTCTTTGCGTGCGTCCGTCATGTCGACAGCAGCTTTGCCCCCTGTTTCTGACTTTTCGCCTGTGAACGTCTCGAGTAAGAGGAAGAGGTATGCCCTTTCTTCCCCTTTGCTTCTGCAGCGTGGCTTCTGACACGCTATCCTACCAGGTCACGCTCACGGTCTCCAGTACAGGATGCGTCTCCTCCGCCTGCAAACCGCCGCAGGTCTGCGTCACCTCCTGCAGCTCGTGTGAGGGCAGAGCTTCCGCGTGTCGATGATGTTGATCCAGTTCGGCGCAGAGAACGCGAACGCCAATTGGCGCTAAAGATGGCCGAGGACGAACTAAATGGAAAGGATAAAGAGAAGGAAAAGGAAAAGCCTGCATACGATGCTGCGGCGGAATTTGCCAAACTCGTTTCATCTCGTTCGGGGGGCGTGTATATTCCTCCGTCGCGTCTTCGCGCACTGCAGGCTGAGGCGGCGAAGGACAAGTCGGGTGCGGAATATCAACGACTTTCATGGGATGCGCTGCGCAAGTCGATCACGGGTATTGTCAACAGAGTAAACATCTCGAACATCAAAGATATTGTACCGGAGCTGTTCTCTGAAAACCTCATTCGTGGACGTGGTCTGTTCTGTCGTAGTATCGTGAAAGCGCAGGCATCCAGTTTGCCATTCACTCCTGTGTTTGCAGCGCTTGTCGCTATCATCAACACGAAGCTGCCTCAGATCGGAGAATTACTTCTGACTCGACTCATTAGTCAATTCAGAAGAGCATTCAAGCGAAATGACAAGGTATCTTTATCTTTGGCTCCAACGTAGGAGCATTACTTAATCATAGCTCATCCACAGATCCTGTGTAACTCGACCACCACTTTCATCGCCCACCTCGTCAATCAAGCTGTTGCGCACGAGATCATCGCTCTGCAAATTTTGGTTTTACTCCTTGAACGACCAACGGACGACTCAATTGAGATCGCAGTTGGGTTCATGCGCGAAGTGGGTGCCTACCTTGCGGAGAACTCGCCTAAAGCAAACGCATCGGTTTACGAACGCTTTCGGGCGGTGCTAAATGAAGGCACCATCTCGCAACGTGTACAGTATATGATTGAAGTGTTGATGCAAGTACGAAAAGACAAGTACAAGGATAACCCAATTGTCCCAGAAGGCTTGGACCTCGTTTTGGAAGAAGAGCAGATTACTCATCAAATTGGGCTTGATGACGAGTTACAGGTGCAAGAAGGCTTGAGTATGTATCTTAGCTTAGGTTCTCGCCCTTCCAAGTTCTCTTACGTTTTTTTCTTTGTAGATATCTTCAAGTTTGATCCAAACTACCTTGAAAATGAGGAGAAATATAAGGAGATTAAGGCTGAGATTCTCGGAGAAGATTCCGATGAGGAGGGATCGGAGGATGATAGCGAAGAAGAGAGTGACGAAGAGGAAGGTGTGTATGCAGGCTTTCTCTTGTGATGCCATGTTGACAATTTCCCCTAGCCGTGGAAGAAAAAGAGGGTATTGAGGATCAAACCTCTACAAATCTTGTCAACCTTCGCCGAACGATCTACTTGACAATTATGAACGCACTTAACTACGAAGAAGCCGTTCACAAATTGCTCAAAGTCCAGATTAATGAAGGCGAGGAGGTAAGTTAACCAATACCTAACCTATCTTCGCGTTTGGCTTACGTGTGTTGGACAGATCGAGTTGATGAAAATGGTGATTGAATGTTGCTCACAAGAGCGGTCGTATTCAAAGTTTTATGGTCTTATTGGAGAGCGCTTCAGCAAACTGAATCGCGTATGGATGGATGCACTCGAGCAAGCCTTCCGTGACTACTACGATACAATCCATCGTTACGAAACCAACCGTCTCCGCAACATCGCTCGGTTCTTTGGGCACATTCTTGCTACCGATGCGATCTCGTGGGCAGCGCTCGATGTCATCAAAATGAATGAGGACGACACGACTAGCAGTAGCCGTATCTTTGTGAAAATTATGTTCCAGGAGATAGTTGAGGCGATGGGCATCAAAACTGTTGCGGAACGATTCAAAGACCCCGAAGTGAAGAGATTCTGCGAGGGCATGTTCCCTATGGACAACCCTAAGAACACACGTTTCTCTATCAATTATTTTACGAGTATCGGGTTGGGTGTTGTTACAGAAGAGATGCGTGAACACCTAAAGGTACGTTAACCCTTATAATTCCCAGATTGGATTTAAAGTTAATTGTCTACTTATAGAATGCCCCTCGCCTCATTATGGAACAGAGACGGGCACTCATGGAGGAATCGTCGTCGTCAGACTCGGATTCCGACCCTACGTCTTCGGAGAGCGACTCGGATTCGGACTCGGATTCAGACTCGGACTCAGGTTCGGATTCAGCTGAATCGGCGGGTAGCAAGTCTCGAGGCAATGTGAGACGCCGTCGTGCACCGTCAAGCTCGGTCTCGCGCTCTCCCCGCCGCAGACGTTCCTTGACGCCACCAAGGCGTGAGCGAGGCAGGTACGACTCACCGTCTCGTTCGAGGTCTCGCACTCCACCTCGTCGTTATCGAGAGCGTTCCGACTCGCGTTCGCGTTCACCGCCTCCACGTCGTCCACGCGGCCGATCCGACTCACGTCCTCCACCTCCACCCGCCTCCAGAGGCGCGCCTGAACGCGAAAGGTACCGTGACCGCGAACCTGTACGTTCTACGCGGGATTACTCTCCTGACGGACGGTACAGAGAGCGTTCACCACCTCCACCTAGAGACTTTGCTCAGATTGCTCGACGAAGGGAGCATTCCCCACCACCTCCCGCAAGGTATGACGATCGTGACCGTGGTTTCGAGCGGAATGGATATGGTCGACGAGGTGGGCGGGACGACTCCCCTTCGCCAGATCCTCGTAAATACGGACGAGGCCGTAGTCGATCTGAATCTCGTTCTCCACCTCCACCGCCGCGGCGTCGCTCACTTATCCCAGACGACAGAGGCCTTGGAAAGGGCAGGGACGAAGGAAGGTACAAAACTCGCGGAAGATCACCATCATCATCGTACTCCCCTCCACCGCGTCGTCGTTCACCCGGAGATGGTAAATTGCGCGATCGCGACAGGTCGCCACCGAGACGTCCTATGAGAGATAGGTCTGATTCTGAGGGCAGGTACAGGGAGGCGGACAGACGCAGAAGGTAACTGAGGGATTGAATTACCTTCTAAAATACGAGAATATTTCCGGCGTACGAGTAACGTTTGATTCCGCTGGTATACGAATCCTCATCTCACATTTGCATGTTGACCACTATCCCTATGTATCCCTTATACTAAAAAAATTATATTCGATAATTTAAACAAAACACAAAATCGTTTACGTGTGATGTCGAGTTTGGGCGTTTTCGAGACGATGGATACAATATTTGAACTCTTGGATGCGTAGGAGAGAAAAAAAAGAGGTTGCAGTGTCTCAAATGCATCATACGGGATTCGAACCCATGTCGAAGCCTAACGGATTGGGAGAGTTTAATTTCCCTGCCTGGGAAGACTCCATGCTAACCACTACACCAATGATGCTTCTAGTGTGAAGATGATCTTCATACTACATACTCTGATTGGCCTTTTTCCGGATACAAGAAATGATTGACAATTCACAATTCACTCTACGCATACTTCTACTTTAGATTCATACAGATTTCGTGGATGTCAGAATGGGTAGCACAAAGTTTTATTCGACTGGAACATCGCGTAGGTATCCAGAAGGAAAGCAAGAAATATAGTACTTGATACACAAGGTTACAAGACAAGAACAAAACAAAACAAGGGTCCAGAATTTAGCACAGATAAAATTCAAGAAAGTCCGTAACCATAATACTAACAGCATAACACCATCCATCTCTTACTTTCCTTCCATCAGTGTCATAAACTTATCAAGTAGTATCTACATGATAGAACCACGGACACAAAAAAAACGCATCTTCGTCATTGGGATCCTATAACCCAAAAGCAAGAAGCAAACAACTCGACGCTAACGAGGCTAACCAAACAGCAAGAGACGAAGGGATATACGCAGAGGGTAAAGCAGCTGAAGATCCAGGGACGGGTATAAAGTGTTTGGAATCTTGTTCTTGTTGTTCTTCCGATTGCTATTTAGGGTCGAAATGATTAGTTAATTGGATTTTATAATGAGAATAGAAAGATGAAAGATGGGAGGTGGGAGATGGGAGTGAGGGAGGAGGGAGGAGCAAGACGTACTTTAAATGCAACGAGTCCTACGATGATACCTGCTGCGAAGAAGCAGAAGGCGATGATGAGCCAGAGGACACCCCATACTAAGAGAAATTAATCGAATCAATAACGATTCACTTTGAAAAATAGAAATAAACGAACCCTGAGAAGGACAGCATCCGCAAACGTGTGCGAAAGCAGAGGCGTCCGAAGAGTTGACTTTCCGCGCTATAGTGTCGTCTGAAATTACCGTGTGAGTATACCATTGGAGACGGAGTTGCGATATGAGAAAAGAACATACCGATGACATCCCAGAGCACGTACATGCAGGACATGACGCCGATGAAGAGTACCTATTGCCACTTTCAGAACGCAATGTCTTCGCAAACGAAGCGTAAAATCCCTTACCAGGAATCTAAGCGCCACTCCTCCTTTAATGAACCAAAAGGCAACAATGAGAGCCGACATCCCAAAAACCAATGCCCAGGTCCTATTCACAGTCCAATTAACCACCTTCAAGACAAGACCAAGCCAAGGAAAGGAAAAAGATAGACGTACAACAAGTTTCTCCTCGCCCACCAAAGTGTAAATATAAAGAACACAGCAAGGACGAGACTCGCGACTTTGCTTGCATTGATGTTGAACCCGCAAGTGATGAGGCATGCACCGATGAAAGAAGAGCCGAGGTATCCTGCGGGAAGGGTAATGACTGGTACACCTCCTGACATGCGTGTTGCTCCTCCTTCATCAGCTGTATTTCCATCATCAATTAGTCGAATCTTGAAATTAGAGGGAAAAGGAAGTACGTACGGTCTAGCTCGACGGATTCAATATGCGCGCAGGTCAGAACACCCGCGAAGGCATGGCTCATCTCGTGGAAGCCGACCGTTAACAGCCTAGAATACTGATTAGATCGAGCTTAAGAGGACATTAATGAAAGGACGCACTTGAAGGGATAGACTGCCAAATAAGAAGTTCATTTCATCAGTATAAACCCTACGACCGAACCTTGCTTAAAGCACATGTACGTACTTATCCAGCTGAGAATGGGGACGTGCCTGTAGAGTTCCTGTCAGACATCTCTCCTCCTCGAAGATATTTTAGAACGCTCACCATAAAATGGCGATAGCAACAATATAACATGCCGCAACAATCAAGGTAGTCCGCTGTGTAGCAGTAGGAGTCAACTGGGACCTGGCATCTCTAGGATAGAGCTGGACAAAGTCGCGTGCGCTGAGTTGTGTGACTTCGTCGAGGTACGGCATCTAGGGACAGATGAGAATCAAGGAGAAAGGAAGAGGTGATGAGAGCAGGAGTTTAAGAGGAGGCGTGCACTGAGGAACCGGGTCCGCCGCAGCCAAAGAGGACAGCCTTGGCACACAAATAATAAAAATGTCCTTCCATATCGGGAGTTATGCGGATCACTGCCTCACTCTTCGATTCCGCTGTATACGCTTGGCTGCTTGCCTTCGTCCTTCATCGTTGGAGTGCATAGAGCCCATGACCGTGCCGACAATAATGACGACACGCCGACGTGCTGCCTGCCCCGGAGAGCAGACTGAAGCCGGAGGCAAACTCTACCATTTTCATGTAGTCTAATAAAGCAATTTCCTGAATTAGCTGTCCAATCATCGAGCACTGCCCGTGCGAGGCACAGCCGAGCTAATTTCACATCCGCCTCGTAGGACTGTAGCCTGCTACAATGCTGCCCCTCTTTCACTCTGCTGTGTGTGCTTGGCTGCTTGCTTTCGTTCTGTGTCGTCGGATCGCATACGCACAGTCCATGGGTCGTGTTGACAACAATAACGATACATCGACATGCTACCCCCGCAGAAAGCAAACTGATACCAGAGGCAATCTCTGTATCATTTCATGTGATCTAATAAAGCAATTACTCTTCCGAAGTTTCTGTCCATCATCAAGCACCACCCACGCATCAGCTCAGTCGAGCTCATCACCAGCCTTTATGTAGGTGACTGTACCCCACAGCACATCAAGTCTCTCTCTCTTGCATCCATCCACAACCGCTGTTCTGCTGCAGACAGGAGCCTCGGCATCCTTCTCTTCCGTCGGCTTGACTGTGCCAGAACACTGCAATGGGTCAGTCTCCCAGCACTCAAGTGCTTGACTATTCGTCATATGACCCGTCTGAGTCATGTCAGGTGTGCAATAAACCAATGCCAAGCGACAGGCTTGTAGCAGTATGTCCTGTGTTATGCATTTACCTTTCCAGCTCTTTTAGTCGAATGCTGAAAAAGAAATGACGTTTCTTAGCATTGGCTACTTGCTGAATGTCACCGGAACGTCCGCAGTGCTTCAGATATCCATCAAACGACCGACAGACCTGAGTCATGGTGTGCATTTTGTCGAACGCGCTTTACACATTCGGATAGGAAACAGAAGGTATTTTTTTTTTCTCTGGATAAGTTTACGTCGTGTGGAATCACTGATTTATCTTTTTCTTTTCCTTTTTGTAGCACATGGAAGAAATGAACGCGCACAATATGCGTTATTGCGAACTACAGTCACAGGCATTGTGTGATCCGTATTTTGACCGAACAATACTTGAAGTTCCTCGGATTACACCTTCATCTGCACCTCCTCTACCCTCACGGAACACACCGCAAAATCATAGTCTCCGCGCAACGTCGATGTACTCCACTCGTGTCCCTAATCCCACGCCTCACCCGTCTAAACCGTGTCAGGTGTGCAACAAACCTATGCGAAGCGAGAGGCTCATAGCTGTATGTCCTGCCTTATATATTTGCCTTTCCAACTTTATAGTCAAATGCTGAAAAATAAATTTCCTTAGCATTGGTTACTCGCCGAATGTCATCGAAACGTCCGCAGTGCCTCAGATTTGCATGAAACGACCGACAGACCTGAGTTATGGTGTGCATCATGTCGAACGCGCTTTACACATTCGAATAGTAAGCGGAAGGTATTTTTTTTCTCCGGATAAGTTTACGTCGCATGAAAATAATCTTTTATGTTTCTTTTCTGTAGCACATGGAAGAGATGAACACGCACAATATGCATTATCGCGAATTACAGTCACAGGCATTTCGTGATCCGAATTTCGATCGGTCAATACTTGAAGTTCCTCGGGTTAAGTGTAGTGCGTCACCTCCTGCTTCGCAAAATCATAGAAATATCATGGTCAATGGTGGAGAGGAGAGCATACCTTATTGTATGCCTTGTGATCGATATTTCTCAACAGAGGGCGATCTAGTCCAGGTAAGCCATGCTCATACTTTGTATATTACCCGTCCTATCTTGGTTCACGGTCTATTTCTTACTATAATTCAATTTTATAAAGCACGAATCCGAAGGCCGTTGTGGTAGTACAAACGAAGACGATCTACCGGACCCACACGAGGACTTTACAACCCCAACACTACAACTTCCCAATCCACCGCTTACGATGCATGCAACTCGATCTATGCCTTCCCTCCCTGTACCTTCTCCTGTCGTACCTCCTGTTCCCGCTCTTCCTGCATCCATCCCTGACTTTGGTCCAGCCACCAGCACTGCACCGTCACGCCCATCCTCGCCTCCTCCACCGTCATACGATGAAACCATTTTCCGGATTTTCACTGCGATTGAATCCCTGCAAGCGCCTGATCCACACCATTCACTTGCTCCTGCACCAGTCGGGCAAGAACAGAATTCGGGAAGAAGCACCAGTTCTAGAGAGGTTACAATACCGACCATGCCGGCAGTCCCCACTCAACCAACACTCGAATGTTCATTGTGCCTCAAACGGGAAGATAATCTCAGTTCTCTTGCGTGCGGGCATATCTTCGGGACAGTGTACGTCATATCTTCTCTCCTCCCTCACTCACCTTGTACAATGCATTCGCTCTGACATGGATATTTCCGCTTCATATTGTAGATGCATCCGCGAGGCCCTACAAGACGACTCGCATTGTCCTTCATGCCGAAACGAAGCTTCAATAAAGGACCTTCGGAGGGTCCTCCTCACTTGACTCTTCCTTATCTCTGTCCCTATCCATCCTTTTCTCGTTTATTTGTGACACTTTAAGCTGTCATGCTCATGTAGTGGGACTCGGGACTCAACGACTCAACAAACATCTGTACAACTCACTACACATTTGTTTATTCGTTATCTTGCAGCAACGTCTGTAAATAGTGACATGCTACTGGACGGAAGTATTATGTAGGATTCTACTTTTGTGTCGTTCTATAGAGATATACCAGTGTCATTCGCAATATATACAACATCTGCTTTATCCTTTACAGCTGTGGCACACAAAATAAGTAAATAAACACCCACTTCCATATCGGGGATTGTGCGGATCACTGCCTCTCTCTTTCCTTCCTCTATTTACGCTTGGCTGCTTGCCTTCGTCCTTCATCCTCGGAGTGCATACATACAATCCATAGTCGTGCCAACGACAATGACGACACACTGACGTACTGACCCCTGGAAAACAGACTGAAGCTGGAGGCAAACTTTGTACCTTTTTATGTGATCTAATAAAGCAATTATCCGAACCTACCATCATCAAGCACCGCCCACGGTCGCACAGCCGAGCTCATTTCCGGCCTCTATGTAGGTGACTGTACCCCGCCGCACGTTAACTCTTTCTCCCTCTCACCCATCCGCAACTGCTGTTCTGCTGCGGCCAGCAGCCTCGGTGTCCTTTTCCTCCACACGCTTAACTGTGCTAGAACACTGCAATGGGCCAGTCGCCCAGTATTCAAACGCTTGACTACTCGGCATATGACCAGAAACCGCGGCAAAGGACTGGTCACTATAACCGCTCTCCTTCCTGTTCTACCCGAACGTCAAGAGCTATTGATGTTGGAGACATAGGTCTTCTCACCAGCGCACAGACGCTTCGGGTCAGTGTTTGCTCAGTAGAGTACACTTGTTTAACTATTGGTGGGATGACTAATTATGTCCGTGGATTGCTAGGATCCTCAACATAGAAGTCGTGATGTCCGCTCGCGTATGCGTCATGAAGAGAACGACAGCGACTATGCGTTCTTCTGTATGTTTTGCGATCGGTCTTTCGGTAGCAACCTCGAGCTGGAACAAGTTCGTATCCTTCTAAAATAGCAGTTCGCACGCATTTTGACATGTCTTACGCCAACTCGTTTAGCATCTTTTGGTACACGATCCTGCATATCCATTCATAAACGAAACCACTCCAAGACCGAACAGACTTCGCGCAGCTTCAATGTACTCTGCACGTGTCCGCAACCACACACCTCAGTCAACCGAACCATGTCGTGTATGCAATAAAGCTTTAACGCGCGAGAGACTTTTAGCTGTATGTTTAGTCCTTGTTTCTTATTCTCTAAATTTTTATCGTATACCTAAACATGATGTTTCTTAGCATTGGCTGCTCGCCGAAGCCCACCGGAACGTCCGAGGCATCTCTGACCTCCAGCAAACGATTGACAGACCCGATTTATGGTGTGCATTATGTCAGACTCGTTTTACTCATACAGACAGGAAACGGAAGGTAGTCTCTGAGCACTTTAAATACATCGTGCGAAAGTACTAATGATATGCGCTTTCTTTCTCGCAGCATATGGAAGAAATGAACGCACACAACTTACATTATCGCGAACTGCAATCCCAGGCTTTACGTGATCCGAATTTTGACAGGTCAATTCTCGAGGTTCCACGAATCACACCTCCGTCTTCACCTCCCCTGCCCTCACGGAACGTGTCGCAAAATCATAGTCTCCGCGCAACCTCGATGTATTGCACACGTGTCCCCAGTCCCACGCCTCATCCACCGTCTGAGCCATGTCAGGTGTGCAATAAACCTGTGCCAAGCGAGAGGCTTGTAGCCGTACGTCCTGTCTTATTATATCTGCCTGCCCGGCTTTATAGTCGAACGCTAAAAAATAATGTTTCCCAGCATTGGTTACTCGCTGAATGTCACCGGAACGTCCGCGGTGCCTCGGACCTTCAGCAAACGACCGACAGACCTGAGTTATGGTGTGCACTATGTCGAACGCGCTTTACACATTCGGATAGGAAGCGGAAGGTATATTCTCTCTGGATATAGTTTACGTCGCATGAAAACATTGATTTATGCTTTTTTTTAATAGCACATGGAAGAAATGAACGCGCACAACTTGCATTTTCGCGAATTACAGTCACAGGCTTTGCGTGATCCAAATTTCGATCGGTCAATACTTGAAGTTCCTCGGGCTACTCATAGTGCGTCACCTCCTGCTTCGCAGAGTCATAAAAATATCATGGTCAATGGTGGAGAGGAGAGCATACCTTATTGTGTGCCTTGTGATCGATATTTCTCGACAGACGAGGATCTAATCCAGGTAAGCTATCCACTTCTCTACGTGTTACCCGTCCTATCTTGATTCGCGGTCTATTCCTAACTGTAATTCAACTTTGTAAAGCACCAGACCGAAGAACGTTGTGGTAATACAGCCGAATACGAACTACCAAACCCACACGAAGACCATTCATCTTCCACACTACACCCTCCCAACCCATCGCTTACGATGCACGCGACACGATCTATGCCTTCCCTCCCTGTACCTTCACTCGTCGTACCTCCCGTTCCCGTTCTTCCTACATCCATCTCTGACTTTGGTCCAGCCACCACCGCCACACCGTCACGTCCATCCTCGCCTCCCCCACCGTCATACGATGAGACCATTTTCCAGATTTTCACTGCTATGGAATCCCTTACAACATCCGATTCACACCCTTCATCTGCTCCTACACCTGCCGGACAAATACAGAATTCGAGGGAAAGCACGAATACAAGAGAAGCAGCTACGACACCGACTTCAGTGCCGATGGTGCCAACTCCATCAACGCTCGAATGTTCGCTGTGCCTCGACCGAGAGGATAACCTCAGTTCACTTGCGTGTGGACATATCTTTGGGACAGAGTGCGTCTTCTCTTCTCTTCTCTTCTCTTCTCTTCTCTTCTCTTCTGTCCTTCCTCATTCATCTTGTACAATGCACTCCCCACCTAACATTGGATTGTTTGAATTTGTAAAACAGATGCATTCGCGAAGCCCTACAAGACGACTCACATTGCCCCCTATGTCGAAACGAAGCTTCAATAAAGGACCTTCGGAGGGTCTTCCTCACTTGACTCTTCCTTATCTTCCTTATCTCTGTCCCTATTCATCCCCTCCTCCTCTATTTATGAAATTTCAGGCTATCATGTCCCTTCAGTAAGATTCGGAACTCAACAACTCAACATACATATCTGTACAGCAAATTGCACATGTATTCTTCGTGTCATCCGATAGAAATATACCAATGTCATTTGGCATTCGCACGTATGCATTATCCTTGCATTATCCTTTGAAAGAGAGTACACATGTACAAAGAAGTGTCAAGCGCTGAGCAGACGATTATCTAATTGACGGGGTATAATGACAAGAAATGGCAGCGACTAACTACTACTACTACTTTATAGTACAAGACTTGTATGTGTGTACGACAATTTGTATGCAGGACGAGACGTAGGACAAGAATGGAACAGGATAAGACAGCAAAACGTTCGCAAATACAATTAAAGAATGATGCCGAAAAAATGATGCAGGAACTACCCAGACCAGTAAATGTACAGAAGTGGAAGAAAAAGCGGTCCTAATCCCAGATATAGTCACATAATACAACATTTGCCATCTCCATCCCTTTCACATAATCGCTCGCAAAAGTTCCACAAGCCACTTCCAGAGCCCCCGCTCCCTGAGTTACACTGACTAGTCGAAGGAAGCTCGGCTTTGGTCCGAATCGGGCCTCCTGAACGAGTAATCTGGATGGTATGTTCGAGGTCGGGTTCGCCCTCCTGCGGGATGGAGTACCACCATCGAAGATATTGGCCTTCAACGCGCCATTTACCAGATGACACACGCACGTCAACGTCAAGCAGCGAGGACATGGGTAAAGTCTGTGAGGACATAAGAGACGCGGGTGTCATAGAACCGAGGTCTTCAATGCCATCCGATGGCGACTCTGAATCCTGGTCCGTGGAATTTTCATTTTGCAAGGAAGCGATGAGGGAGCGGGAAACGATGTCTTGTCGGGCATAGTGTACAAGCGGGACAAAGATCTCGGTTGGCAACTCCGAAAATCTTTCTTTGTCGAGCTCATCCTCACCCGATGAACTTGAGCCCGATGACGAAGGCTCAGAGTTTACGACGGGTCGATCTTCTGGACGGACTTTCACTGTAAGCTTGAACTCGGCCTTATGGATGTCGAACGAGATATTTGTCGATAGACCAACAACTGCCGCGGGATAGGGTCGAGCAAAGGCGCGAACTGCTCGAGCGCCATCAGTTAAGAAATCATATTGGTTTGCCCAATGAGGCCGAGAAGAAAGCGTATCAACGGCCTGACGAGATTTCATGTCCCGATCATATTCATCATCCGTCGACGCAGCGATGGATGCACCACCAAGCGTCACTAGCGAGACAGCAGATGCCGTTGCCGAAGGTACAGCAGACGCGACTTGTCTTACGCGCACAATCGTATCTGTCGTCTTCTTGCGCAGAAGTCCGACCTCCGACGAATCCGCGTTGCGCATACGATAGCCACTTGAATTTGGTACCGGTTGCAAATCGTCCTCCGACCATAAGCTGAGATCTTCCATGTTCCAGAGGTCGCCCCATTCATGGCAACTGTCGGGACAATACGTCCAGATAGAATAATTAAGTCCATTTGGACCATCCGCAGCATTGAGACTAGCGTCAAGAGCCTTTTGCTGGGAAGAGTAGTCACCCGCGTATTTGCCACCGTCCGTCCAGCCGTACGAACGCTTCCCATCCATGTCAAAGGGTGTGCCTATTTCTCCGATCATCGTCGGATAAGCACCAAGGATCTCCGCATCCTTTCTCAGGATACCTAATTGTTCCTGTAAAGACTTCCGAATAGCACGCTCGCCAATCTTCGCAGCCATCCAAGTCGCCTTATATTTCCCTCGCAACACGCCCAACGCATCGGCATTGAACCAGTTCCAATGTCGCGTGACAAGCGTAAGCCCATCGTAGTAATGTGCTGAGTAACAGCACCGCCCGCACAGGTCATCCGGTCCGTCCAGCGGTGGCGGTTCTGCAAACACAGGTGGATGTAAGAAATGGATCGTTTCCGGATGCGCAGCACGTATGCGCGCAGAATATGCGCGCCAGTGGGGTCTCCAGTAATCCGCTTCAAATACGACAGGCCGTTCTGGGTCAAAGGGAGGACATCGGAAATACTCAGGCTGAAGTATGTATCCCGATTCGACGTCCCAAACGCCGTGCTGGGCCCAGATACAAACACCAAGTTTCCACCCTGGATCACGTTTCCATCCCCACCGTCTGTTGATGCCATTATCCTCCGCGTCTGGGTCAAGCCATATTTTATGGCCTTTAGGATCAACAGTCACCATGCCGTCGCACTTGGGCCCAAAGGCGCCAAATGTCCAGTGTTCGACAGTCTGTACTTGACCCATGCCAAGACGTAAGGACTGTGCGGGTGTTGGTCGGGATCCTTTTCTGAGTGTTGAACCTTGTTCCTCCGGAACGGCATTGAGGTCATCGTAGCCACAAAACCCTTCCCCTGGTTCATTTATGCTGTCCCATCCAATAACGCACTCATCCAATAAATCACCCGCATCACGTATTCGGTCTGCTAGGGCTCCAAAAGCCGCGATGAAATGAGACTGGAGATAGTCTTGGATATTTTGACCGTCGATAATACATTTTGGAGCATAGTCCTTCCCAGCGAAGAAAAGTGTAAAGATAGTTTGCGACACGAGGCGTCCGTAATTAGTTCCCCAAATCATTGCAGGTAGTGACTCCGGTTTTGGCTTGTGGGCTACGGGGTATTCGGAGTGAAGAATTGCGGCTTGGGTTGCAGTGAAATTGCGAGGATTCATGCCACAGGCCAGAAGGGTCCAATAAGGCGCGCCAGAGCCACCAGAAAAACGGGACCACTAAAACAGTCTTCAATACACGTATAAAGTCGTTAATCCAAGTTTAATATACTCACGGCATCTTGGTGAGGATCAATATACACTTTGAAGCCATATTCTTTACATTTCCGGAGAACTCTTATTGTGTAGTCCATAAACTCATAGTCGTATTTTCCCCTGCTTCGTGTTAATAACAAAAATGGAACGAGAGACGGAAACTCACGGTCCCTCGTGCTCCAGGGCCTCCCATGCGATCGGGTAGCGTAAGACATTGAAACCCCAGCCCTTGAGGCGAGCAAGGTGGACATCGGCCGAGCCGTCTTCTAGTGACAAAGGTCTGCCTATGAACGATCCATTACCACTTTCGCCCGATTCCCAAAGCTCGTCGCGCAAATAAGACGGTTCACCAACAGGAGCTTTGGACGAACCCGAGAGGTTTACGCCGCGCAGGAGAAGTGTGCGACCAGAGTTGTCTACGAAGTTGCCATCAAGTGTATGAATATAAAATGATTTTGTTGGTTTTTCTGTCGCCGGCGACACGGGTGGTATTCGAGGCATGAGAGTAAGTGGAGAGAAGGAGACAAGCTGGAAATGACGGGGTGGAGAGAGTGGAACGACTCTAATGCACATATTAGGTCATCACTTCTTCCTTTTTTGGCTATTCTTAATGCCTCACTTGTTTAAGCCCGCAAAGGTAACTACGCTTCACGCTACATGTGTGGATCGGTCCATGTTTGCAGCTAATCAACCGCTCGGGGACCCACGGCCATCCTTGTTGAGGTCGCTCTTGCCATGAAAACCGCACAAGTCAGCGCTCAAATCGCGTCTCTCCCTTACGACGTACTGCGGATCATCTTCCAATGGGCTACATTTGTACCGAATGCATTCGATATACACGAACCAGATTCATTTGCCTACCCTGCACCCTGGCCACAAGAAAAGATTCAGGCTGCCTTATTCAAATCAATGTACACGAACTACTGCCTTGCTCTTGTCTGCAAGGCGTGGAATGACGTTGCAACTCCGCTGCTCTATCGATCAATATGTATTAGCAAGAGAAAACCCTTCATGGCGCTCCTAAGGTCCATGCAAGTCACCCTAACGGAAGACCATAATAGATCGGCTGATATGGCGAAATCAAGTTCGAAAGGAAAATGGACCAGACGACTCGACATTCTTTACCGAGACAAGACTGTTCTGCACGCGAGCAGTTTCGCAAGGTTTCTCAAATGCCTCCCGAATTTGCAGATTATTGTTCAGCGGGGCACGTTTCTTATGCTCAAGCGCTCGGACTTTCACTTGTCAATTTTTGTCGTGCTCCCGGCACTGGTTTCACAATCTCTGCATGTCCTTGACGTTAAATGCAGCTATGACTACGACTCGACCAATGGACATAACCATCCAAATGCCGCTCGCATTACCGATGCCGTTGGGAACCAACCTCTTCACACCTTGAAGGTCTGTCCGGTTGCAGCTGGTCGAACGCACAAGCAGCATGCGTTTCTGTCGTCTATCGAGTGTCTTGACACGTCGCAACACTTCATCAATCCTATCCTTTCGGATATATGCTTGGCCCCCAAGCTTAAACGAATTTCCCTGAATGCTGGGTACGGAGATGGGCCGGGACCTTATAGTAAATGTTTGGCACAAATCACTTCCGGTATTGGGCAACTGGAGATAGATACCACTACATCCGATCCTGGACATGCACTATCTCTACATGATGTAGCTAATCTCTTTCCGAATCTCCACAATCTGGTTGTCACCTTGGATGTTCTAACCCCCCATGTACTGTCTGAATACCTTCCTCCAGTTGTCAACCTTGGTATTCATACTACTACTCTATGGCAGTGAGAGGCAAGGTTTTGGTGGGCTTGTTCCCTCTAGTGTCGTTGTGGGCTCTGGTCAAAACTCTCCTATTCCAAATAGGAAAGAACTAACTACATGAAGAAAGTGATTATGTAATCCAAAGAATTAATAAAATCAAGAAGATCTGATAGTAACTAAAATCAGAACTCTTCACCTCCCCAAGCTTTAAATAGTGACTGTCCTCAGTCACTTGCTTTAAGAAGCAATAATGAAGGGTAAGCATAAGGAGTGTGGGTAAGGATAAAAGGTATCAATCAAAGTAAGATAAAGAAACAAAGAGTGTGAGTCTCAAGTAAGAATGAGTGTCCATAAAAGAAAGGGGTATAAGGGAATGTTAGAGTAAAGAGAATGTAACCTGTACCAAGGCCAAAGGCTTGCCAGACCAATCCTCTCCAACTCCAACATAGATGGTAGTAGTAGTGAGTAGTGGGTTTCATCCAACAGCTGCTTGGGTCTCAACCTGACACTTCTGGTTCTGATCTGCTGGGTCTGTCAAGGTCAAAATCTGATTACTGTCCTTGAAATCCTTTGTCTTGTACTCAGTTAATGTGAAGAACAGCCTCCCAATTATCATGTCAAACGTTGTGTCCTTTACTACATGAACTGGCATCACCATTGATATTCCACCTACTGACACCTTGAGTCTTAGAATGACACCCTCAATTACAATTGATCCTGCATTTGCTGGCCTAAGGTTTGTCCACACTCACTCCTTTGGTACTCCCAAGCGTTTCCAAACATCTTTGCACATCACGTTCATAACAGCTCCCTGGTCCAGTAAGCTCTCAGTCTCCAATTCGTTGTTCAGCTTTACTGTTGCTAGCCTGACTGGTACACTTCCAGCCTTGTTGTTACTGACTGGGGTGCCTATCCAACACTCCCTTGCTTGACACTGGTCTGATCTGACAGCTTCTGACGTCCTCCTGTGTAATCCACTCGTGCTTGGTATTCTTGCTGGGCTTGACTGATTCTCATTGTCTCAGCACTTGATCCTTGCAGTTGCACTTCTGACCTTGTTCATCCAGCTTCCCACTGCCCTTTGCAACAGCCTCTGCTGCTCATCCATCACACTCTTCTCCCTCATCCTCACTGGTGCACTTCTGGCCTTGTTTGCCATACTTGCTCCTCTGCTCTGCTCTCGTTCTTGCTCTCCATCTTGAATCTGACTCAATCCAACATAATCCACTGCTTTCCTGTGCAATCTGCTTGTTCTCAGCTCTGCTGCTGGGCTTGACTGTGCTTTGTTGTCCTTGCATGCAACACTTGTACCTGTATACTGATCTTCTCTGTTGTCAGTCCTTGCTTCCTCACTTGTCTCTTCCTCCTCTGCCTTTGTAGGTCCACTTCCAGCCTTGTTCAGCATTTTGTCACACATCTGAGTTGTCCTCATAAGCTTAGCTGTATACTGGCACTCAAGCTCCAGAGCTATTGCAAACAACTTGCAGTGTGTCAACGTGACAACACTGTCCATCATTCAGTCTAAGACCTGCTTGATGATCTCACTCGACTCAGCACTTTGCTTCAGTCTGACTTTGACTGGCTTTGTGTTAGCCTTTGTGGTCCTTGCCTCCTCTCTTTGTCTCTTCACATCCCTCAAGTGTTCCTCCAACCTTGTCACCTCTGCATCCAAATCTGCTCCAAGAATGGCTTTGTGCTTTTCTCCCTCACTCGCATTTGACCTATCTTTTGCTTCATCAATTGTGCCTACTGTGAACACAGGCTTGTCTTTGTAGTATCAGTCTATGTGCTCCTTCAATGTTGCTCCCTCTACACTGGCTGGCACGAATGCCCCACTCATCAACACAATCTTCTGCCCTAACCTCATACACTTCCCCCTCTGAGTGTACTTGCTCACAGTCCTACAGTCACGTACGAAATGTCCTTGCTTTCCGCAAAAGTTGCAGGTCCTCTCATGCTTCAGGTCGGATTTCACGGAATTGGCAGATTGGTCAGTTTGGTGTGCTTGATTCATCAGCATCTTCCTGGACTTGCTTGCTTCGTTGACCTGGGCTTGTAACTCTTTGAGCTTCCTCACAATCTTCGCATACTTGTCTCCTACTTCTTTCTCTAGCTTCTCCTTTGGCAACGTCACTGTCTGGTCTCGGCCTGCCTCTGTCTGCCCTGCTAGAAGAACGTGGTCCGCTAGCCTGACTACATCGGCGAATTTGAACGGCTCGCTTGCATCCTTGTCCACATAGAGAATCTCCAGTCGTTGCGTCAGGTTTGTCCTCAGCGTCCCTCTGATCCCTCTCCAGAACTCACAGTCTAACTCGCGTGCTGACATCTTCCCTTGCTCCTTCAAGTACTCTGCTTGCACCTGGAACTCGCGGCGGTAGCGGCCAAACTCTGTCTGCACCGTCATTTCCTTCTCACTCTGCACATCGACTAGTCGCGTGATATTGGCTCTCGTGTAGCGTTGACCATCGATCAGCTCCGGATAGAGCTTTCTGATCTCCTCTTTCACGATGCTCCAATCGCGCGCTCCTTTCTTCTTCAACTCGGGCACGGTAGCCCACAAACTGCTACAGCTCGTTGCTGCGTAGTACGTCACTTGCTTGCACATCCACTCGGCGTCCTTCTGGAAGTCGGCGGCTAACATCTCGATGTCTTCAAAGAACCGCGGAAGTTCCTCAAGCTTGCTGCTGTCGAAGTATGGCGCTTCTCTTGATCCTCTTCTCGGCGGCCACGTCATCGTGCTTCTCGTGCGTCAAAACGGTCGGTTCGATTCAAAACAAGCTAGGCAAGGCCCTCGAGGCCAAGATCAAGACAAAAACAACCCAGACACTTTAGAACAGAGGCACCACCCCTCGCGGTGGGCTCCAAAATGAGAGGCAAGGTTTTGGTGGGCTTGTTCCCTCTAGTGTCCTCGTGGGCTCTGGTCAAAACTCTCCTATTCCAAATAGGAAAGAACTAACTACATGAAGAAAGTGATTATGTAATCCAAAGAATTAATAAAATCAAGAAGATCTGATAGTAACTAAAATCAGAACTCTTCAGCGGGTTGAGGAAAGGTGTGATATGGCTCTCATGATGGGGCTGTGGGGCCTGTTATGCTCGAAACTCGTAGTACTTTGGAAGATGCCGAGCTTGCGCGTCGTCAGGATTTTGGATGAACTACCGTCACAGAGAGATTTTTTTGTATGCTGGGCATCTACAACATCGAAGATATTGATACAGCATGGAGTCCGCTTCGAAGACTATACTGGACAGCTGTTTCTTAACGACTCGTTACCAGACGACAGCCGTTTGTTGGCAGAACTGCACGGTGACATTCCTCTGATGTAGATTAGATTGTTCAACTACCGACTCACATTAAATTCTCAAATAGCTTAATCCTTTTCTTTGCTTACCTTTTTCCCTTGCAATTGGATTCTGCCCACTGTAGTTCAAATACGGTATATGATTCAATGTCCTTACAACTAAATCATCTTGCACGAATACTAGGCTTTGGTGTGTATGCCGTGCCCACAACACGTGCAGTTTTCTATTATTACGTTCTCAGAGAATGTGAGATCCCTATGTAGTCCGCATTGATTCCGCAAATAATTTAATAAAGACACCTGCACCTGCCAGATTCCCACGAATGGTCAATACTGCGCAGTTCGTGACGGTTCGTCCCAGTGGCACAGTCTCAGTCCAACTAAGCTAAGTACAGGGTAAGAAAATCATCTGCAGACATACACGTGCTCTTCTGGTCTAATCACTGTGATAATGCGCAGAGAAACCAACAGCTTTCTTGCTCAGGCCATTCCACCATGAATCCTCCACCAGACAATATTAATGCTCGAAGTATATCACAACCCTACGACGTACTGCGCATCATCTTCCAATGGGCTACATTTGTACCGAATGCATTCGATATACACGAACCAGATTCATTTGCATATCCAGCACCTTGGTCACAGGAAAAGATTCAGGCAGCCTTATTCAAATCAATGTGCACGAACTACCGCCTCGCTCTTGTTTGCAAGGCATGGAACGATGTTGCAACTCCACTGCTCTATCGATCAATATGTATTGGTACAAGGAAGTCTATTATGAGATGATTAGTTCATCAACGGACGAACCACGAGACGATGACTTCATAATGTCTCAGTTAGAATACATACAATATAAGGACAAGAGACACTGAGCAGTCAATCGTCACCTCACCCCTTGTCTATGCATGCCCCCCTTAAGTTCTCCCTCTCAACAGGTTATGAGCCTTGAGCTCCCTGCATACATGCATCCACTGTACACTCTAAACTCTTTACTCACATATATTTGCACACATTTGCATTATGGTTCCCCCACATACAGATATGCACTGTAAACCAGCTGATGTACCAAAATACTTTGGTCAAAACATCACAATGCTTAAGACCAAAGTGAACTACAAGATGTGGCACTACTACATTGTTTCTAGTGTTGCAGCTATGTGCTTCAAACACTTACTAAAGGATGAACCACAAAACAAAGCCAAGAGGGAGATGGCTAAGGCTATTCATGCATGCATAGTCAATAACATTGCTAACACAATATTGGCAAACTATATACACTTTGATACGTCTATCCCTCAGTTAATGAAAGTGCTTGAAGAATGCTTTAACCCCTAGACAGTATGTAAAAAGGCTATTGACAAATCAGTACTGTTTATTTGTAGAGACCATGTAAAACATTTCAGACATACATTAGACAGACTTGAGGAAGCATACACAACTCTGTCTACTAACAGTGATCCACTACACAACTCTACATACAAAGCAGCAATATTGCTTGCCACTCCTGAGCAATATACACACATAGTAAATACAATAATACAATCTACTGATGCCCAAAACAAAGGCAAACCAGTCAATAAACATAAGAAAGTTGAACTGAAGTAACTAATTCTTGTATTGTAGAATGCCTACAACAATTACTGTACTAAACAAGTACAAGATTCCAATGATTGGACAAAAAATAATGCACACATTAATACAATGTATAAAGCCAATAAGTAGAGGAAATTCAATCTGCCAAATCTGTTCAATCTGACAAAAGCAAAATGTTTCAATTGTAGAAAAACAGGACATTTCTCTAAGGAATGCTGCAAACCTCCTACTAAAGCTACAAAGCTTGTACATGCCAAACATCAGGCTAACATTGTGTATAAAACAAATCAAACTGTAGAAAACACAATGAACACATTTATTATTAAAAACCCAAACAAAAACAATGTTGAATTAAAAGAAAGTGATGTTGAAATGAACAATAATGCCTACACTCTTATTCCAAGCAACCAGGACAAACAATTCGAACAATACATTTCCTAGGTATGTACCAACGTATTTACAAATACAATCATAGCTAATGAGAAATCCTATATGCAAATGATGGATTTACTTGATTCTGGTGTATTAATACATACTACTCCTTATCTATTTCAATTAACAGATGTACACAACATAACTCTTATGATTGTAACTATTGCAAATAGGTCAACAATGACTCTTAATCAAGCTAGATCTATGTGTATCGAAATCCCAAAGAATATACAAGAAAAAAGCATCATAACATTACAAAACATCTATTACTATCTACAAATAACCTTTTCCCTCATAAGTCAAGTGCTACTATGTAGGGAAGGTTATTCTTTTATGTTTACAAACAATAATTGTACTATAACATTACTATGTAATGAATACATCAGACATATACAATTGAGAAATAACTTGTATATTTTGTACAATAATCATTTATTAAAAACAATGAACAAACTATCTATTTATGATATACATAAATGCCTTGGACACATAAGTTACAATTATATTAAACAATTATTAAAGACACAACCAAGTGTACTATTAACTAAAATAATGAACTACAAAGAAAAAGAATGTATTGAATGTATAAAAGCAAATATCAAACATACACTAATACTAAAACTACATCAATCTCCTCTTACAAATCAATTTGGAGATCTTATTCATATTGATATTATTGGTCCTATTGAACTGTACACATATAAGAACATACACTACTTATTAACAATTGTAGACAATTCTACTTGTTAGTGTATAATGCTCAAATTACAAACAAAATCTAATGCATATATGCAATACATACAATGGACAACTAAAATATTTACACAGCACAGAGTTAAAATAAAACTTTTACAAAGTAATAATGATACTGTATTCCTTAGTGAAGATTTCCAACAATATTTAGATTCACAAGGAACAAAATGAAGATTAACAGTACATCATACTCTACAGCAGAACAGAATAGTAGAACAAACACATAAAACTATATTTAGAGGTGTAAGAGCATATCTAACATTTACTAAATTACTGTTTACATTATAGGCTGAAGCAGCAATTCATATTACCTATATTTATAATAGAACACTGTATGCTGCTTTAAATTATAATACCCTACATTACAAACGTTACAGAACACACAGAACAATTGATAATATATACAAATTTGGTCAATATATTATCATTTGCAATGAAAATCCTACAAAAATACAACAGTAAGGTATTATTGCTTGTTGGATAGGATTAGACAATGAAAGTAAAGGTTATAAAACTTGGCACAATAATAAAATTACCATCAAACGAAATATTCAATTTCTTGAAGGTAAACCTTCTCAAATTGAAGGGGAGAAAATAGACAATACAAACAATGATACAAACAAGTATTTAATAATTAAAAATAACAAAACGGATGATAGAACAACAAGATCAGACAACAATGATACAGACAATACTGATCCTAACAAAAAGGAAAAGTGGCAGAACCAACAGACTTAACAGACAACAAAGTTAAATTAACCGAAAAAGAAGTAGAACCTAAATTACATCAATCAGAACAGAAACAGAAACTGACAGAATGTACTATCAAGCTTAAACAATGTATGGAGAATAAACGTGTAATAAAACACATGTATGCACTTAGTGAAAAGGATGAAGATAATATTACTATTCATTTAACAGAATTTAATGTTAAAATAAGTGAAATACAATTGGATCTGACTTCATTTTATGAAGCAATCCAATGTCTGGATTGTGATTCATAGATTGCAGCTATGAAAGACAAAATAAAACAATTAGAAAATCATAATACATGGGAAATCATGAATCCACACAATAATATTAACATTATCAGAACACAATTTGTCTATAAAATAAAGCAATACACTGATAATAGTATAGAAAAATATAAAGCACAATTAGTAGTTCAAGGAAACTATCAGATTGACAGTCTTGACTATCATACAGACAATTTATTTGCTCCTACTGCTAGACTATCTACAGTACAATTAATATTAGTATGGGCAGCATCTAATAATTATGAAATACATCAGATAGATATAAAATTGGCATATCTGTATAGACAATTGATGGAAGACAAGGAAATATATGTTAAACCTCCTCCAGGTAACTTAATAGACAGACTACAGAATGGACAAATATTACAATTATGAAAAGTGCTATACAGATTAAAACAAGCTGGTAGAAGATGGTATAAAACACTATCTAATATACTACTTAAATACAGATTAACAAAATCCAAACATGATAATACTGTATTCTTTGTAAAGAAGAAAGAAATAACTGTAGCCATATTATTTGTACATGTCAACAATATTACTATCACAGTAATGAATAATAATACTATTACAATAATAAAACAATCTATTACACATCATTTACAATATACAGACAGTAGCAAATTACACTAGCTACTTGGTATAGAGATTCAATGTGACAGAGAGTATAGATTCATCAGGATGTGTCAGACACATTATATTAATAGTATAATAGAATGTTACAAACTTATGAACAAACAAAGTGTACAAACACTCATACAGCCTGGTACACAATTAAAAACAGTATTGCAAACTGATAACAATAGAAAACAAATGTCTGATATACTATACATAAACATGGTTGGTGCACTTAGATACATTGTAGACTGTACATGGCCAGATATAGTATTTGCAACAAATCAGTTAGCAAAATACCTCAATGACCCTGGTATGGAGCATTATCTAGCACTTAAACATTGTTACATGTACTTAAAAACTACAAACAATGTCTGGCTCCAACTCAGCAGCACAAATCAATCAATATTGAACAGCTATACAGACACAGATGGTATGATGCAAGAAGGGCATTGTGCAATATCAGGATATGCATTTTACTTGAGCAATTCATTAGTTTCATGGTCAAGTAAAAGACAAACACTGGTGGCAAATTCAACGTATGAAGCTGAATTAATAGCTCTTACAAGAGGAACACAGGAAGTGATTGCACTTACACATTTAGCTGAAGAGATTCTGCAGGTCTCTGATACACCAATTAATATCTTTTGTGATAACAATGCTGTTATACAAACAGTTACATTGGACGAACTCAAATATTCGGAACGAACAAAGCATTTAGATCATAAGAAAGATTTTATTAAATGCTACATTGAGTTAGAGTACATAAATGTGAAATACATACAGACGAACGATCAACGAGCAGATATATTAACTAAAGCACTACATGTACCACAAGTCAAACATCTTACCAGTTTACTCGGACTAGTAAGAGTTTGAAGGGGAGTATTATGAGATGATTAGTTCATCAATGGACGAACCACGAGACAATGACTTCATAATGTCTCAGTTAGAATACATACAATATAAGGACGAGAGACACTGAGCAGTCAATCGTCACCTCACCCCTTGTCTATGCGTGCCCCCCTTAAGTTCTCCCTCTCAACAAAGTCCTTCATGGCGCTTCTGCAGACCGTGCAAGTCGCTTTAACGGATGGGCGGAATGGATCGGGCGAAATGGAAGAACCAATCTCGTCCAGCTCGAAAGGAAAATGGACGAAGCGACTCGACATTCTTTACCGAGACGAGATTCTCATACAAGAAAGCTCCTTCGCAAGGCTCTTCAAATGTCTTCCGAATTTGCAGATTATTGTTCAGCGGGGAAAGCCTCTTATTATCAATCGTTCGGACGCTCGACTATCAATTTTTGTCGTACTCCCGGAATTGGTCACACGATCTCTGCATGTCCTTGATATCAAGTGTCAGTTCGACATAGGCCCATGCAGTAAAGATGCCTATCCAGATGCTCCTAGCATTATCGACGCCATTGGAAACCAGCCTCTTCACACATTAAAGGTCTTTCCGGTTACAAAGGATCTAAGTTTCCGGCAACACGCGTTTCTATCGTCTCTCGAGTGTCTTGATGCGCCACGACACTTCACGCGATCTATACTTGCAAGTACTTGCACTACTCCCAAACTTACTCAGATTACCCTGTCGTTTGGGCACGACAATGAATTGGTCTCGTCTCGTAAATGTTTCGCACGTATTGGTGCCGGTTTAGGAGAACTGCAGCTGCAAATCGTTGATCCGACACACATTCAGCAGTCTTTACGTGATGTAGCTGATCTCTGTCCAAATCTCCGCAACCTAATCGTCCCTTTGGATTCGCTAACCGTGGGATTACTCTCTGGACACCTTCCTCCAGTTAGGAATCTAGGTATCCATCCCAGACTCTCATTGTGGGATTGGGAATGGCGCTCAGAACAATCGATGGTGATGTTATGGGAGTCAATTTGCTCAAAACTCATGGAGTTAATTCCGGAGATGCCTAACCTGCGCATTGTCAGACTTCTGGATGAACTACCATACAAGGGTGATCCTTTTGTTCTCAAAGCTGTCGCAACATCGAAGATCCTAACGCAAGCTGGAGTCCGCTTTGAAGACTGGACTGGACAGATCTTTCATAAGGACTAGTAATCAGAAGACGGCAGTTTATTGACCGAACCACCCTGTAATTTCCCAGGTGCAGGTTGAATTGTCTGGTGGACTAGCTCTCATGTGCGATCCTCAAGTTGGCTTATTCAAATTTCTTAATCTGTATCATTCCCACATTCTTATTTGCTTCTAAGCAAGCAATAAATATAGTTCGAGTAAATGCTTCAACCTTCCTGTATCTAAATCTTTCTGCACTGATACTGTTCTATATAGTGTATGCCAAGCTTGCTAATATGTGTGAATTCGATGTCTTTTAAACTGCTCTCAGAGGATGCGAGCATCTAATCTGCCAATAAATACACTTCGCACCTTTAAAGATGCCACGGAAATTCTTTATGCCCGATTCGCGTGGATTGTGGATACCATGAATTGGATCTAAAGTCTCGCCTGCTTCCAACCTTCGTCTAATGCATCGGCGACCAGAAACCTGTACCATAGTACTGCAATTGGGACAGTCGCCGCATGCCAGAGAGCGTGAGCGTCGAGAAAGCGTCCAATGGGAGGAAAGTCGAGCAGCTCCAGTGACATGGCAGCCATAGTCAATGCGACCCCCAGCGCAGCTTGCGAAGCACACTTTGGTCGATAGTCCCTCGGAGCTGACCTTGGAGGAAATCGGCGGATGATAGTATAGGATGCGGAGAGGGAGTAAAGTAGCCAAAGCAGGTTGTGCGAAAGGCCAATAACGAGATTGAAAATAATGTTATAAGAATAGTCAAAGCGAGGCGAGAAAGAGAGGTAGGAAATGTGGGTTATAAATGCAATGATGCACAATGCTGTCCAGCCAAAGTATAGTGTCCGGCGGCCAGGTCGTCCAATGAAGAAAAACCGAGTCACGACAGAGTGAAGGGCTGTGATGAATACGAGAGCGGCAGAGAAATAATCGAGTTTCTCTGTCAATGGCTTGTCTATAACATTAAATTAATACGAGCCTTCGCAACAGTGAATCACTGGAGAACGCACCACGAACATGGAATATTGTCGACCATGTCCACGCATTCATATTCACTGCGCTCCACAGAATCATAAAAGGCTTCATGGGATGTCTATCAGGGACGAGCATTTTGACTGTCCTGTAGCCTCGCAAGTGGACCCAGAAATTCAGCAGGGAAAAGAGCACTGATGCAGGTTCCTGCATGCCAAGGAACCGCCAGAAAGGCCATTTTCCATAATATTGTACAACCGGCTGTCCATATGCGGTGGAGCTGTCCGTTATTTGGTGCATGCAGGAGTATGCGCAATCATCTGCACACGTCCAGCGAGTGAGGCGTAGAGAGAGAGAGAGGCTGATCGGCGTCTGGGACCAGCAGTTGCGTTGTTTGCAAATAGCTAAACATCGTTGGAATAAGTCTGAACGGTCTCCTGCTGAAGCAGATGCTAGCAGTACTGCACAACAGAGCGTGCAAGAAAGCAAGACTAGGGAGGCGAGTGACTTCATGCTAAGAGTCGAATTTTCAGTTAAGCGTTTGCTTTGGTCCAACAAGGTCTGCAATAGGATAGCCCTTCTCACGACTTAATATAGTTATATACCACCTAAGTAATCCTAAACTAAATTTATGACCCATCACCTCACCTTACATTGCATGGTGTCAATGTCCGAAACTAATAATCCACCAAGTCTTCCTCATGAAATTTGGCTTACCATCTTCGAATGGGCCACATTTGTACCAAACGCATTCGATGTACATGCCCCCGACAAATTCGCGTATCCAGGTCCATGGTCGCAGAGTCAGGTTCTGACCGGCATACGGGAGTCATTATGCACGAAACGCCGCCTCGTTCTTGTCTGTAAGGCATGGAATGCACTTGCAACGCGCTTTCTTTATGAAGCGCTTCCCATTGTCCGACCCGTAACGTTGACGAAACTTCTATATTCACTAAACAATAGAAAATCGAGAGGGCAGTGGACCCTGCGCCTCGACATATCCCTGAAGCACGGTTGGACACTGATAGATGAACTCGCAGACCTGCTGCAGAGCCTTCCTAACTTGGAGATTCTCACCGTGTTCCAGGGAGGATATATCCCGACACCATCCGATGGCAGCCCTAGTTTCTTCGACGTGCTCGCAACACATGCTGCTCTAACTTTACATGTGCTTGACATTTCTTGCTATAGCAGTTTCGCTCGGAACTGTGTAAGCAAGATACCCGGTGTGGTAGATAGACGGCCTCTACACGTTTTGAACGTTCGAGCATGGGGATCGCATTTAAGGAAAGAGGTGCCAATTGCTGTACCATTTATCGAGCGTCTGAACGTACCGTGGCAGCTGCTGGAACCCGTTATTTTCTGTGATGATCCACCACCCTCACTCTCTCACGTTTCCTTGATTGGTAATTATATCTCAACGTGGAAAACTTTCACCGGTCTTCCAAACAATGTGGGCCAGCACCTTACTTCCCTTGAGATTGGTGATTATTCGTATCCTGCCTATAGCCCTTCTGAGCCGTCTTCTCCGAGTTTCGAATCGCAATTGCGTTTGGTGAACGAGACTTGCCCAAACCTACGCAATCTAACCATATGCATCTTTGACGACGTTCCACTGTTGGTGACAAAGTGCTTTCCGCTCGTTGAGAAGCTTGGTTTGGACCTGCGATTCGCGAGGGAGAGGAAACATAATAGCAAGCGAATGTGGAGATATCTATGCGACAAACTCTTACAGCTATCTGAGACGACTACTTCCCTTCGAGTAATTAGGATTATTAGCAGCCCAACGATGAGCGATCTCGCAGCGCACCATTCCGGAATTTTGAAGGTTGTGAGTCGGGCTTCCGCGGAACTCTTGTCGCGGTATGGAATTCGGTTCGAAGACCCTTCCGGCCGAGTCCTGCACAACGAGGAGTTGAAAAGTGAAGAGGACGTACCGAATTCGAATGCAGTTTCACAGTAAACACGGGAGGACTACTAGGGCTTAGGTAATGAGGACTTTCGTTCGACGACGATCCTCGTGAAGCAAAAATTGCTACTATGGTAGGGGATCAAAAGCGTCAGCAGTGTCCTCTTAAGCTTAATAATATCACGCTAGGGCCAATGACCAGAAAAGGGGGCCAGGAATGCATCAATTAATGACTTTACATAAAAAGATCTTTGATATTCCAACTTGAAATGTTTTGCAGAATTGAACAAACTGTACATTCCAGGTTATAGCCGAGCACTCGCGCATCTCTCAACAACGTATCCTTCTGCTCCGCCGTTGACCTTATAAGCAGCAGTCCATCTTAGCAGCTCTATTATCACTCAGCGTACTATGTCTCTCACCGACCTCTAGCCAGTGAAATCGTGCACGACTCCTTCGTTTTTCTATCTCATTCAGAAGCTGAGAACCAGTCCTATTGCCTTTATTGCAGTAAGCTTGCAGCTATTGATTTGCCTTGATAATGTCGTGATACTTCAAGTTGTTTTAGGCAGTCTTATTGTGAGCACACTCGAATTAACACCTGCCCACCATACTTTCTTTATACTTCGATCAAAAAATCATGACTAACTATTATTCATGGCTAGTAACGTTAATTATTCTTATATATTTAAAGCCCATCTCGAGGTCATAGGCACTTGTAAATCTATATATGTAGAATCTACTTATGCGAGAATCGTTTACTTTCTGCCGCCTTTCCCTGTTTTGCCTTTTCCTTTGCTCCTGTCCAGCAACATAGCCTGCTGTTCGCTAGCAGTGATGCGTCTTCCCCCTTCTTGAACACTCTGGTTGAAGAACTCAACATTGCCCCTAGCCATGGTTAGAAGAGTTGCCAGAACTCTGGGGTCAATATCAGTCTCTTTCACTCTAAACTATTCTTCATGTAAATTGAACGTAGATGAAAAAGAAGCATGGATACGTACCTTACCATTGGAATGTGGCTTAAGTTTGGAGGTTGACTGTACGGTAAACCAACCACCAGTGCCATACTTGTCGATACCCTTTCCTGGCAAGAACTCAACTGGACCATACTGTTCATTGTCTTCTACGGTAGCAGGATCTATGGGAACACAGAATTTCCATCTGTCTTTTGGTATTGCTCCTTCCAATTGAGTTGCTCCTGAAAAACTTGTCATCATGATAGTTTCAACTGTGTCTGTATTTTTCCGGAGAACAAGTTCAAAGTGACCCCTCTGATTATGTCTGTCTGGCTTTGACGTTCTTGAGAGCTTGGATCCAAAGAAATTGCTGATGTTGGTGAAGTTTTCGTTCACAGCAAAGACAAGCATGCCTGGCTTGATTTCATCGATCCCCTTCTCAGGGAGACCCTGACCTGATGACTCGGACTTGTTGTTTCCTTTTGCAACATCTGTGCTAGGGCCTTTGTGTGCCATTGGTTGTGGTTTACTGAAGAGATAGCTGAGAGAACTACTTCTGAGATGATTTGTGAATGTGAACTTGAACTTGAAGACTTGACCAAGTAAGTTGTCTCGTTATTTATCCTATGGCCCAGCGTACTTTGCAAATCGTACAATGTCTTCATGCTGGTGAATCTTTGCACAAAGGCCAACGTGCCTGGACTAAAAATGGTTACATATCGAAAACATTTAGCTATCGAAGGCCGGGTTTGCTGCGTCGATGCTGAAACAATGAACTCCCACTAGTAAATTTTGCGCATTTACCTACGTATCGGAGCTAAAAATAGTTCCGCATCGGAAGTATTCTTGGCAATCTTGCTACTATAGGCTTAGTTTACCACCTTAGTACCGGAACATCGATGCAAAGCTCAGAATGCATTGCATTCTTTCCGACAACAAAAGACACATTGCAGGGATCAAGCCGATCTTGAGATCTTTCTATGTTTCTCCAAAATCATATTACCTATACAAGTCTAACTCTACTTGCTCCTTTGCAAATACTCGTATGGTAGTGCACTATTCTGACATGCGACGGGCACCCGCTCATAGGGTTACCAAAGCTGCCATTGTCGACTCGTTCACTTGCATACTCATTCCAAAACGTGTGAAAATCATTGACTGTCACAAGCAGGTGGATCGTGACTATATGCTCCTCTATGACGAGCAAATGTGATGTGGCCATCTTCCGAACCAGTAGCTATATTGCGAACATCGTATTTTCGCCGCGAAAGACACCGCCATAGAGTGCATCAAAGCGACATAGATCGTTTCTTCGTTAAGACCGGGACACTCATTCCATCTCAAGCTCCTCTCCAACGCTGAGAACCTCGCCACCCAGCTCTCCCATTGCACTGAGTGTACGCGAAAATAAATCATCAAAAGATTGTTGAAGGCCAAGATGCTCAAGCGTCTCTTCCAAATCAGGCCTATTTGAGTCCGCTTCGTCGAAGATATGGTCGTTGGTAGCAATCGCGGTAGAAGGCGGTTGAGTATTATCGAGCCATTCTTCAAGAGCAGCTATCCCTGCGAGAAGAAGACTCCGGAGCCGAGTGCGATCAGTCTGGCTAACGGAATCTCTAGGACCAAGAGACGTTGGCGAATAGTCCTCCATCTGTGTTTCCGACTGCAAGCCCGCACTGTTCAAATCTGAATTCTGAGTGTTGGTGGGTGAGGAAGAGCCATCGACGTCAAGTTCAACGTCAACACCTTCCTGTGCAGTTGCGTCCCAAGCTTGGGCGCATAAAACGGTGTACCACCCTTTATCCAGCTCGTCCAACCAGGTCAACAGTTGCCGTAATGTTTGCACGCCAGACTGGTCACTGGATGAAGAAGATATTGGTGATAATGTCGGTGGTGGATAGTTTGGTATGGCGCAGAGACATTCGCTTGTGAAGCGAAGCAAGAGAGCGGTACGCAGAGCAGATTGTTGCTGTTTGGAGGGTGGAATTTGGAGGATGAGAGAAAGAAGTGGGTGCGTTGCATGAAGATAAGATTGAAGAGTCGGAAGCGTTGAAGATGGATGACTCCTTAACGGTTCATATGCGATAATATCAGCAGCATATCACATAATTGGACAAGATAAAATGCCGTAACATACCGCTTCTTGTAGTTCCGCATGACTTCGAGAAACAAGTCCTCTATGTATTCAACAAGTTTTCGTTCCTGGCGTGCTGTAAGCGGCTGCGTTCGAACAACGTTTGGACTTCTGTTCGATTCATTTTGGTTTTGAGGTGGGCTTGGTTCACTTCCGATAGATTCTGGAATTGAAACCATGACTATTTTACGTCTCTTTCAACCGTAATGAGGGGGTGTGTGCAAGAGTTTGTTCTGCGACATAGGATCGGCGTCATTGATGACTCATAATTATTACATGAGCATAGACTTTGACAGCATAGATTGAGTCTTTGTCCCTGTCCCTTCATGGTTTGTAGCATGGAAATTACATTTATTAATCATTGGTATATGGCCACAAAGGATCGGAAATGCACACTCAGTTTACTGTCTAAAAGAGATTTGCACAATCTATAGATCTACTGTTCATCTACAGGCTTGTGATTTCCAGCCATAACAGCAAGTAATTGAGAAAGGATATTATACAACTAGTTCAGCCGCAGAATACATTAGGCTATTTATGCATTAATAGTAATGGCAAAGTCCTTGAACCAGGTGTACTGGTCTTTCGGAGTCGCAAAGTCTTTAGAATTCCCTCCAAAGAAAGTGCTAAACAATTAACCATTAGTTACCTTCGCAGGAATTGTTTTTTTATTTATTATAAAAATCGTACCTGAAGAATAGACCGGAGAACGCGATAGGCTTGGGGCTGTCATCATCAATGGCTGACTCACTTTCCTCCTTTCCTGCTCCAGTAAAGGCATGCGTCCATACATAGTTGGTAATTGTGACTGGTGGCTGAGAGGTCTCTTGTGTCGTGAATATTTGCAACGTTTTAGTCGTTGCGGAGAGGGAGGAAGTAGAATTATACGCCAATGCTGAGGCAGCATCGTTCGTTACTGGAGCATTAGAAAATGGGTGCTGAAATGGCAAGATTGAAGGAGGATCCGTTGCTGTATAGTTGACACCTGAATTAGATGAGGAGTTAAGCTCGTTTCGGACTGGTGGTAGTATTCCTTTGTTGACACCAGCACCATCGATTGCCTTCAGCACTCCACCCAGCAGTGGAGAGAGCAATCCGCCATCGCTGGTACTTGTTGGTACTGTACTCGATGACGAAGTGGGTGATGGTGCTTCGTCGCGGTAGTAAACGTCATGGCGGTCCATCACAGTCTTACCATTCACCTCAAGTAGGAAAGTTCCGTCTTGCTTTCCAGGCGTATTCAGAGTGACCGTCTGACGTACACTTGTCCAGGCACCTGGAGTGAATTTAAAAGAGCCTCGCCCGACAGAAAGTCCGTACTCCGCATTGCAAACAGACTGTGGCGGAGCATGACAGAGTGCATACGTCTGCCTGTCTTTCGGGGCGTACTGAAAGCGAAAAGATTATCCTTCGAACCCTACTAAGACAGACGATAGCAACTTACCAGGTATAGTTCTCCAGACCCTCCCGCTCTCCACATCAGGCGTGTACTAAAACACAACGAAGCGTCGTCTCCACCGGAACAAGTCATATGTCCACCATACAACCCGGGTAACTTCCCACCTTGCACCCAATCGAACCCTTTTGGGAAGAAGACACTGTACTCCAGAGTGACATTGGAAGCGTCGGCAAGTGGAAGCGGTGTCGCATAGAAATCAGCGCCGCCCTGGGGCCAGTTTGCGGGATTGATTGAGTTCTCCGGATAGAATAGCTGTAGTGCCGAAGAGGCGTTCGAAAAATGGTTACTGTATAAAGCCTCCATATCCTCATCAATGCCTGGTAAATCAATTGCAAGGGACTCGTCGAACGCATCTGGAGGGATTCCTTTGGTGATGCGTAAGTTATGCTCTCCACAAGCAAAATGTGCGATTTTGAAGGAGTCGAGATCAGAGAATTGAGCTGGCGCAGACCAGAAGCTGCCAGGAGTCGCCGTAAATGTTTCAGAAACCGTGATAGTGTCAGTGACAGTCATTGGCGCCGCAGTAATTGTGACGGTCTCTGTATTTTCATAGACTGTCGAAGTGAGGACCTCTGAAATAGTCTTAGTTCTCGTAGCTGTCGAAACGGAGAGCAGTTCGGAAGGTATTGGGACAGAAGGTTCCCATAGCAGTGGTGTTGGTCCGCTAGTTGCTTGGCTCGACGAAATAGAGGTGAACGAACTATCCATCGTCGTTTCGCCAAATGTTGTGGTCGTCTCTCCCATCGCTACCGTTGTTGAAGACGTAACCCACGTAATTCGAATTGCTGGAGGAAGTTGTCGCGAATGAACGTGTTGAAGAGGGACTGAGAAGACGAGAAGGCAGGACAGGCTCAACAAGGTTAAGGTAGAAAACCCCCGCATTGAGGAGGCTGCCCGTGAAGAAATAAAGAAACTTGCAAGAAGCGTAGATGGTCAAACAACTACGTTATAAAATTCTCTAGGTCTGGTTGTCTCAGTCTTAGGCCAGCGTCAACTTTGAAGTCCAGTTGAACGATTGAGCCTGGTTTGCAACGTGCAGGTGTAGATTGTTTCCATTTATCGAGACAACTATTATTCAAATCGATTGGCCAAGGACGATTCAAACAGGTTGTCCGGAACAGCAGAACGTTTTGCAGCAAGATTCGACGAGGTTCACGAGAAGTTGAGAACGAGTACTTATGTAATGAGGAATGTAACGTGATGGCATCAAAACACGTCGATCAGTCACCACGTTTCGAATCTTTGACTGCTTTCAGTCCTTCATCACTTTCAAGCTCGGCCGTTCTTTAATTTCTTGTTCTGCATATCTGCATATTCTGTTGTGTCGAAGTATCCTTATTTTCTGCGAAAATTTGAGAAGCGTTGAAGAGAAGCAAATTTCGGCTCCACCATGGCACCTAATGCTCGGCTATATAACAGGCCAGATGCTGCTATGAAAGTTCTGCAGCAGAGGGAAAAAGAGATCAAAAGGGCACGAGGGGAGATCTCATGTGCAGAATGCAGACGGTAGCTCCTGACAATTTAACCCTGTGTGCTTCCACTCACTTCTTACGCAGTTTGAAGCTGCGCTGCGACAGAAAGGTGGGTCGAATAGTCCTAAGAAGTTATCAGCCTTTTCAAAACACTAGAGATCCTTGACTGATGCGGTTCTTTCATCATTCGCGTATAAAAAGCTGCCTTGTTCTACGTGTGTTCGACGTGGATGCGAAGATATTTGCCCAAATGGTACTTGCCTGATTGACTTGCCTAGATCAATGCTTATTCCGATTGGTTTACAAGGGACCCTGTTGGCTGGACAAGAGAAGAAGTTCATATTGTCCCGCATCTTCTTTAATTCCATTATTTAAAGTGATTCGCAGACCTGCGCTTGATGACACGGAAGAACTGCGCTTGAAGATCGTCAACATGAGCGACCGAATCCGAGACCTCGAAGATGCCTTGGAGGTAGCCCATCCTCGGGACACCAAGGGGCCGCATCCACTCCTTTGCAACGACTTGAAAGCTATAAAATTCGTCGTTGGCCTCAATGTAGAATCAGAAAATGACATTCCTCGACATATACACGATCCACTTGAATCATTTGGCGCTCTCAAGATATCGGACGATGGGGAAAGTCGATTCTTAGGTCCATCGGCCGGGTCAGAGGTAAGTTGGTGTGATACTTAAGTCGCTATATGTTGTATTTCGTGCTCATGCTTAAACTAGGGCATACTTCTTGTGAACTATCGTTTTCATTACAGAGAATCTACACCCTTTTTGACCATCATTACTTTCTAGAACGAACTTGCGCATGTACGGTCGGAAGACGATTCTGGCTCACAGATAGAAATACCGCCCAAACTCTATGAACTTGCTCAAATGTGGCCCTTTACTCCGATCGACCTACCTAAAGATGATATCCGGATAATTATCGAGGCGCAATTGCCGACGCTAGATCGAGCCACCGCACTCTGCAACGCCTATATTGAACATGTTAGCTGGTACTGTATGCCTGTCTCCCAACAACAGTTATTTAGAGAACTCCTGGCGGCTACATATGGTCAGATGTCAAGCGACAATCGGCAAGCAGAGGATACGCATCAAACATTTCGTAAGCTTGACAATCACGACCTGGCTTTACTGCTTGTGGTGTTCGCATGTGGTGCTGCATGTGAACAGTACCGCGAGCCCAAGCATGGTGACGGCCAGCAGTATTACCGGCTCTCCCGAGTCGCTCTCGGTCTTCAGCCTATCTTTGCAAGATCGTCTTTGACAACCGTCCAAGTACTATTACTGATGGCATTATACGACATCGTCTCAATGCGGAAAAACAACCTTGAAGAGACTTGGAAAGTAGTATTCATGGCTGCAAATATTGCTGGCAGTGTACGTCTATCATTGGAGTGATGATGCGTATGGGCTTATTTTTCTTCATCCAGATCGGTCTTCGTATGTTTTCGTTTCTCACCTTGAGGATTGGACGACTAATATTGTCGACAGATCGTGATCCCGGACGCTGGAAACTGGAACCGAAAGTTATGGAACGAAGGCGGAATGTTTTCTGGGAGTTGTATCTCCTCTGTAATTGGCAGGTGCTTAAGAGTATATTTCGTTCAAAAGTTTTCACTGATAAAATGCGTTGAGTGTCTCGCCAGCGGAAGGTCGCCTCCATTCGTGCGGAGTTCTGTTGATGTGCACCTACCTCAGGATGTCGATATGACTATCTTTAGAGGAAAGACTATCCCGGGCTGTAAGTCAACTTTAGTAGTTTGGCTTTCTCTTACGATTGAATGCCCTTCCAGATAGAACGTGGAAATTTCAATTCCTCGATGAATGCATAGCACCCGTGACAGACAGACTATGCGCAGACTCAACACCTCTAAAGTACTACGAGCTGGTAAACTTTGACAAGAAGATTCGCGACTTCGACGATATCGAATTCCTGCCAGGCAACGCAGCTTCACTGACAAGTGACAATGGTAATGTTCCTTTGTCGCTGCGGAACAAAATGCTCTGTTACAAGAGCTCGCGTAAGTGTTCCTTACCATATTTGCCGTCGTCCGGAGGAATCAATAATAGTATGTTCCAGTTCTACTATATCTGCACCGAAATTTCTTCGCAAAGGCCATCTCCGAGTCTCCCGACAACCCACGTCGCCCACCCTACGGCATATCGTTTATGGCTGCATTCAGTAATGCCGTGTCTATACTCGAAGTGATGCATCAGGAACGTGCTGTGATTTCGCCTTGGATCACCCGCTTCTGGTCTATCATTGCGCATGCTTTAGAGTGCGGTGTATGTCTACCACCCCTTCCACACTTGTTTTATAACTAATTCAACACGAAGTTTGTCGTTGGTTCTGTTGCTGCTCGATGTCCCAGAACAAGCTTTGCCACCCCAGCATACCAGAGTCTTGAATTTGCTATTGAGTTATTCCGCGATAACAACCATCCGGTGACGAAGATCGGACTGGTAGGTGTACTCTAGCACATTGGTTCATCGTCTGTCATTAACTGCTCATGGTAATGCAGCCGGTCCTACTTCGTCTCCGAGAGAAAGCACAACAAGCAATACATTCAAGCCATATAGTCCCGTCGAATGTTTCATCCACCCCTGTAAATACAGGTTCAAGCGAAAAGGATGCGGCTGATGAGCTCAGCATCCTTCGAGGCGCTTCCCGAGTTATCATTCAGTCGTCTGATAAGCAAGACGTTGAAGCGACATCAGGCTCCTCTCACACAACACCGGGATCGACATTATCTAGTGATGCCACTTCTGAACAAGCACTTTACGGTCAGCTGCCATCTGCCACACATGGCGAGCTTCTCAAGCAGGTTCCTTCCACTGCGTTTGTGCCAGTGCAAGATCAGACCGCGTCGGACCCGTTCCTCGAAGCAAATTCATTCAGCTGGCAGGATTTCTTCGACCAACCAGGAGACCAGTCTCTTTTTTCTGGTGATTTCGCTATGGGCGATGCTTTCGTTGGCCAGCCTTCCTCCACTCTGCCTCCGGATGTACCCATCGAGTTACCGGAGCTCTGGACTTATATTGGAACTAATACTCCACCTTAATCCGATCATATTTTCTTCTCTAAAGCGTTACAGCCAAGGTAGCCTCCATTCTACAAACCCGATCAATACGTGTCTCCTTCTCTTGGAGAGTTTTTGTGTTCCTAGGTGGCACCTTATGCATGTTCTGTTGTCTTTATAGCTAATCAATGTATTGAATAATTGTTGGAAACCTGGCAAGTACTCAAAATGCATAACTGTGCAGTTTGGATTTTAGTTCAGACACGAAGCTATAGTAACCTATATGCGTTGGCCACTACACACTCGACGAAAGGTTGATACGATAATAAACCATGTGGAGCAGAAACAGGCCAAAATGGGCGTGGATCGTGATACAGTCATACAACAAGATCATGGGGTGCTCGAAACAGCACCCCAGACTCAAAGTAGACTAATACTAATATAGTACTTTTCTCTCTATGAGTTTGTTTTTAAAACTCATTTCTCGCGTGCTCTGAGACATCCTGTCCACTGCCATGGGTTCTAATGACTCTTACGCCGCAGACCATGCAAAGCGCCTGGAGTTATTTAAACTTGCTGCTCTCTTAGCGTGTCTTTCTGCCGGAGCAGCAGTGGTTGAACTGTATGTAAATGGGGAACTGAGTGACATGTCGGACTCGGACATGTCAGACCCAGAATCGGATGCAGAGGTCCGGAACTTGTCATCACGTCTACTTCTGGATTGCCTTCATCATCAACTCGACCTTTAGATGCAAATAACTGAATCTTCCGCATCGGTTTCTATACCCAAACCTCCAGCGGATGTGAAGGAGGTTCTCGATAATGAGATCAAGTGAGTATTGTCCCAAACAATTTCGTCAAGTTACTCAATAGCTCTATCAACCAGGGAATGGCATTTTCGTGAGTCACAACCGAATTACTCAGGTAATTAATGCTTTATCTACGCGACTTCCGTTCAGATATCTACTTCTTGCAAAACAACAAAGAACAGCATGAGGCTGCATTGAACTTGCGCGACTCCGTGCTTCGTTTGAGACGTGATGGCGCTTTTGTTGCTGTTCCTCTGGATAGAGTTAACATGGGCCCTATTGGACCTCACCCAGCCGGTAAGTGAAGAAAGAAGACCGTGATAGTGCGCATCCTGATAAGTGTGTTTGCATTTATCAGGGTCCTATGAGATTTGGTGCCCGTCCGAATCTTTTGCGTCTGTATTCTCCTATCTCTGCATGAATCGCGGTGATCTCAGGTCGGTGATCTTCGCCAATTTAGATTTTCAAATCAAGTCACTTATTGAGAGATGGCATATTTGTACATGCATTAGTATCCTTGTCCATCCATTGACTCGAGAAGAGGTATGTCGGCATAGCCTCAAGGCGCAATGTAATATCTAACTGTAATTTACAACACTTATAACTAGAGAGCGTTAGTATTCCAGCTCGTTCCTGACATACACCGCTTAAATGCTCGGTAGAGATCACCAATTCCGCAACGCATGGATAGGACCATCTTTCCCGTTAGACTTGTCCAAGCTACCGGTACTGTCCGAAGATATACCTCTTCAGTATCCGAGTCTCGGTAACTACTTACCCTCCTTTATCATTTTGGTTAAATAACACATTTTGTTGATATCAGGCGTCGGATATTCCTCCACGGCTACGCAACCATCTCTTGAGGAGCGGAAGGCAGCAGGTCGAAAGGTCGAAAAGACTCTAAGGAAGTACGAACCTGATGCGGCTCCTGCTCCTCGTGATTGATTATCACGAGGAGATCGATTATCGGTATCTTGTATTCCACACCGTATAAAGGCATACGTGCTGTTGTAGGTACAGTCAACTCTAGTTACAAATTTTATTTGATATTTTCGACGGGGAGTAACCTTTTAACGATGCAGTGATAGCTTTACCTAGACCTAGAGAAATCCTTTTGAGATGAAAGAAAAGTATAACATTACTCCACAACCCCTTCCACAATGCTAACAGGTATCGAGAAGCACATGCAATGTAACCAATTACGATGGTGGAATTCTAATAGTGATGTTCTCAACGACATACTCCGAGTCCGCGTAACCAAGAACATGCGGAATGTTCGAGCTTCGGGAAAATGTCAATCAGCATGCCACAGTCGTAAACAACGGGAAGACAATATATACCTTTTCATCCCTTTTACACGCCTAATCTGTGCGGAGTTGTAGTTGGCAAGACCACGACCAACCTCAACGAGATCCCACCCATCATCGACTTCGTCCTCATCCTTATCATTGTGCTCGTCTTCCGCTGCATTTGGATGACCCGTCGTTGAAGAGCCGCTATCCGCAGACGTCGCGCGAGGGAGCTGGTCTAAAGAGAGGATTGACGAAGACGAAGACGGGACGGGTGGTAGGATCGGGGTACTAGGCTCCGTCACGAATGGTGAGCCATGCCCATACGAGGCAAGCGTGGCCTTTGCCATAGCAGTTGTAACGTCTCGTTCTTCGACCGGTGAAGCGCCAGGCTTCCGTTTGCGCACCACAATACGCACAGCTTGTCCCGATGCGAATGTACCTTTAACGCCGAGTACTCCTGCTGGGAGAAGTCGACCACCGGAGTCTCGACGGGATAGCACGAGATGCGCTCCAGCATCTATGATAACGCTGCCTGCTGGGGCCAGAGTATGTGATGTCCACGATTTGAGATCGCGCAGCGGAATCGGTGATGGCATGAACATCGTGTGGGGAGGGCGAACGAGGGTTTTCTGAGGAGACTCAGGGGATGGGAGACATTCTCGTACTTCCATTTTCGGTGTTGATTGCTCAGGAGCAGGACTTGTGCGCCCGGATAAAGGTTCTCGAGGAGTCGATGGCATTGAATCGGAAGAAGAGCGTATCGAGTTGTTATACTCGATGATCTCGAATATTCGTTCGGGATGGGCGCTAGAAGAAATGACGGTAGCCACTCCAGCCGCGGTGGCAATCTCGGCAGCAATGAGTTTTGTCTCCATTCCTCCTGTACCTAACTTTGATCCTAGAGTTTTGGTGCTCACTATATCATGAGTTAATTTCCTCCAAGTAGAGACCAGTGAAGAAGAGCTATATTATACCTTGAGAGCGGATGGCTTGAATCGAAGTGACAACATCGATCGGCTTCGCCGATGGATCCTTCCGAGGATTTGTGGTATATAGGCCGTCTACGTCGGTCAATAAGAAAAGATAGTCAGCATGTAGCATTGCGGATGTGATGGCCGATAATGTGTCGTTGTCCCCAAATTTGATTTCCTTCAGATCAGAGAGTTATGTATCGTTCCTTGAACAGAGAAAGGATGACATACGCTGATGGAAATCGTATCATTTTCGTTCACAATCGGCACAATACCCATTGAGAGCAATTCGGTCAAGGTGTTTACTGCGTTCAGATATCGCGTCCTCTGGTCATTTGAATATGAGATTGGGAGCTCGTTCGCAAAGCGATGCTACGAACATCAGCTATATCGCCTCGGGTAATGAGGACCTGGGCTATGGACTGCCCAAGCTGTCCGAACAAGTTATCCCATAGTGCAATTAATCTGCCTTGACCAATCGCCGCCAATGCCTAATTCCCGATCAGTACGAAGGAATCAATTAAATAAGTTGACTGCATGACACCTGAACACCGGCTAGATTCTTCGGTCTACTTCCGAGGTTCATGGTTTTCAATCCTACTCCAATAGCACCTGAGCTAACAAGCACAACTTTGTGACCCTCTGCCTTCAAACGCAAAACGGTCTCGACAACTGCCGAAAGACGTGAAAGTAACGGTTGATGCGTAGTCTCGTGAACAATGGATGAAGTTCCTATATTCTAACTTCAGGCCTTGACACGCGATCTTTACTTCAATGAAGCACACCTAGTTTGATAACGATTGTGCACGGGAGTCCATGCTTATGGCGAGCCATGATGAGAGTGTCGTTGCTGGAAACCAAGAGGAAGCAACTCTTAATTTGACTTTTGAGCCTTGACTCGCTCGTTCCCACGGTAGTTTCCGATGGACCGATATCTCCGAACCTTGACATTACTTCCACATTGATCAATCCAGTCCAGACATATTGCATTTCTGAGCCTTGGAATTATATATGCACATAAAAAGATATGACTACATCATCAACTGCGTTTGATCCTATTTAAGAGTCCCTGATGCAAGAATCTGTGTAATTAATGTAGGTGTGAAACTGTAGTGGCTTCCGTCAAAGGTTTGTCGAGTGTGAAGGTAGCGTCATCTTCCGCCTTCAAGGATGCTAGGAGGGTCCACAGTTATAGTGAAATTTGAGGTTTCGGAGAGAGTGAAGGCCTCGCGTTATGTCACAGCGTTCCTCATTAGTGAATAATAAGCTTCCCCAAAGAGGAAGGTCTCAGGGCTGAAATTCGGTATCTCCTCTCCCCATCCTGCGTTGCAGATAATTATTTCCTCCTGGCGCTACACTTATCTTCACTTACCCTTTTACCTGACCATTAATCTACCTCGCTTGCACGATTTTGCTCTCAAAATACTTCGCCGACTTTCTGGAGTCCTCAGCATGCCAGTGAAACGGAACGCGTCGAAAGCGCGTCTCGTTTCTCGGCCTAGCCCTTACAACAGTTCTGTATCGCTTTTTGAAGCTTCGGACTCTTCGACCATCGTAGAAAATGGGAAAATCGGTCCTAAACGCTCAAAGCGCTCCAAAGTTGTCATTGAAAAAGTGGAGAAGACAGAAGACACTGAAGAGATCATTTCTCCAGCAACTCTGGACCAGGCCAGCGCTATTGACGCTGAACTTTCGGAAAGGCCAAGGAAGCGCGCTTCGAATCCGTCTCCGTCTCCAAAGAAAAATAAACCTATTCAGATGATGCTAGATAAGCCTCACCCCACACCTCCCAGATGGAAGGAAACATACGACGCAATAAAGGAGATGCGGAAGAAATATATCGCTCCAGTGGATACAATGGGCTGTGAGCAAGCTCAACTTAGCGAAATCGATCCAAAGGTAGGCAGGATGTTCTTTCTGTTCCTGTCCATTTTACTGATCTTTTGCCTGCCTAGGGACGGAGACTGTCCACTCTTGTGTCCCTCATGTTATCGTCTCAGACGAAAGACGAAGTTACTGATGCTGCTGTAAAGAAACTGCGAAAAGCTCTTGGGGAAAGCATCACAGTGGAAGCTCTAATACAAGCGGATGAGAGTACAATATCCGAAGCTATTAATAAGGTTGGCTTCTGGCGTAGGAAGACACAGTAAGTATTACAATCGGCTCATGCATAATGCAAAGAATCCGATCATGCTGCCTGACCAGGTATATCAAGCAAGCAGCAATCCGCTTGCGTGATGACTTCGGCTCAGACGTTCCCAAAACGGTGGACGAACTCTGTTCTCTCCCAGGAGTAGGGCCTAAAATGGCCTTTTTGTGCCTTCAACGGGCTTGGGACATGTGAGTTTCATCGTTCTTTCATTTACTATGTCGATGTAAATTTGTTGCAGCAATGATGGCATTGGCGTCGATGTTCATGTCCACAGGATAACAAACCGGCTTCGCTGGCACAAGCCGCAGACTAAAACTCCAGAGGAGACGAGGTATACTCTTTCATTATTTACTTTGTGTGTCAATTGTGCCTTCAACTCACGCGTCTTAGATTAAACTTGCAGTCTTGGCTTCCGAAGGAACTCCATCCGGATATAAACCACTTGCTTGTTGGATTTGGACAGGTCAGTAACGCTTCGTTATCCGGTGCAACTGGACCCAGTCTAACTTTGATATCTTTTTAGACAATTTGCCTGCCTGTTGGACCGCGATGCGACGATTGCACACTAAGTACATCGGGTCTTTGCCCCAGTGCACAAAATGTAAAGACTTCCAAATCACGCAAAGCCCTACAGCTCCGCGAGGAGGTTGTCGTCGAAGAAATAGATGCAACGTAGAACTGGACTTTTGTAGACTTCTCGCTCGTCTTGCTCTTTCGTCATATTGGTTTTGTCTTTGCTTTGACATGCTTTCGGATAATCTGCAACACCCACTTTGTAGCCCTACGATCCCTTAATTAATCCAAGTCTTGTAAATATAGTTTTTGGTAAACTGAAGCCAGATTTTGCATGCCTTGCGATGTGCTTTTGAAATAGGAATTCCTTTCTCTTGCTCCTTTCGCAAAGGGTATCTGACTAATTAGCTTCCTCCGAAATAAACGGTGTAGTTCGTCTCTTTTCTTGAACTGACAGCCTTATCTTCCAAAGGAACTGCATCAAGGTATTGCTGGCTTGCTTCTTGCTTGTTCGACCGTTGCCCGTAACAAACGTACGTTGTTACACCAGATCTTTACTCTTCTCGGGTAACTAGTATTCACCGTAATCTATTGTGTACATGTACGGACATCACTCACTCATTTTTATTTATATGTTCAAGGTCTACGATAATTCCATCGCCATATCCCAAAATTGCTTTTCGAGCATCGTACACTTTCCCCATACCTCTCTCCACTGCTCGAAACGCTTTGGCGAAGGAGGATCTTCTCGCGCAGCCAATTCAAGAATATCTGCCAGAAAGAAGCATAAATCAGTCATTAGAGGACGTTTGGAGAGACTTCAGGAAACAGCTAGACGAACCTAGGCCAGAACGTACAGCATTTTGGTAACGGACGCCGGAGTAATCTTCGATCCACCTCAGATATGGATTTCCTTCCCATTTGACCCATGGGTTCGGTTTTTGTGCTTGGCTTTTTAACCACAGACCGACTTCACCGTAGCCTAATAAGCACGCAGCGAGCGTTACTATCAAGTGCGTCTCATCGCCTTTGTCACGAATGAGAAAACATAATATCTAGAATTAAAAGTTGCCATGATTAGGATTTCTGATGTCGACTCACCACGCAAACCTGAATCGAGTAGAAATGCTCCATATGCTGTCGTTGCCGGAGATTCTGGAGTACTTTCAAGCTCGATCTCGGTAATGCCGAGTTCTGCCGCGCAATATGACTTGTGCATAGTCACTTCATTTAATACATTGACAATTGTGTCAGTTGCGGGTTTGATGTCAGCGAAGCGGCGAGACTTGGCTACAAGCAGACTAAATGTGTTTAAGATCAACGACAAGAAAGAGATCACCGCAAATGCAGGTCGAAAACGTACCCGTAGGCACGCGCGTAATATTTGAGGTACTGATAGTCTTGCCTAGTAAATCAACGAGTGTCAAACACGCATACTTATGAGGAATAGATGAAGACGGACTTGACGAAATGCAGGAAGCTCTCACGACGGAGAGTTCCTTCCCCGAGTTGCTTGACGAATGGGTGCTCGACGTACTGCTTCCAGACGGACGCATTTGACCGAATGAGTGCACGCGTAAATGGGTATGGATCTTCCTTTGTCGGCCTACGCAAGTAGTCCTTAGCTTATTTTAGCAACTAAGATGACGATGACTACGCACGGAGGAACAACTCTCGGTAAAAATGCATGCATATGGTTCAGTGGGCCGTTACCCTTCCCAAATGAAAACGCAGTTTTGATCCCGGCGTGCGTGTACTCCGATGCAAGGCGGACAGCTTCCATAACTATAGGAGTAAAATTATGGGTCCGTCTGCGAGATGCTTTTGATTCAGGACGCATACATACCACTATTTCCTCGTGCAAGATAGCAGGCGATAGCAGAGCTAAGCGTGCAGCCCGTACCATGCGTGCTCGTAGAGTCGATTCGCGGTCGAGCGAAAACAGTAGTCACATTTCCTTCGCGCTCGTATAGAATGTCAATCACAAGTGATGCATCTGCATTAACGGGCTTCGTTTGTAGTATCTCCATGTTCTCGTCAATGCCTTCCCATATCACCCTAACACGGTTATCCGTTTCGTGACTTGCAACGAAAGAGCTTATATCACCAGCCATTACGGTGAAATGTCCACCCTTCAACAGAACGTCGCACGAACCGAGTTTTGCCAAGCTCGAAGCCGCGTCTAAGGCATCATCGATCGATGATATCGCCTTCTGCTCGTCCGTAGATAATTCTTTAAGCAATAACTCAGCCTCTGCCTTGTTCGGGGTAACTAATGTTGCGAGTGGGAAGAGCTCCTTTGCTAACACTGCAACAGCCTCTGCTTCCAATAGGGTGTGTCCAGATGTTGAGACGCAGACCGGATCGATAACAAGAGGCGGAACGGGCTTTTCTTTGTACAATTCTCTTAAGCACCTTGCGACAGCCCGAGCATTTGCGGCATCATAAAGCATTCCGGTCTTAAATGCAGCAACGCCAGTGTCCGTTAGAACCGAAGTTAACTGGTTGAGGTGTTATCAGCATGTGATTATTTGTTAATATTGATAACGCATTTCTGACCTGCTTCTCGATGAAATCCGGAGGAACGGGGAATACTCCTTGTACTCCGGTGGTATTCTGGGCTGTCAAAGCAGTAGCTACGCTCGTCCCATAGCATTGCAACGCAGTGAAGGTCTTTAGGTCTGCCTGAAGAATAGCGCAAATACCAAACATGTATTTTACTCAATTCAAGAAGCAAGTCGAAGGGAAAATGTTAGCACTACCTGAATTCCTGCACCACCGCTCGGGTCCGTCCCAGCAATGGTCATAACCACTGGGTATTTCGACGAAGCCTTTGGCTTAGACATCGTGTTGATGTTGGCGGTTCAAGAGAAAAGAAAGAAAATATAATCATCTGATGACGCAACTCGAGATCGACTTTTGAATAGCTCAGGATCTCGGCTTCGCGGCTCCGAGCATCACTGAGCAGATAAAGCCAGTCTGTAGTTGTGCATTACCTATGTATTTAAATTTATTACGTGGCTAAATTCCACAAATCTACCAACTACTCGATGCACAAAAGTATATGTGGGCTGGGTCCAGAATCCTTAGTATGAAAGGAAGTGCTCGTTTCTGAAAGGATTGAATCACTGGAAGAATGGCAGTAACGACAATAAGAGAACTTACTCTTTCGCCTCTTTTCCCAGTTCTGCAATGCTGAACGAATGTATTATTCTCTGAGTTTAGATGTAATAGCGTAATTTCATTACTCTGATAACTGAGGTGGGTGCTGTGCGTTAGATTATGAGTGTGTCTAGACTCGGTCTATCGTACTCTCCAAAAAAGATCCGGAAAACAAGGAAAAATTGTCAACACAATCCAACAAGCCGCCGTACTTCAGAAAGCGTCCTTCCGGATATCTTTTTAGCCCTCTCAGCTCCCGAATCAGCAATCGTTTGAATATGACCGGGATCTGCTCGCAACCTGAAGAACTCGGTACGTGGCCCTTTCAGTGTCTCCTCAAGTGCCTCGGAAAGATCATTCTTCAGAGCACCGTGATTTCGTTCTCGATATCGTTCAGCGACATCGTGCACGTCTTCATCTATACAACCGGCAAGGAGAGTAAGGAGATTGGATGTTCCTGGTCTTGCCTCGGGATCGTAACTTATGTACGGAAGTGAATCTGTGACGGCACTACGAATTTTCTTGTGGATGATTGTCGCATCGTCTGTTAGCAGAATGCGAGAATTCTCGTCTACAGCAGATTTTGACATCTTAGCCGATGGATCTTTCAACGAAAGTATGCGCTTGGAGGGGTCTGAAGGGAAGAATGGCGTAAGACACCAAAACAGAAACGGGACATGCTGCAACTTACTGATTACACAAGTAGGGAGTGGGAAAAATGAATTGTTAGTCGTCCGACTGAACGATTCCGCAAGGTCGCGACACAACTCGAGGTGCTGTTGCTGGTCATCTCCGACAGGAACGTGCGTCGATCTGGTAGGATCGGATAATTAGATCTTATTTACGGAGTAAAGATATATAAAAACTTGTACCTATAAGCCATGATATCTGCTGCTTGTAGAACGGGATAGGTGAACAGACCAGTATTCAGCATGGATTCATCAACTTCCGATTCGTCATTAGCATTCCGGGAAACGGCGAGTCTGCTCTATTGGAAGGGTCAAATGGCATAGAAAGACCGATTGAAACAAACACACCTTCCACGTCGTCATACGCCGTAATTTTCCAAAAGGTGTGATGCAGTTCAGTAGCCAAGCAAGCTCAACATGGTCAGGATTCTAATAGAAGGTCACTAAAAACAGTCCATATTTTAGCAGTGTCCCACAAACCTGGTCTTGGTGGAATATGATTGATCTTTGCGGATCGAGCCCAATTGCTATCAATGTAGCAAAAATATCATTCTTTGCTTCGAGCAATTTTTTCGGATCCTGAGGTAATGTTAAAGCATGCCAGCCGACCACGGAGAAAATTAGCTGGTCCTCAGGTCGGGCCTCCTGCTGCATTTTGACCCAGTTTTTGAGTGCGCCTAGATAGTTTCCTATCTGAATTCATAAGTAACCACGCCAAAATCGGACGAAGAGTTGAAACGAACATGGGGCACGCCGGTCGGCTGAATTCCGGAGAAAATAACCTTTGGCTTGTTACATTTGCTTGCTGAGTTTATGTACCTCCTTGCACAAGTTCGACATCGTAGCAGTCGAGGATTACTGAGCATAATTGCTCTTTGTATAGCCGTACGCTCCAAAGGGGGATTGAGATAGGACCGAGCGGAGGAAGAGAAGTTAGAGAACGCGTCGCGGCGCGTGCGACTTTGGTCCTTACGCCCATGATCCTGGCGTCTGCTTAGTGATGTCCTCTGCTCTCTCACTTTCCCTAGGGGTCTCCGTTGCTTGTCTGTTAATATAATACCTCCACTGCCATCAAGCTGTCCGAAATGGAACCTCCCGAGGCTACTCAATTCAAAAATGTCACCCATCTCTTTGAAGAGGCTTCCCAAGGTCTGCTTCTTCAATCAATTGGCCCGAGCCACCTTCTCAAATTGATTTAAGAAATGGGGATCGATGAATTACTCATGGTAGACGGCTTCACACTGTATGAGGCAATGAGCGCTGTTGAGGTGAGTACCATCAGTGTTTGCTATTCAGACACGAGTTGAACAGCACGATCAGATAGGTGACCCTCGCATGGACAGCGGAGCGCCTTTGTCCAGTGGCGAGCAGCAACCCAACTTCGACCCACTTACACCACTGCTGCCGGAGGAAGTCTGCTGGATCCTTGATCGGGCCATGGCTTGCGAGGTGAATGCAGATGACGGTCTGTCCCGCGCTAGCCGTGTTTGTTCATTGCTGTATCTTGTGCCTATAGATGCACTGGCACGCCGGGAACGCACTTGCTCAGACGGTGTATACTTGTTTATACATGCATCACCTGTCAACCATCAACCATGACGTTATCCATCCAAGAGCTTTAGCTGCGTTTACAGACAAGCGACTGCCAGTTCAGCTGATCTCTCTTGTTATTCGTGCGGGGATGATAGGAATGGTAAAATGCTGTGACTTGGCATATAGAGAATTAATCAAGGGTAATGTTCACGACGTGAGTGCAGATTTTTCTTTTCTTACTTTTCGCTGAATTCGTCAGTGCGAAGACTGGCAAGGTGAAAAATCCGACACCAGTTTACTTGAAAGCATGACACCGCAACGAGTCATCGGCTTATTAGAAGAGGCCGAGATTTGGCTGACACTAGATGAAGGTCTGTCTCCATTCTTCTCAGAATTAGGACGCTCATCTGATATGATTTACAGTTGTTGATCTTCCGTTTCGTTATGAACTCCTAATCCGAATTCGATTACGAAAGGTAAATACATTCTATGTAGTATATTCAGTATACTGACACTGCATACAGGCGTTGGTTCGACTCTTTAGCCTTGAAGTACCACAAAAAATGCCTTTCGTTGTACCTCTTTTAGCAGAAACCCGACATCTACTTGCAAAAATCAAGCAACACTCCATTGATTCACCTGCTGATGGTTCTCCAGCGTATGCAGCTTTTGACCCACGCATTACACGAAGGCTTCATTCTATCATGCCGATGCGCCCTTTAACAATTCCCTCTCAGCCGGGAACTTTGAAAGCTTTGGACGGCCTATTAAATGGTTGGGAGGTGCTTTATCAACTTTCCAGTTGTGAAAGTTTATTGGCTTGGAATGTAATGTTTTCACAATGTATAGGTATTGATCCGAATTTAATAGAATCATTTTTAGACAGACGGACTTTTTCGGGCGAGTAGTCCAGCGTGGACTTTGAGTCGACTTCCGTTCATAAGGTCCCTGGCCCAAGTAGGTGCTTACCTTTTTCCAAAGCCAGATTGCTTAGACTGAAATTCTAGACTGTTTTCTCGAATGGATCCACTATCCTGGATAGGTTTGCCGTATCCTGGCTCGTGGAGCATTTCTTCCTTGAAATTGCGCATGTCAATTTCAGCCATCTAGTGTCCCTCTTTGAACGAAATTTCGGTTACTCCTCAAATTCGTTTGAGGAGTTCCACAGTACTCTGACAAGGGTGGGTGTGCTAGAGTTATTAGTTCGCCGTGGTTAATTAAATCCTTTTCCAGTTGCTAGTTCAACATACTTGGGCTTCATACCATAATCGGCCTCGTCAACGACGACATTCCATGAAGACAGTATTTGATTGGCACGATTTATACGACTCAGCGTTGTCAACGACGGCAAGAATGACGCCTCGAGTAAGCTACATTATCTTCAAACAATATGTGTAAAAAATGCTGACTTCATTATCAGGATAGTTCAGATTCTAGAGTACTGAAATGCATTCCATTGGTGATCTTGCATTGGCGAGCGGGGATCGTCCGAGATATTATTTTGTCAGGATTCGAATTGGAGTTGTACGCCGCCGAAGAACGTCCCTTTGCGTATTGGTATCTATCGGAGGTCCTTGGTAGCCACGAGGCAATACTTCAGGAGCTATTAAACGCAGTTCCCGAGGGTAGGACTTATACATTCTTGTTGTAAACATTAGATTCTTATATTCCTTATTTTATTCAGATACACCTGCTCACAACCATCTTCTGGCACAGCTACAGTATATCTCGTCATTAAAGGAAATATCTTTGGGATGCTTTACGGTGAGTAATTCGCCTATTGACTAGGCTATCAAAAATGACCTCATGGTTCGTATTCAACGTTATCTTAGGTCTTATGTCATCCTTCAAAATTTGATATTACACGACGGTGGACGAACTTTACCGTCCGTTACAAATGGGCACTCCGGAAGAAATTTGCGGATATCACGACGCCGGATCCGTTCTTACCGGACTATCGTGCGTACATCGAGAGAGAGAAAGCAATACTGTCAGAGGATGAAGTGAATTCAGCTTACAAATCTCTCTTTCTGTCATCCTTACTTATTTTTCATTTTATCAAGAACGGAAGGCGCCAAATGGCTATCGGTCTATTTGATTGCGCGCTGCTGCGACTCGTGCAACTTGGTTCTTTAGCCGACAAGGACATCGCTTTACAACTATGTCGGACAGAGTTCATGCAATATGTGCGTCTTCCTCGATACATACTACCGACATGTCGTCGGTGTCTAATTAGTATTACCTTCAACGTATCCAGCACCTAGCCGGCTTAATGTTTGTCTGCGAGAACGTGAAAGCGACCCTAGCATCTACATTGAATACTCCGGCTTTAGAGCAATTACGGTTTGAGTGGGACCTTGATGTCTGCCCGTGGTTCCCGCAAGTGGAATTGTAGTCGCAGTCTTCAGCGTTGGGAGCACAAGTCTGATTTGAAATCGCTGTTCGTTGTTGCACACGCACATCCGTTTCCTATTTCACGCTCGGATGTATCATTTATCGAGTAGAATAATAAAGCAAGACATTTATGCACAAAAAGGTGCAGCAATAGCCTGAGCAATTTTTTCAGCTACGAACTACGAGAGACAGTTCTGGAGAATGCACTACTTGGATTCGACAAGATTCAAAGGTATACATCTTGTGTGTCTGGAGGTAAAGCATCACAGTTTATTCTCGTAGACAAACTTATACTCAATGCCTCCATTCAAATTGTGCTAGTGCAGTCAATTCAATAACGGATGAAATTCATCTTGTATCTCTAACGTACCAACACATCACCTCCCTTTCTCCCTTTCACTTTAGCCTTGTGTGGTGGGCACTCAGATAATCCTTTCTTCTGACAAAACTTGCATAGAAGTGGCTGGGGCTGGATGTATTCACACTTATTGTAGATGGTATGAGATTGGTACAGAGGTAAGAAATGAACAATGACTTACCTTTCCCCTTCGATCCTGGCAATTGCCACAAGGCCTTGGGTTCCTTCTATTGTTGGTGTTCGTGTTGATTGTGATGCTTTCATCTGATTTAAAACTAGTCAAAAGCACTTCACAGTAAGCTTTGTACTACTGACTGGGAATACTATTTGTTCCAGGCATTGTGCTGGATGCATGATGATACATGCTCAGATCAAGATTAATATTCTGAAGCAGGTATTGACTCTGGTTTTCTATGTCCTTGGACACATCTCTTGTTGCTTTCACACTAGGAGGACATACTCCTAGATTGAGATGGTCTGTAATATCATTGTATAAATAGGATGAAGAGCTATAGTAATAGGTTATAGAAGATGCTTACTGTTACACAGTGTTTGAAGCTGACTAGACAATATATGAATACTATTAATCAAACAACAGATCAAGTCTACATACTCATTACAACCCAAGCAGATGCAATCAATTGGATGGCTTGCACCAGGCATCTCAACAGGCTGTACAGACAATAGTTAGTAATAAAACTAAAATCATTTGGCTCTGTAAATAATATACAAATGTAAACATGTCTCCACAAAGGTTATGGCCATAATAGTTGTTTTCACTGTAGAGCACATTATTAGTCAAATCAGCAGTATTAGAAAGTAAGCTAGTAACCTTCTGCAGTGATGCATACTAATGTTTTGTTGAATACATCACCAAAACGTGCAGAGTCTGACAAGACAATATATTTACATGTAGACTTTATAAGCGAATATAAGGATCCACAATATGTAAAAAATATATGTCTTAGCAGTAAATTCCAATACATTTTCGTGTTCGATTTGGTGATGTAGATATGAAAAAATGTGAAGAGTGATGCTTCAGGAGATAGAAAGGAATACAGTTGATGTTACTCTCACTCACTACCAATCCTCTCATTTATATATCTGAGGTTCTGCAGTATATGTTATTAGTGTAGTATGAAAGATTGTATACAACCGGGAGGTGTTCCAATGACAGACTAGAGAAAAAGGAAAGCAATCACTACTGGAAGCCATACATACAATGTAGTGCTACTAAATACAGAATGTGATGTTGGAAATCATGTATCATGTTGAAATTCAGGTTATAGAGTCTAACTTCAATGTGTCCCCATGATCAGATTGTAGATGTTCTCACACAAGCATCACTCCAGCCATGAGTTGAATCAGGAAGTCTTCAATCAAGAACCATGATCGAGGCTAAATCCTCTTAAACTAAGACTAGCTTAAACGGTTTTAAACCTTGGTCCGAACCTAGCAACAGACTTTGAGTCCGGTCCGAAGCTGTTTTTAAAGATCAAAGTAAGTCAAAGTTGGTGATCGGACCGTGGACCGGTCAATTACTCTAATCATCCCCCATTTGCTCATCGCCTGAATCCTCTACAACGTCTACTCAATCGCCTCCACCTGCTCTTTCAACTCCACCGCCTTCTCTCTTTCCGGGAACACCAACGGCAAGCACATACTGAACCAGATATACACTACTACCACCCTATACAACGAATCCAACTTCAACAGCGTGTCGATCTTCAGAGACGCAGCGTCGGATGACGCTTCCTTTCCCCTCGGCGCATCTCGTACAAAGCAAAAAGCTTCGAGGAGTCCGACGCCTCCGACCCCACGAAGAAATTCAAAAAAGAGCTTGACGTGCATGTCCCTTTCTGTTCCACAGAAGCAAATTTGCTCTTCACTTCCGTCATGAAGTCCTCCATCTGCAATCTAATCTTGACTATGTGATTGTGAACGGGTATCAGTCCGAATACGAAATCACTAGAAGTGTAAGGTTTACTGAGTACCTAATATTTGATAACACGGTCTATTCTATATGCAAGTTCCAAGAAGAAGAAAAAAGAGGCAGGGGGGGGGGGGAGGGGAGTAAGGATAATGAGGAAGAGGAGACAGAGACAATAATGATAGTTTTGGATACTCGGATATTAGAGGTGTATTGTATTCTAAGTCAGCAAGACTGTTTAAAGTAAGTAATAATCACTGAGCAGAGGTGAGCGTTGAGATTATACTGTGAACGCTACTCCAGATGCCTCCTTAGACCTCGACCTCACAACAACTGCTTCATCCCCACTTTCATCCTCATCGCCATCTTCATCTTCATCTTCATATTCATCCTCCAGCTGTTCTTCCATAATTTCATCATCCAAAACGTCCTTCTCCTCACTCTCGCTCTCTCCGAGCCCCTCCTCGTCATCCTCGACCCTCCCCTGCATAGCCATCGCCTGCATCCTCTGCAACGTCCACTCAATCCCCTCCTCCACCTCCTCTTTCAACTTCACAGCCCTCTCCCTCTCAGGAAACGCCAACGGCAACCTCAAACTAAACCACATATACACCACCACAACCCTATACAACGACTCCAACTTCAACAGCGTGTCGATCTTCAATGGCGGAACACCCTCAGAGGAGGAGGAGGAGGAGGAGGAGGAGGATTTGGATGAAGCTTCCTTCGCCCGTGCATCTCGTACAAAGTCCCGCGCTTCAAGTAGCCCAACCCCACGAAGACATTCAAACAGCTTAACATGCATCTCCTTCCTATACGAATTAATAAACCTCTTCGCAGCCATCTTCACCGCTCCATCTCTCCAAATCACAGGTGCCAAAAAAACTCTCAACCTCTCCTCAAGCGTAAAATCTTTACAATACGTATCAATCACAGGTACAACATCCTCCGCCATCTTCCCCAAATCTCGTAACGCATAACAAGGCGCAAGTCTCGCCGTACTCCGAAGAATATCAAAAACAGCACTGAATTTAGTTTGTTTTTGTTTTTGTGGACGGACGAGTTGTTCGAGAGAGTGGAACATGTTTTGTGTTGTTGGTAAGATCGCGCGTTTTGAGACGGGTACGGAGCGGGATTCGACGGCTTTGCGGACTGTTGGGAGGTCTCGTTCGTGTATGGTTGTGACGACTCCACCTGGGTCGGTGTCTGTGCCGTGCATGCCGAAACGGCCTGCTCGGCCTGCGATTTGTTTGAGTTGGGAGAGGGAGAGGGCGCGTTGGTTCGTTCCGTCCCATTTTTGGGAGCTTTCGAAGACTATGCGTTTGATTTTCCTGTGTGATAATACCGTTAAGTTTAATATCGATAAAGCGAGGTAAGGCGATGAGAACGTACAAGTTCAGACCCATGCCTATGGCATCGCTCCCAACGAGCACGTCATACCCCGAATCAGGGTCGTTGAATCGTTCGGCTTGTTCACTCCGTACTTCAGGAGGCAAACGTCCATAAATAATCGCACATCGCATACCCGTCGCTTCTTCTATCTGCTCTTTCAAGCTGAATAGCATACTCCGAGAGAACGAGACCACACAGTCACCCTTTTGGATCTTTGTTAGGTCTCCCTTGAGGGATTTAGAAGCGACTGTGAGAGGTGTAAGACGCTCGTAACGATGTACTATGAGCTCGTCCCCGACGTCCTTAAGCATTTCTTGAACAAGTGGAACTGCCCCTGCTTCTCCACAGAGATGGATTTCCTCTGCGTGTAACCCCAGAACTGCAGCTGTCCAAGCTCCGCCACGTTCTGGATCAGAAAGCATTTGGATTTCATCTACGACAGCGACTTCGTATCGTTTGCTCGTATCAATCATCTCCACTGTACAGCTTAGTAGATTAGCGTCCTCGGAGATCATGCGGACCTCTTCTCCGGTGACGAGATTACATAGTCGCTTGAACGTTTCGGGTGGAGCAGACGGATCAGCACCGAGAGGAACAATTCGACCATTATTGAGTCGATCGAAGATTTCGTAAGCGAGGAGTCGGAGAGGCGAGGCGTAGACACCACGTCTCGACGCAGCGAGTGCACGTAGTGCATTATGTGTTTTCCCACTATTCGTCGGTCCGACGTGCATATGAATTTTTCGTCGTAGCATGCGAGCTGTCGGGTACCACTCTTCCGGATGTGTATGGTCCACGGCGTTCTGTAAAGACTCGAGAGTGCTAAATACCGGAGGAGGAGCGAGCTCTCGTGCTTGAGGGTTCTCCAACGCCCAAGCCATGAACCTTCGAGTCAGCGCATGGTCAATAGCATCAGATACATTTTCCCTCGCGTTATCCAGAATCCGATTCATCTGCCACTTTTCATCTTCCTCTGGAGGGAACCAACCACCAAACGCCGTTGGTGTCTCCTCAGCAAATGCTTTTAAAAGCTTCTTCGCCCATGCAGGAGAGACGCCCACTTCTCTCAGTCGTGCAGTTGTCGAAGGAGCCCGAGCCCAATTGTAAGTGCTGTAAGCTAGTCTTTTTCGAATATTCGGGACGGCCATCGTATACCCCGGTAAGTGTTTGCCACGCCTTCGTGAGTTGAAACCATTTTGCCATGTGTCGGCTTCCGGGGGTGCGATGTCTTCGTATCGAGCGGTGGCTAATTTCTTTGGGTCTGATTTGTGTTTCCATTTGCTTGAGCTTCGTTGGAGTACCGCAGATGTTTGGAAGCTACGTCTTGATATGCTAGCATCTAGAAGCGAGATTCTGCATCCTCTGCATAGCGAGAAGGATGCTCTGAGCATGGACGGCAATGACGAGAGGTCAAAAAGCCGAAGACAGTCAAAGTCAAAAAAAGTTGCGTCTTTCCAGTTACGGCAATTCTTCATGATCGACGCTTCTTCTACTCCCGGTTCCGACTTTCTTTACTTCTTCAACCGACGACGATGGCGACTGTCCCTCCACGCCTCCTCAAATCCCTCAATCGTCTCCGATGTTCAATATTCCAAACTTCATTCAACCCAACTTCCCGACGAACAGGCGCTAAATACCTCAAATCGCGTCTTCGCGGCCCGTCCATGGTCGAATACTACCCTCCTCGCGACGAACATTCCATCGGCGCGCTCAACAGGATGTATCCGGGTTGGAACCTTGTTGATATCGAGGAAGTACGGAGGAATATCTCTATACAGGAGCATAAGGATAGAGGGAAGGGTGCTCCGAAGAAGGCTAAGAATAAGGGTAAGTGTATATTCGTTCATGAATTGCATGAGCTTGTCTGACCCATTTAATGTCTTCCGTTTCTGCTAATAGAGGAATCTCGTCGTGTAAAGAAGAAGCGGTAGCTTGTTGTTGCTTTCTCATTACGCACCTTGAACTGTTATATCACTGCTACCCTCGAGTTCGCGACGATACACCTTCAATCTTATCTATCAGCAATTTTTCTACTCACCTACATACCGAGCTGTAGAGACCATCTAATAAATACTACACGCATCATTTTCAGTATTTCTGATGTAACAACTTGAAATGGTAGCAAAACTCTACAAAGCTATAAGCTATAAGCATAGAACAAAGTGTAGAACCTTGAAAAGAAATAATGCGATTATAATTCATGCAAGGCTAATTTCGAAAAAGTCGAGACGAGACGCGACGCGCTTCTGAAAATTCCACTTTCTCTGCCTCTGCACTTTTGCCTTGCCTCCTCGTAAAGTCATGTCCCCCATCACACGTCCAACAGCAACTTCCTCTCAACTCAACTCAAAATCAAAATCAAAACCTCCGGGAAAGGACAAAGACAAAGACAAACCCTCCAAACTGAAACAAAAAAGGAAGGAGAAGGAAACTGAAAAGTCGAAGGCCATAAAATCCAAAGCACTCATTGACGATTCCGACCTGGAATCAGATGATGTAGAAGAGGTAGAGGTAGCACCGGAGCCGGAAACAGAATCGTCTAGCTCACTCGTCCCACCCGGTTCGACGAGACTCACCACTCTCCTTGACGGAGACGACTTCGATTACGATACGTTAGAAGGGAATGATGACCTCGAGTTATGGGTTTTACGTGTTCCTGAGGGGGTGAGTTTCCGTTCACCATACTTCTTCTACGTTCCGCTAGTGCTACTACTTTACGGTTCTATTCGGCTTGAATAGTATTGCAGCATGGATTCACTTACGAAAAATCGTATCCAGATAAAACCAAAATACCTATCAAACCTCACCCTCACCCTCCCACCTCCTACAACCTCAACGTCCTCCCAAAAACTCGGAAAGCTCGAAGGGAAGACCGCGACGTACGACGTTTGGTCCGTTCCTTCCTCTTCTACCAACACTACTTCGTTCAATGCCGATGACGACGGAGATGATGAACAAGGACGAGACGTCGGGAATACAGTCGGAGGGGAAGAACTCCTCGGTTTGGGTTGTCTTTTACCTAGACGGAGGAAGGAAGGGAAGCTGTTCGTTGGTAAGTACTCCAATCTCTACTCTTCTTCCATCGTTTCTTCTCTATCTAGAGATTTACTAATACACATTTCCTATATCCACACTCGATTGTGAATCTACGACAGCCCCGAAACCAATAACACACCACCTCGTCCTAACCGCTCAACCGACCCTCCCAACCCCGCCTCCGTCCTCACCTGAGGCCGAGACTAACAATTCTGGAGAATGCACGCTGAAAACGAGTGAGGGTATATACAGAAGCCCTGCGCGGTACCAACATCCCAAACACCTCCTTAAACACCGGTTCATACCAACAGGCGCAAGCGAAGGCAACCACTCTTCATCGTCGAAGACAGGTGGTGAAGCTGTCGGTGAAGAAAACAGAATAGAAGTCGACGGGCGGGCTTCTACTAGTAAGACGAAGGTCAAGGCGACCCCAAGCAAGACAGAGAAGGAGAAGAAGAAAAAGGAGAAGAAGGAGAAGAAGGAAACCGAGAAAGAGGAGGACGTAACCGAGAGCCCGACGAAGAAGAAACGAAAAGCAGAGGGTGAATCGAAGAAGAAGAGCAAAAAAGCAAAAACGACTACTGTTGAATCATGACATTCCTCGCGTACAGAAATTGTCTAAGCCTGTAGCTTATACCTAGAACCCTATGAAAATAGGCTTTTAAATGGAAATGGGTAACTTTAGAAACTTGTAGGGATAAGACTGATCCACTCTGATACCTACTCTAGCAATCTACATCCTACGAGTTTTCTCTACACACTCAAGGGTAGACTTGATGTACAGCAATTCTTAGTACTATTCTCAGTATCTCAACATTATGAACTCAACCAGAGCAATAACAAATGATTACGAAAGCAAAGCAGCAACAAAGACAGGACAGGAATCTCAAGTCGAGACAGACAGACAGACAGACAGACAGGCAGCCGACAAAGAGGTTAAATCTCCTTTAAAAGGCATACATTGTAAAAACACGAATTCCGAGTACGAAAAACGATGCTAAGACGAAAGCGAACAGAACGGGGAGAGAAAAGAAGTGAAAGCGAATGCAAAAAAGCTAAACGAAACAAAAAAAAAAAAAGTCGAAGACGAAAAGAACAGAAAGAAAGATTTCTCCATAACGTTACACCAGAATAATATAAACCACCGTCCTTAATTTCCACTCTCCTTGACCTAGCAGCCAACAGCGTATGTTATCCCAACTTATCCACAGGAGATTCCGCGGTCTTGCTAGGTAAGAAAATCGCCGAAGCGCCCAAAATCTTCTTCACCTCGTCGTCTATCCCCTCGAACACGCTCTTCGTAGGTACACCCTTCACGCGCCCCGGACATTCCCTCTCCCTCTCTTCATAGCTCCCACCAATCACCTCCACCCACCCTTGTCGCGTCTCTACAAGTGCGCGGAGAGAATCAGGAACAGCAAGTACACCATCTTCGTTCGGTCCTAATCCCAACGAAGCAGGATTCGGTAATGGCACAGTAGAAGGTCCACCATTCACACCATTAATCCCATTCGCACCCGCACCACTCCCACCACCAGGAACAGACGAATCCCCCTTTTTCTTCTTCTTATTCACCTTCGGCCCATCTTTCTTTTGTAATTTGGTATACGTGCTAAGGATGTTCTTGTCCAGCGTTTCTCGCATATCGACGTACTCCTGGTACGCCAGCCTTTCCCGTGCGAGCTCTACGAGCCGCATACGACGCGCCTTGTTCGTCGCTGCTACTTCACGGAATTGGCGTTGGGCTTGTCGGAGCGCGATTGAGATTTGGTCGTCGACTGAATTAGAGAAATCAGGCTATACAGAATTTTATGTTCAGTTCAGTTCAATATCTAGAATAGATGTGAAATAAATAATTAGAGAAACTACGTACTTCACTGTCAATGAGACCCCAAGACTGGACGAAGCCCAGAGTTCTTTGCTCTAACTCTGGCACCACGACCTTCTCTTTCGGGTAAGGGGGTCCATTAGACGATGAACCTGAAGTACTCGCTTTCGCCTCATGTGCTTCTTCCAGTTCTTTATAAGTCTTATATGCTGACTGGTCCTTATCAGCTAGCAACGACGATACCAAACGTTCCGACACAGGACCCAGCCCCTTATCCGTCGCCAAGTCCGCATCAGACAACGTCGTCGCATCCCACTTCGTTAACGGCGCATTCGGCGGGGCGCCACTATTCGAAATCGCCGCTGCATTCCTCGAAGCCGTAAAATCCAAAGCTGAAGGTACACCACCATAAATCTGCATATCCTCATCCTCCCACTGTTCCGTATAATGTCGACCCAGCTCAGGCATGATATATGGTCCTGAAGTATCCCCATCGTACTCCAACCAACCGATATCCTCTTCTCGTATTGGTCGCAACCAAGGCTCTATTGACGTGTAAAATGTAGTAATCGGTACTTGACTTTGGGGTGCTTTGGCCTTTGAGAAGTCTTCTTTCACTTCGATGGGTTTTCGCGGCCCCGCTGGTAAGGTGGGTATACGCAAAGGTTGTGGAGGCAAAAGTTTCTGTGGCGTTGGTGGGCGAGACCAGTCCGGAGCGACTGAAGTCTATCAAAATGCTGTCAGAAAGTATTCTTATATAATACAAGGTGGCGTAGACACAACTACCTTAGGATGCGAAGAGTTGCCAAGCTTTGACTTGTTGATATGATGTTCTTTATGAGGAAGGGGAAGCGGGGTGGTTTTTCGAGGTCTTTGTGAATCTAACCCGGTGTCAACCAAACTTCTTCGCGAGTAACACTCTCAACGTACCATGTTCGGCGTCAGACTCATCCTCTCTTTTCCGTTTCTTCTTACTGGAGGTCACGTCATTAATTTTTGTTACTAGTTTAGATACATGGAGTGTACTCACACTTTGGCCATCCCTGGAGGTAATTTCTGGGGTACTGGAGTGGAAGGGTTGATGATAGGAACAACACTCGAGGATGGCCCACCCGTCGATGTCGAGGTAATGGATGGAGATAAATTGCGTTCGTCCTGATCAAGGCTTGGTGTACCTGCACTCACAAAGTGCATGGTTATAAGAAATATTCGAACATTGAATACAAAGATTCAGAATAGTGGTCCAAGGGTTGAAAGACGGCATTGAAATGGTCGACGTTCGCGTAGGTGGCGACATTGGGAGGAAATCGAAATGTGCAAAGGTCGTGCGCGAGCCACGAACATCCGAAGTTGTAGCACAATTCAACCACATTCGCGATAAACATCACAAATCGAGCACATCCCGGGGTATGATCGGAGCGACCAGATCGCGGAAAGAACCCAGGAAAGGTAAATCCAAGGCCGTTGGAAATATCAACATCAAACAAGAACACAAGAAAGCATTACAAGTCAGCACAATTCACACAAACACACAAAAGTAAACCACAAAGTGATGAACGCACGACTCGATTCACGCTTTATCCTATTATGCGGTAACGCCTTTGCCTTCCCCTTCTCAATCTCGCGCATCCTTCGCATCTCCTGTTCGATAATTTTGAGGTCCTCAGCTGCCTTTCTCGCGCGTTCGACCGCGCGCCGCTTGAGCTCGTTGAGCTCATCCGTGGTCGATTTGAGCTCTTCTAGCGAGGGAACCAACTCCTGCGGCGCAACCAGCAGCGGGTTACGCAGCTGTGGGTGCAAGTCGGTCGAGTATGGCACGAGCTGTTGGGACATCGGAGCGGTGTTACAGGTGAAGCAGGTACGTCGACAAGCGGTGTTCCGAGAGTGGTGGCCAGAAGTGGACGCATGAAAGAGATGTTTCCGAGCAGGGAGAACACGAATCTGCACTCAGAACATGAGCGTTGCTTGGGCGCTGGAGAGCTATGAGGACGAGGTAGGTGACGGCGGCGAGCGACTCGTCGTGGTAAAGAAGCACAGCCTAAAACACAGCGCCTTCCTAATCAAGCAGCCTCCAATCGCATATGTAATCACGCGCGTATAACAACATTAAAATAAAATGTATCCGATCCGATTATCATAATTTTACACTACAAATCTAATGGGTTATCGTCCGTGTTTCGCTCCGACGTTTTGTCCGAGCAGTGACACTATCTCAAAACAAAGAACAAGCAACGACTGTCCGACAAGGTCCATCATAGAAGAATGCAAGGGCATCGCGTACATATCGGGGTCCCGGTTCCGCTTCCACAAAAATTCTGTAAGAACTCGGGCATAGACCAACGAAATTAAGACCTAATATGCACAATCAGGAATGCCACAAGAGCACGGTAACTATGTTCACGTACCGTGATACCGAAGAATACAATAGCGAACGCGAAAAAAACGAACGGAAGATCCAACCACCCTACTCCCCGAAGGACTGATAGGAAGCAAATCTCTATAGGGACTGTGATAAGAAATAGTGTGATCGCCACCGTGCGGGCACTCGGCTGCGGCGACGTCTCGTGCGTATGGGAGGCGGTGGGGAGCATTGCCATTGCCGCGGCATGTAATGATGTAGAGATCCGTGACACTGTAACAGACCCTACTGCGCCAGGGAGACCTTTGTAATAACAGCAAAAGTCAGATTAAATCAAACAGTAAAGCAACAGTACATACCGCTAATAATGACTGCTAGTAGGGCGTATCCGTCGTAACGAGAGACAAACGTGTCTAGGATGATGCCAGTCCCCGAGCTAATGGCCATAGCTCCAAAGAGCGGGGACCATCCTTGCTTGATAAGATCCCGAACGTAGCTATTTCGACTTACCATGTATGCGCATATACACGATGACACGACGAGCATGATGCAAATAACGAATGGAAGTGGGGTATTCACAAAATTGATAAGGAACGACGATACAAGTCCAAGTAGACATAATGTGATGAGATCACCGAGACAGGCGGCGACAGGAGGAGCGATATTGTCTGAACAGTAGCTTAATAACTGGAAAAGGTATTATTGACACGACATACCCGGATTCAGAGAGAACTTTCTGCAAAAGACAACGAGTGTGCACATAAACGAGCCCAAAATTAAACTTGACAGGCATGCCGAAGCCATGCCGGAAGAAGCAACCATGATAAATCTTAAACGGGTCACCGTCAGCCATGTATAATTACTCTGCCTAATCTGTTTATACGCACTCAGCTAAACCTGATTTTGGTTTCTGTGGATCATTGGGAAGGTGCGGGTGTGGTCGCCGTATGAAGAGCGAGCGATGGTCAGCACTTGGTGGACCTGTTCTTGGCAAAATACGGCCAAGCGCAAAGGAGGTGACAGCGGCGATGAAAGAGACGATGGTAGCTTGAACTTGTAAAAGAGCCATATTTCCTGCAAGGATGGCATTGCGAGTCTTCCTTTCGTCGAGCTCCCCTACATTAGCCTGGGAACGCGTCAGATAAACTAATATTGCCAAAATTCATACAAAACTTACCGCCGTCCCTAAACGCGACGACAAGTTCATTTCTAAGTTTCCTTTGAGATTCAGAACGACAGGTATAATAATTATGAGCTCGTCTATTCGCTTCATCGCTTTCCAATGCTGCAGGGTTCCACGGTCAGGCAAAGCCGGGTAAGTAATGGCCGAATATGTTGTTGCTTACCGATACATGGTCTAACAGCTCTCCGGTAAAAAGTAAACCGACTGTTGTGAGAAGGAGCGTAGGCGCGGTCTGCGAGAGCGAATATATATTAACCAATATGTTATGATTTTGACAAGAGACCATGCCACGCACCTCGATGACAATGTCCTTGACCTGCGTCCATGTACCCTCATTTCTCTTTTCCGACAAGTCACGCCTGCGCGACTGGCTATCCGACCCCAGAAGTGCAATGTTGTCCTCATCATCCGACGCCGTCCCATCCTCCGACTCAAAGTTGTCCACAGAAGGCGACTGCAAAGTAGCCACCCTCGTCTCCTGTTGCCCCTCCTGGCCCTCCCTATCCTCAACAACATTGAGCGAGGTCATTTCGACAAAAGAAGAGTTGACGTCTGCAGAAGAGATTGCCCTTTTGTGAAACCTATCCTGCATGCAAAGTGCGCTAGGATGGCCGTTGTAAAGGTCACTTTGCGAAGGCGGAGTACTCGTGCTGTGAGGTGGTCGTGGTCAAAGATGAAGCATGGCTTTCCGCTTACCTGATGACAGTCTCTGATCCACATCAACGGTAACCCTCTCCTTCGCCTCACTCCTGAACAAGGGTAAATCTTTTTATTTCTACTCGGCTGCAATTTTTTCGTTTGTGGTATCGGAAACAATTCCTTGTCGTTGTGCCTGACCTGCAAAGGAAACGCCGATTACATTCCAAAACAACCAAAAGGATGTTTTTGACCTGTTTTTGAGTCATATTTTGCGACTGAGTTGCAGAATTTAATCTTAATATCTACTATCCAGTTTATGGAGGTTTGGAAGGAGCGGATGCTTTCTTACTCAATCTCAAGAAGGATTTTGCAACAGCCAGTAGAATACTGTCCATTACTCTTCTCTGTTTACAAACATGAACTTTGTCATTACGCTTGCCAGCAGTCGAGGAAAGCTTCTGACATTCTTCAATCATCTCTTTCAATGAATCCGAGCAGTTAGCGTCTGTCAGGAATGCCAGCATTGCAACCTTTCACAAGTCCTTCTTAGTTACAGCAAGCTCTTGTGAAAGGCAAACACCTCCGCCATGACAAGTAACACTCTGATCCATCAGAAGAGCAAGACACAGTTGCCTATTGGATAAATGTAGCCTTTGCTTTGTTCTGCAGCAATCCACGGAACACTCATGTATGACCCAGAAGAAAATAAATTAAAAACTAATGCAAGTACAAATCAAAAACACAGCAAAGTGAATCATGTATCAACGTCGACTTCATTCGAAGGTAACTGAGATGGCGTTTCCTGTCCTTGCTCCTGCTCTTGTTCCGCCTCTGCCTCTGGTCCCACCTCTGCTTCTGGTTCCGGTTCCGGTTCTTGTTCGGGCTCGGTTTCTGCTTTAGGCTGTACAGGAGGAACGCTCTCGCTACCAGGAGTCACCTCAACAACATTATCAGTTGTCGCCGCCGACGTAGGCGCAGCAGAGGTAGAAGCGGCCGCTGCAGCTGCAGCCCCTCTTCCCCGTCCCCGTCCTCTTCCTCGTCCCCGACCTCCTCTCCGACCTGCTCTGCCTCTTCCTCGTGGAGCCGGAGTAGGCGTGAGCGGAGGTGCTTCATCGGCCTCTTCCTCGTTTACCCCAGTTGCTTCTGCTGGAGTTACGTTGGTCGCCGGGGTAGGCAACCCTCCAGCCACAACAGTCGCTGTCGTAGTCGCAGTTGCCCTGCCTCTGCCCCGACCTCTGCCCCTTCCCCGTCCCCGCCTTCCAGAAGTAGTCCCGCGAGTCTTTGGCACCACTTCCTCCTCCTTGTCCACATCCGTCTCGCTATCAAAGAACTCATTCACCGCCTTCGGCGGCGGTATACGAAACTCGCCTGCAGGAACTGCACCGCGGTCTTCCGCCTTTTCTTCGTTATTCTTTTCCTCTTCGGGAAGCCAGGCAGCTAAATCAGGTGGGATCTCCTGCATTTGCACGCTAGGTGCACCTTGTAAGTATCGTAGCTTTTGACGAATGCTTCGTGTGATGCGTTGGAGTGCGGCGGGTGTATTCTGATTGTCGATGCGTCCTGCAAGAGTAGGATGAAGAGTGTAATCGTCCGCGAACCACGCGTCGTAAGGTGTTTGCGGTAACGCGTCGGGGACTTCGCAGCCCACGAGAACTGACGTTTCGTACGTCCAGCATCGACTCACATTGTGCACCGTATATCCACCACCACCGAGAACAAGCAACGGCACGCCGAACTTGCGCACAAAGTTCACACACTCACCATGTCCAGCAATGGATAGGTTGAATGCACCAAGCCGGTCGCATCCTAATGAATCTGCGCCGCATTGCAAAACGATAGCAGAAGGTCGAAAAGCTGTGACAGTATCATCGATAACTGTCCTAAATACTGAGAGATAGTTCTCATCGTCTATGCCATCAAGTAAGGGGACGTTGAGTGCAAAGTGTTTTCCAAGTCCGCCGCCGTTGTCATCGAGTCTTCCCGTACCGGGGAAAAAGTCGCCTGTGTATTTGTGGAATGAAACAGTCATGACGCGATTTGAATTCCAGAATGCTAGTTCAACACCATCTCCATGATGAATATCGATGTCGATGTACAATACTCTGGGATGGTATCTGAAGGAGAGTCAGCTCTTGTGACACAAGAGCGAAAATCTATGACAAACCTTAGCAACTCGAGGATTGCAAGAACAATATCATTGATGTAGCAAAATCCACTGGCTTCTCCCCTTTTAGCATGATGCAGACCGCCAGACCAATTGATAGCTATGTCTGTCGTTCCGGCGCACAACTTTCTAGCTCCAGCAAGTGACCCTCCGGCATACATTCGCGTGAAATCATACATATCCGCAAATATCGGACAATCCTCCACACAATTGAACGTATCTATGAGATGTTTCATCTCGTTTTGATTCCTAGGTGTAACCCTGTGATCCGTAAATTCATCGTCATACGGTCCCTGTGGCGAGTACAATTATGCTTACCTTGAGAGGAAATCGATGTATTCAGAGTCATGATAGGCCTCTAGTTCCTCTCGAGTAGCGGGCTTTGGATTGAAAAAGTGATGAACCTGCTTATCCAGGCCATATCCTATAACAAGGGCGTTCGTAAGAGTCAACCGATGTGGTTTCATCGGATGCCTTTCCTACGCAATTCGAAATCCGTCAGTAAATTTTTAACGTAGTACGCGATGAACTCATCGCTTACGCCATAATGATGTTCACCAACGCCTTTTGGAAAGTAATAAGAGACAATAGGACGCGAATGAGGCTGTCAAATGAAGATCAGAGCTGCCGTAATAGATTGAGTTAAAAGGTTAATCATACGTTTATACGTTCTGTTATAGGATGGGCATACGGTTTTCCTCTTCGGTCTTCAAAATGTTTGGAGTCCGAAAAAGTATGAAGAACCGAGCGTGCCATGGCGCAAACGTGAGACCGTAACCAGAGAGATCAAAACAAGAGCCCTAGCGAATGTGCTGAGTAGATGCAACAGAACAACTCGAGTTTAGATTCTGCAGTAATGGTGTAGAAGCTTTTTTGCAGGGTCAAATACAAGTATTTTGTTGTAGAAGAACAGCCCAAGCAGCTACCAGCTCCTCAGAAGTAGGTTTGTAATTAGGGGATGTTTAGGCATGGAGGTAGGAATCCAGAAACGTCTCATACGGTTTAAGGACAAGAGCCGTCAAAAGCCGGTCAATTATGTAATACGTTTTAGTTTCTCCATCCGACAAATTTTATGTAATAGGAATATTTTTAGTTATTATTTCCACGGCAATATTCGAGCTTGACAGTACCGTCAGTAGAGCTACTAATCTACTTTTCCATAAACTTTCCGAGTAAACGCAAGGCGCGGTTAAACAAGTAATATACATCGGTCTTTTTTCGTCCTTTATTCGATATCTAGTTCGCGCCAGCTCCTAACCAGTCCCCAAACAGTAATGATATACTCTCGCCATTATGCGTTCGGCGGATACTCTCCGAGATGGTGGAGGAGATATCTATAACGTGAAGTTTTGATAAGCCATCGCAATGCTGCTTTTGAGGAACAGTGTTTGTAACGACTAGCTCTTTTATTGGAAGTGATTCGAGGAGCGCGAAGTTCGTTTCTGATAGCAGACCATGAGAGACAAGGCAGTAAATAGCGCTTGCGCCGCCATCTTTCAACGCGTTGGCGGCTAAGGAAAGCGTAGTGCCGGTGTCAATCATGTCATCCACGAGAATAGCAACCTTGAGGAGAGTCATTATCCTGCAACACTAGTCGTACAGCAATATCCCATACCTTGTCCCTGACCTCTCCAACAAGAATGTGCATCTGCTCGGGACCATTGCCATTTTTGCGTTGCCGATGAATGAGAGCAAACTCAATGCCCAGCTTGTCTGCAATGGCGGTCGCACTTCAACAAGTCAGAGATACACAGGGAACAAATTAGCGCATATAAACACACCGTTTTGCACCCCCAGCATCTGGTGTAACAACAATCCCGTTTTTCCAGCCATCAATCTCACGTTTGATGTAGCCAATCATCAAAGGCTCGGAGAATAAATTATCACAAGGAATATCGAAGAAACCCTGGATTTGGCTGGCATGGAGGTCCATCGTAATAACGTGGTCGCAACCAGCAACCACTAGCATATTCGCAACCAGCTTTGCCGTGATAGGCGCCCGCGACTTGTCCTTCTTATCAGCACGCGCATATGGGAAACACGGAATGACGGCAGTGATTCGACGCGCAGAGGCAGTTTTGCACGCAGAAATGAGGATAAGCAGTTCCATTAGGTTATCATTCGCGTCTCCGGAACCGCTCTGGATGATGAACACGTCCTCCTCTCGAATGGACTCGCTAATCTTCACACTTGTCTCGCCGTTCGAGAACTTCCTGACGACGCATGGCGTGAGCTGAATGTTAAGCCTAGGAGGTTCTGGTAAATGCTCGCGTGTCGCAAAAATCGATCATCAAGCACCAGCTCACCGCTCGGCTACAGCCTGAGCGAGCTCTGGATGGCTGTTCCCTGCCATACACGAAGTGGGCCAAGGTGAGCACGTTTGAGCTAGTGACAGACGTGAGTGGCGAACCTGTGAGGAGCTTGATTGAGTTTCCGCGAAGCATGACAGTCCGCAGTCGATAAGTTACGCAACAAAGGTGCAAGACAAGAAGGAGAAGAGGAACGAGGGAAAGCAAGACAGATCGAAGTGGGCACTCAAGTAGAGGACGGCAGCCGGAAATCACGGACCTATAAAAATTTAAATTGGCCAAGAATGTCCCTCTGCTCTCACGCCTATAAGCTTCAAAAGGATCCAACGGCAAGAGTCTCTTAGCTCTCGACTTGCATCATACTGATCCACGTTTGCCGTTCTTCTGGTGTACTCAATGTGCTATTTGCCGTGGCCAAGCTCCTACCAGACTGCGGGTTTTTCTCAGTCCGAAGCATTCTATTCGACAGGGCGCTCTTTATCTGAATTTGGCTTCTCATCCATGGGAACTGGCGCTGTGTTAAAAGAGCTTGTCCTCTGTGCCTTGCCATAGGGTGCTGCAATATACCCACGGTCTCCATGAGATTGCTTATAAGAACTACTATGGAGCCTTTATACACTCGAGTTAAATACTGAACCTCCGCTATCAAGATCCATCACCGCTCCAGCAAAGCTCGAGCTATAAGCATGCCACCAAGGGTAGAACGACTCAACTTGACAACAAGATCGCTCCAGAATGTTATAATATCAAACGCATCAGACGTCATATATTACGAAATCGTCACTCCGAAATGGGACACATCAGTGACACGCGTGAGCAGGATGGATCCAAGGAGCCAGGAGCTCGAAGTCGTTGCTGAACTACAGAACGATGTTGGGAGCTCGAGTCACCCGCACCCTACCACAGTCCGCCTCCGAGGTCAGCAGTTTAGGCCTACCCGTGACTTTTGGCTTAAGGATGGCGTAGCCGGATCGTGAGTTTCACATGTTTTGACAAACTGGTTGGTTGAGTGTTCTTAACCGTCAAAAGTGATGCGCGCTTCAGAGGTAAAGACGAAAAATACTATCAATGGAGGCAACGCAAGGGACGCCTCGAGGTAAGCTGTCTAGTTTTCACTGCGTTCACCCATATCGCATTCATGCAGTGCTAATATACGTTTTCGCAGCTCATCCGGGAGCAAGAACCTGATTCTGCCCCAGTCGCCGTTTATCACAAGAATCGCCGCCACTTTCGCATTCTTCCATCATCTCGCCAACCTTACTTAGAGATCCAGCCAACCGTGATGGAGACGCTGGACTCGCTCATAGGTAAGCCTTTCTTCAGCCAGCTTCTCTGAATTGCTGTGACATCATCCACAAATAGTGTCGTTCCTCCTAATGGAACAGAAGCGACGCTCTAAAGCAGTTTAAGCTAGGCTGACATATCTTCGTTATTCACTGCCTGTTTTCTTTTGTTTATTTGTTCCTTTTATTCTTTGTCTTCTGCCTCATTATTACTTCTTTCACCCCATCACATCTAAGTACGGTCGGTCCCAATTGTCGGTATAATTCGCTAGGTTTCTGAGTTTCTACCTGCAGACTTTCTTTCATTATGTACCAGACTTATGTGTAATTGAATAACAGCGAATAGCGTCATCTTATGATATGCCGACACTCGAATAGTATAAAAGTTCCCGGCAGATGAGTGGAGGGAAAGATGATGCAGCTGTGCTCGGGACCGTGCTGCCGTTATGTCTCACGGATCCTTTGGACAAAACAATGTTTTTAACGACGCGGTGCAGAACTGAAAGTTCATCCGGCGCTGGAGGGACAAACGACACGATCTCCTTGGTAAATCTACATTTTATTTGCTGCGAATACGGCGCGGCCACATGAATCATACGCATTCATTTACGCAGGATATAACTCGACAATGCGAGTGAAAATTGGAAATGACAAACAGAACACCATGACCTTTCTATCAGCCGATAAAGCTTATTTTGATAAAGACCATTATAGGAAAGGAGCCCTGACAAGCCGATCAAGTAAGCCCAAGAATAAGAATTGCGGGAGAACGTTTTCCTTTGGATGATGCGTCAACATAGTCCACTAGTCACTTTTGAGGTCCTTGCAAACACATTCGCTCCGAGATGAGACGGGAAAATAAAAGTGAGCCTTGTAAAGCAGACTGTAAGATGTAGCCACGAGTAAGATTCGCCAAGTTCCTCAGGGTTGAGTTCAGTTTTTGTTCTAGGTCTCAGAATCACAGGAAGTTGAAAAGCGAAGCAGAATATGCATTGGTGTTCTCGGTAGTTGTTCCGTTGTTTCCAGTGTTATCCGAGCCGTCCATGGTAGGGAAACTTGTTGCACCCCAGCCCGTTTTCCAGCGGCCTCCTTGTCGACATTTTGCGGCCTGTTCCATGATAGTCTCGTAGAGTGCCAAGTTAAAGCCAACACATTGAAGCCCAACACATGCAATTTTGAGGGCTCCAGCGGAATAGAGTTGCGACACCTCATAGTGGACAGTTGGCGACGTGTTCTTCCTGCCAGCCAACGTTTCCTTAACTAGCATCGCTGACGTCTGTGCGTGTTCGTCTTGAGCACGAGCTAGCTTATTAAAGAACTGTAGGCAGCCTACATACCTCGGAGTCAAGGTCATTCCACTCCTTCGAGCTGAAGTCGTCCAATCGAAGAGCGACGTACTGCCCCGCGTAGTACCACTTTCCCTGACGATTATAAAAACACTCTGTAAATGCTATCAATTGATATTACTGCGAAAGGTTCTTAATAGACCAAACCTGTTGGCTCCATCATTCGACCCCTTGGGTCAACCTCACTCCAGGAATGAGCAGTTGAAACTCGCGCTTTCGTGGTGCATTTGTACAGCGGGGTAAGGAAATAACCGTGTTCTTCACGTTCAGGGCACCAACGGGTCGTAGTTTCGTGGAAGATTCGATATCCCGTGAGACTGCAAGAAATGTTCATCATTTGCCACCATTCGGAAGGTGTTTCGCGTACCTATTCTGCTTGTATGGCATGAGCACGTACGTCGGGTCAACGAAATGTAACTCATTACTTACTGCTGTACAGTTATTGAGGAATTCATGGATTGACAAAGAAGCTGGAAGAATAATAGGCTTGAGTTCATCTTCCGGGATGCCTGGAGGCATCGGAAGAGCAGTCAACACGGCGTTTCTGGCCCTGACCATGTCGGCTGGATTTCCATGATTGATGCGATACTGAACGAAAGTCAGTACTCCAGGGCTGAACGAATTGAAAGGCGCATGTCCTTACGGCTTGAAGCTCTTGACCGACGATAAGCTTCAGGCATGGAGGAGCAATAGTTCCGGGCCCAGAGCCATGCAAAGGCGAGACTGGCTCCGATGCCTGCCCAATCGCGAGGTGGTCAATTCCGTTTGTGAGGGACTGAAGAATCTGATAGAATCAATCGGAAGGCCGGAAGAATATTAGAAAGAAAATAAATTTGTCGAAGAAAGTGGCTTACATTCTCTCCGTATCCGTTGCTATCGACAGCTGTGATACAAGAAGAGGCATCGTCATTCGGGGACCCGCTGTCATTGATACTTCTTGTAATAACCGGCGAAGAGGTGGCTGATGCTCGCGTCTCCTTTTCAGCTTCAACGCTATCTTTCAAACTACGGATAACATCGCGCAAACGAGCAAGCTCTCCTTCCATTAGCTGCCTTTCTTCGACTCTTGCCTGCTCTGCAGCTTCTTTGATGCGAGCTTCGGCATTCGCAAGTCGGCATTCGAGGTCGGCTTTCTCACTTTGAAGACGTCCGATAGTTGTCGCCTTCTCTTTTATGGAGTCATATGCAGAAGACAAGCGCTGAACCGCAGAGTCACGGACTCTTACTGCCTCCACACAACGCATCTTCTCCATTTGCAGCTCGATTGCCATTTCTGCTGCGTGGAAGGGGTCCTAGATCATTTAGTTAGTTAGAATGTACGCGTACATGCTGCAAGAAGAGTTGGATAACCATTGACTTGAGTGATTCGATCTCGCGCCGAGCCTGCCTAAGCTCCTCGACAAGGTTTTGACCATTAACGCTACCGTACCCAGCCGCACTGGGCGCACTCATCGAAGTGGTCACAGTGGCACCAGAGCCTATCGGGCGCGGAAGGGGCGTACCGCCACGGGATGGATAACCGGGCAATGCTGCAAGCAATGATGCACCTTGCTGCCCCTCGGGGCTTGTTATTGGCGAGCGAGACGCGTCGTCAAACATGGTGGCAATTGTCAAAGTCAAGGTGCGTCGGAGTTGGACCTCCAGACGCGTTGAAGCAGCATCCGAACTGGAAAATTTTCCACGGTACTACTACTAGGCAAGCATTATTATATTATTATTGCGAAAGGCCTGTACTTAGTGACTTATTCTGCTGCCTTTGACTCGGCGCACTGGGTCACTGACTCTTATCCAAACTGGCAATGTGCTGCCATGACAATCCAACTAAAATAAGACTTTGCTTCTCCTTTTTAGCATTTGAGTGGCGATGTCCCGAAAACCAACGGACTATCAGCAAAGGCAAAGTTCTAATCAACCGGATGGGATGTATGCGGCAAATAAAGGAAAATAACCTAACCACAGAATCTACTTAAGCACACGTGAGTCTGCTGATGCTCGAGTCGCCCAGTGAGGTCGTCTAATGGCCAGTTCGGAATCGAGACCTATAATACTGGCCGTACAAATGACAAACGTATGTCTCAGCGAAAGAGGATCAGAGGAAAGGAACGTTTTACATTTACTGACATTGAATCGTAACTTTAGGCTAGTTCAAAAAAGGAAGCGTAATCCCACAGCCTAACCCTATTCCGATCATTCTTGATGGGAATTGATACTTTCTCTGTTTGTCCCCGCTCGTCTTGTCGCCACCGACACACCTTCGGTCAAGGCTAATTACTTCAGTCATGGCTTCGTCATCGTTGAAGCTTCTGGCGTCTTTCATAAGTCGTGGCGACACCATCTCTCCTTATCACCGTCTTCTTCTCTGAGAGCAACCTGCTCTAAAGGCGGCACTTATCTCGCTGTCCTTGAAACCACAATGCACACACGAACACCCGTCCTCCTTTGCTTTTTATTGGCTTCCTTTGCACGACACACACGAGGAGTGTTAAATAATGTAACAATCGATGATCAGAACGGCGACCCGACTACTGGTCAATATATTCAATATTCTCCGTCTGAGGCATGGCGAAGAGGTCAGGATTGCAATAATTGCACGGCAAGACCGAATGCCGCGCGAACCTTTGACGGTACATGGATGGATGCAACATATTTTCCTGATGGGATAGGCGAACCCACAGGTGGACAAATTCTGTATGCGAATGTCTCATTTACGGGTGAGTTTCCAGTCTCACTCGATGGAATGCCTCGTTCGTGTCTTTTGAGGAGTAATTCACTTTAATGTTGACTTCCCTCACATACAGGTATCGCAGTGTATGTGCAGGTGATTTTGACGGGAACTATCCCCAACATCCTCGTCGCCGATTCCGATTTTACCTTCTTCATCGACGACACCTTGGTCGGCACATTTCAAAATTCCACCAGTGACTTGTTTTACGTATATAACCAAACAATCTTCTCCATTACGGGCTTGTCGAACTCACTGCACAACTTCACTATCGAGGTTGGACGTACGGGGATGGCATCACTGGTCCTCCTGGACTCTATCATCTATACGTACGTATATTTACTCCCTTTCTCAATTGATTCTCGCCTGAACATCCTCATAGTCAAAATATATCGTCTACAAGTGATAATATCCCTGCTTCAAATGGCGCGTTGGACCCAGGCAAGTCAAAGAAGCTGAACATCGGTTTGATTATTGGCGCAATCTTCGGTGCCGTAGGAGTACTTGCCGCAATACTTGGTATTTTCTGTCTGCATCACCGTCTAAAGAGCAAGCATGTTCACTTTGCACCCGATACAACTCCTCGTCCAATCCATCATTTCCGGCCTGGTCCTCGTGCACTTCCGGCTGGCCAGCGCCGTGGTCCTAATCGAGCTAGAATACCTCATACTGTCATGAACGAGCTGACTCGGTCTGATAGCACTGGAATCGTCCATTTACGGGCGGTACCTATTAGTGGTACTCCTCGTGCAGGACGCCCTGCTGGTCAAGTTGCCTTGGTTGCTCCATTAGAACGCTGTAGCAGCACAAGAGCTTCTGTTGGTTCGGGAGGAAGCGATTCGCCGATCCATCAACCTTCCTCACAATCACAACCCCCATCTTCAGCTAATATGAATCCTCCTCCTGATTCAGCAAATAGCTTTGAACTATCCGTCGCCGCGCCTCCACCTTACAGCAGGATTGGTTCAAGGCCTCCCTCCGTTATCTCAGAATATTAAACTCTGATGAAGCACAGCAACTCTCACGCCTTGTGGTACCTCTATTCCTTCGCATGTTTCTCTTCTGCTCTTTCTTCTGGGTGTTATCTGGACTGTTCTTCTTCTATACTGCAACTCTGCGCCTACTCTGCACACTGGATCCTTCCTCACTTTGTTGGACATAAGACAGCTCCTTCGGAGGACTGTACGGATACATTGTATAACTACAATCAATTTTGGAATACTTTGCATTTTCGTCTTATATCAACCATATCCGAATTGTATCGCCATAATGTAATAATGTAATTTGTGCAACGTTGAATGACATACGGAATATACCGGTTTCCCACGACAAATATGGTTCCACTATTTAAAAAATTAAAATAGGATTATCTTTGGCAAAGCCCCTCGGTTAGGGCATTTTGCTCTGTGCTCACATCGACCAGTCTGCTCGTTACTTAAGGCTCGGGGTCGTCGGAGGATAATTGCACTAGTCCTACAAAAGTGATACTCCGTTGGTTGCTGGCTACTATCATCAATGCTACCCTGATCTCTCAATGTTTTTCTCACCAAACATGGAAAACTGAGTCTCGCTTAACCAGTGCCGACAACTCTGCCGCAATCGTACCTGGGCGCTCTCCCAGATGTCTTGGCCTCGGAGGCGTGGTCTAGTTTTGGTTTCTTCCCATCAACTCCCCTGCACAGAACATCTTGCTCTGGGCAGCCACCCCGCTGCCTCCTGGTCTGCACCTGCTGAATTGTAAGTACTCCAAGATTTACCCGCTCGTCTTCTCTATCCTGTTTTTTCTGACCGCTCTGGACATACAGGACGACTGGATTAGCCTTACAAATGTACTTCTCGACATGCTGTATACTTTTCTCTTCTCTTGCCCTTTTACCTCGGATACGTGGAGCTCTGGTGAACGTGACAATCGATGACCAGTTTGGTGATCCAACGACTGGGCAAGTTATTCAATACAATCCTCCCGAGGCATGGAACCCAGGACAGACCTGTAGTGGATGTACTGCCAAACCCGCTCCTGCAAGCAACGCCCATAATGGTACGTGGACGGATGCGACGTTCTTTCCAGCTGGAACTGGGATAGGCACGACCAATGTATCTGGCCAAATTATATCGGCTTCGGTACCTTTTGTAGGTAAGTTACCTCGTCAAACCCCATCTTCGCTGCTCGCTCTCCGTTGGAAGTGGTTATCCTAACCACGCTCCATTCCGACAATAGGGACTGCTGTTTACGTGTCAGTTATCTTGACTGGGTCAATAACCTCTCCCGATGGCCGTTCCGATTTCACCTTCCTTATCGACAATGCCACCGCAGGAGTCTTCCAGAAGGAACCAAATGGCGATTCTTCTTACCAGTTCAATCAGATTGTATTTTCCCAGACGGGTCTTGAAAATCAGTTGCATACGATAACAATCCAGTCCGGAAATGGTGGGAAGAAGTCAATCGTCCTGCTGGATTCTATCATCTACACGTATGTCACTTCGATTTTTAAAATGTACCACAGGCGGCTGAAGAACAATAAAGTAAGAAGAACGCTTCCGGGACTGACAGCAACCAGTCCCCAAGTGCTACCCAAACTCCGGACAGCTCGTCTACTGGTTCGAAATCATCGAATGTTGGTGTAATAGTAGGACCTGTTGTGGGCGGAGTCATCGTCGGCGGTGCAATCATTGCGCTCATTTTCTTCCTACGTCGACGACGACGACAACAACAACAACAGGGGCAGAACGTTCGTGTTCTGATCGACTCACCCCCAACGCCTGCGATGCGTCGCGATCCTGCTGGCACTGGGTTCCACAACGCGATGTCGCATGTCGAGCCATTCGTTACGAGTGGCTCGCAGACACCGTACAAGCACAACAATGGCAGTTATGTTATCGCAGGGCCTGAATACGGAGGTACAGCAGTTACGGGCACCCATATCCAACGTGGTCATAGCCCACCAACGCATCCAGGCTCGTCTGAAGGCGGCGAGTCGATACACCTAGTGGCACAGCCCCGGACAGGCGCATCAGCGTACGGCGATGTAGACGAGTCGGCCATTGACTCAACAACACCGCTCGCATCGCCTCCAGCATACAGCGAAGTTGCCACCAGTGGATCCTCTGCTGTCTCGAGGCTACCAAACCCGTATGGGAAGGGTAATCGAGTATCAAATGCATAGCGATAAAATGTCTCTCCCTTTTTCCCCTCCACTTTGTCTGCTCTGTATATTTCTTATCTCTTGGTTATTATGGGTTTTTCATGCCTTTCTTTCATCTCCGACATACCCGCTTGCATGTATATGACGAACGCGCTACCGCACAACTCAGATGTCGAACTATATATAATACGGACTATTCACTTTTAAAATGAGATTAAAACAGCCAGTGCGAAAAATTTACAATAAACTTAGCGTCGGACTTCTAACTATCTCGTTTGAATACTGTTGATATTTACGTTAATCTTCATATGAACTCCGGAACCTGCAACTTAAATGAGTGCATCACTCTGGACATTCGACATTCCTTTGTCGCTCAACTCACACAATGAATTTGACTTAAATTTGGAAGCGGAAATCTTGCCGTTGTGGGCTTATCAAAGTTATTCATCTTTCAACTCGTGATGAAATTTCTCTGACTCGTTATAGTTGTCTTTAATGATAGAGAATACTGCCGATCTGCAGGCAATTTACTAGCCGCCACAGTACAAGATATCCAGTGGGCCCAGAGTCACTGCAATATGTTGCATTTATGTAGAAAAAGTCTGTGATACTACGGGATGATGTTAGTTATTTGACCTAACCTCATAAAAGGACAGGACCATGCAAGTGCCACAGTAGGTCTGCCAAGTTATAAATTAGACAAAACGGGGGTGTGGTGTATTGAAGTTAAGGTCCGAGGAATATAAGCATCTCAAAGTCCTGTTATTCGCCATATAGGATGGTGGGATAGCCTCCAGTGACCTCAGGGTTCTGGTCAGCCACAGAGGTCAAAGTGTAGAACGTGTATCAGAGTGCAAACACGATGTGATAGCATGTCATGTCTTACAGAACGGAGCAATAAATTATTTTTAGCACAAAATATGATGCGAAATTGTCGGACTCTCTAACTGTCACGGTATTGCAAAAGTAACAAACTGTGAGGATTTACTCCTATAGTTAACACTTCTGTAAATTAATTTGCACAAATAGAAGGCGAGAGAAATCACAATAAATCCGATTCCGAGTGTGCATATTTATGTTACCAAATAATCTCAGATTTGGTATGTGCTGAGCTAACACAATTTGATGTTTGATGGGTAGATTATGATATTTTCCTCCATGTGTCTATTCATTATGGCATGCAATGCTTGTTTGTTCACCTGGCTTATGTATCTGCCCCCTACTTGGTCAAATTAATTGATGAGCCTTCAAGCTATTAGTTTTCAGTGATGGTCAGAGACTGTTCTATGCAAGGCTTTGTCACTCTCTCTCACATTCTAATATCAAAGACCTCTGTTGGTGCACTAGAATATGTACAAAAATAATTATGACAAAGTTTCGGCATGCAATGTAGCCCATGCATAAATAACTAGATAATGCACACTCTCATGTCTGCACCATTATACAGTTGCACTCTGTTCAATTTTACTCACAATAAATTACAATTAATGTCAAGCAGCAGCCAAAGCAGCTCGGGGCTTACTGAGAAAAGTCTCAGTGAAATCGCTCCAGGCATGCTTGTCTTTGTTGTGAATGAAGACTTTGTCAACATTAGTAACTTCCTCGGATCCAAGTTATCAAAGAGCTCAAGACCAGATAAAACGAAGCAGAGAGGTCATTTCGAACTTGTGGTTGAAGTACACTCCGACTCTGTTGAAACAGTTATGATGACAAGCTTTTCAGGAGCAGAGAAATTGGACGGGACAATACCTCGGGATAGATGGAAATTCTGCGTGCCAATTTATCCGGCTGCTACAGAAGACAATGAACAATATGGACCAGTTTCATTTGTACCCGGAAAAGGGACTGACAAGCATGGTACAGGTGGCTGGCTCACTGTCCAATCGACGTCCATAATAAGGCCAAATAGTAACGGAAAGGTATGCAAGTTATTATCCGCTTGTTGTGTATTTCACTCACATATTCAACAGTATAAAGTGAAAGAGACTGACATGGACCGAAGCTTTCTGTCGTATCTGCAGTACCTCGGTAGGTCAAACTCTGGGTTCTACACTCAGAGCATACAGCAAGGGGGACAACGCATCAGCACCAGTGAAGGACAGGCTATGCTGTTGAAAAGAGGCAAGAAACATGAGGGCAAAGGCAAGAAGGACAGAGGATCGTCAAGTAGAAATCCTTAATATACATTACAGACTACCATAAAACGTCGGGCTTAGAATTATTTTTGATAAATAGCAGACGTACAGAATTGCAAGTATAATAATAAGCCATAAATGGTTCTTGAGACTAGACATAGATTATAATTAATATTAACTACTAATTACCCGTCGGCAGTGAGACTGCGTGGGAGGGAGTATATAAAGTCATAAACGCGGAATCACTGGCACGGTCAGCAGATACTAGTAATCGTGAGAATCAATATAAAGATTGTGCACTATTGAATGTGCATACAATCATGCTGGTCTGTTCCGACAATTCTTAACTATCTAAAACACTGTATTTGTTGATGCCTAATATACACGTACTAATATTACTGCAGGCTTCCACTGTAGATACACTTATAATGTGCCATTGTATTTATTGTGATTTCTCAGGATACAGGAATATGCATCAATGGTTCTTTTCCTGCTGAAATTCTGAGTACATTCTCTAAAATACAGAATAAGGAGGATTGCAGCGTTCCAGGTAAAATGTCATAATGCTCCTCCTAAATTGTGGACTGTAGCATAGTTGGATATGTAGGATTAATACATGATTTTCTCTTGTTGTGCAACAGATTGATTTAATTCATTAGAAAACCACTGATGAGTCGGGAGTACTCTTGTCTTTATTGCAGGAGGAAATTATTCATACATATCACTAAAACTATCCAGGGCATATTGAGACACACAGATGCAAATGCATCTACACCAAACACTGCTAAATTATTTATTCACAGATATAATTGTCAACAAGCACATTCCTGCTACCCCAATTAATATCACCATTATGCAATACAACTCGCAGCTTGAGTGATTATCAATTAAGGGTATCAAAGGAAAAAAAACCTCACTGAATTTTGACTGGTGCCCGACATCAAATGTATTTTCTTCCGAGACGAGGTGATGACGTCGGACCTTTTCCTTTCAGGTTCCGAGAACAACTAATCTCGGCCCTGATGTCGATCAGGCCGAACGTAAATCAAACAATTTTATGTAAATTACGAAGTCGCGACATTTACTCGCACAGAATATTGCCTAATTGACTATCAGTGTCCTCATCCACACGTTAACGAATCCGTCAGTCAAATAACAAATAACACAGGGTTGTGCCTACGCTACGGATGCCTATATACGTACTAGTGTGCTGCAGAACTCTTTGTACTGTAAGGGGTATAGATGCACAGCAATCAATGAATCAATGTTTAAGAGTAGTTGAGAAAGTGAAGCGGTAAATGACCTTGCATGAAGCAAACGGAGAATAGATGAAAGCTTATGAGTTTGGCTATGGTCGGAAGCCTAATAGAAATCCATGAATGCGAATGAGCAGTTAAAAGAAAGTAGTTAAAAGAACAGCATTTGACAAAGATAAGTGGTATCCTAATTAAATAAAGGGTCGCTCAATGAGTATAGCCCAGAAGTGATGATCGTGTTTCGAATATTCATCGCCAGATGCTTATGAAGAGAGCAAAAGTATCAATAGATAATAGCAATAACTGATTATAAAGATGCCTTGGCAATTTTCCCAACATACTCATGGACGAAGCCATCCTTGTCTGCTCTGGGAGTGCTCTGCAAAAGACAACGTAAGGATATACACGATATGTACTGTATCATTTGGCCATGTACCTTTTCAAGAACATCTATCCCATACACGTCTTTAATGAGTCTAGCTGGTATATGTGGCAAACATTCTACGTCTTTTTTACGACAGTAACGACATTTCAACTCGGTCTCGTCTTTTTCACACTATTCGATGTGCACATAAGGAGTGAATACCAGTGCTGATGATAGTAGCAGAACAGGGCTTACCTTTTTCTTGCGCATCTGACAAGCCGCACAGGGTTTCTCATTCTTGGTTGACGAGCTAGTCCCCGATTCATGGCAGTCCGAGACAGCTGTGCATCCAGGTACTCCCCAAGATGCATGGTTCCCAGCAGTAGTGAAACGGTCCTTTCTCGGAGCCAAACCGCCAGGTAAGGCTTCAACATGGCCAGCGTGCGGAGCGTTGATGGAGTATGGGCCAACGGTCTCGCCTAGAGACATGTTCGCAACGTCAGAGTCCAGCGGAAGACTACTCGCTACGTAGAAATCGATATCTTCGCCGGCTATGTAAGAGGGTATGAGCAATTCAAAACAAGAACTGAGTGTATAGAGTGCATACACAATTTAATGAGGTCCTCGATGTAATGTTGCAGGGACATCGAGACACTCTGCAGTACCATGAACGAGTGGGCGCTGGGGGATGCATACCTGCAGGACGGCTGTACAGGATATAAGCACAATAAAATTCTGGCAACTTCAACAACTCGTGACGCAATCGGCGGCGATCACAAGCCCAAAATCGTCAGTGGATAGCAATTATTCCATGAAGAGAAACAAGGGCCCGGAAAGCAGGATGTCTGCCACTTACCATGCAGGTGTTGATACGGAACACATGATACAAACACAGACGCTACCATATTATTGGGTGAAAGGTTTCAGAGGACAGAATGGGAAGGTCTTCGGTATGAATGTCACGGTTGCGCATTGAGACGATGCCGACCCGTGCAATAAAACAAGGAAGTTATCCGACGGTCTCACGGAGCGCCCCTTCTGGCCTCATGGTGAACGCGATTTCTGATATACTCAACCGATGGACACCGAAGATGGTTGAGCGATCCGTTCAGGATTTCTTGCACTTAACAAAAGAGTGACGTATTGGTACATGTGATGATGGCCGCTCTAAAAACCAGCCCCGTGCTGCGCAGTGAGCTGCCTTCGACCATTTTGAGTTTGTATATGGCTTTCAAATTCGGACATCCGCAGTAGTCCTTTAGCTTCCGCCGATCCTCCTGTCCGATTGACCTGAATTTAAGAAGAAGAAGCGCCTTCGGGGAGAGCCATGGAGGCAATTGTCCAACTGACTTCGGACGCTGAGAATCCGACAACTGCCTTCTCGTAGAAGTCGCCTTCTTTCTGATGCGGAGTCATGGAAGTCATGTCCGTTGTTGTCTATATGTTTCAGCGTGGACAGAAGATTGGATACCATAACAGAACACGGAGAATGGCCTACAATATTGCATGTATCATAGACCTACCCAATCAACGAGCAACCGTTATTGGTCACGAGGCGCTATACCTTGAGTAACTACCAGTCCTCCTCAGCGGCAGCTAGACAGGAGGATGTAGATTTCAGTTCATTCTTGATTCACCGTCGAAAGAGGTGTTAAAGTGTCCGTTACACGATGCAGATTCCCGGACTCTGTCGAAACAGCGCCCACCCGAGACACAAACTATGAACTACGTGGTATCCGACAGCGATAGAAGCCAAGTAGAGCGGGGAGTGAGATGAACGTAATGATAAGGCCGCATCCACGTCGATACCCAATCTGGCGCATGACGATCCATGCTTAAAATGGGTTGAATATACAAGCCGAGGTGATTAGTGGCAGTAGCAGGATTTAATAAAATATGCATCATGATAAAACGGCACGCCCTTCCTCTTCACGTCCAGCACATTGCATGAATCAGGCGCATGATCACTTCTTCGCGTTTCATCGTCTAGGAGACGATTTTTCATGATGGGATTGGGCCAGTGTTTCCAACGGTCTTGATTGCTCGTGACGTGGACATCTTCTCCCAGCCTCAAGGCCATACATCGAAAAAGCAGATTAGAGCCGCGAGGCGTTATTGGACTGAATGAAGATCTCATTCGTGGAGCCGGAATCTCTAGATGCTCCCGAACGAGATCTAGATCTGCCCATTCATAACATAAGATGCCACCAACTGCTTCTGCAGCACAACGAAGAACAAGTTTGAAAAGTTTGGCTTAGTGAAGGCCGGAACTCGCTTGGAAGAAGACCAGTTGAGCGCGAGACTCCCCTTCGATCCAATTCTTTGGGCTTGCATTTACTTGGACATGCTACTACGGACGTGTACCCAATAAAAATATACTGGCGTTTCAGACAGGATACATTTCTTCAAGAAACGAAGCGCAGCCATGTAAATAAAGGAACGCTCGACGAAATCGAGCTAAGCTTGGACGATGGGTTTGCACCAGTAATCAATGGTCATTTGTAAGAACTCAGTCGCTCAGTTTGAAGACACCCATTCCAGAATAGGGTGCGGAGAGACCCAGGGTTGGAATCTGGGATGTTTATTCGTGGATTATATGATTTGGCCCAAGAACAAGATATGGGATAAGCACGTACTTTCTCGACGTTGGTTTTTCTCGTTTCGTGCGGCGGACACTCTTTATAACTCTTGTTAGCACACCGTTGGCAGAGACGAGGTGCTTCGCGAATGACGACACACTGTACAATATAGAGTAATGTCAGAGTCGTCAGAGACACCCAGACGATTGTTGGATGATCTTAACAGACCTTCTTTTGAAGACTTTGGCAGTATGCACATGGCCTTCGATTCTTGTCTGTCGTCCTGCGTTTTTTCTTGTCTGATGACTTGTGTCCGACCTCATTTTCGGGCGACGTCTCGTCGACACGAGGAATGTCGCTGCAGCAAGTCGTCTCAGTTGGCATACGAATGACCTCTTCAGGACGCGTACTGCCGTCGAAACCACCTAGCGCAGATGATGTGTTCGATTGGACTCGGTCGTTGACGCGATTATCGTCAGAGGCAAGCTGTGGATAGCCAGAAACTGTGGTCCAAGGCTGCTGTAAAATGGTCTCGGAGTTTTGAACGGGCCATGGCATGAATACTAGTGTTTGCTCAATCGCTGCGAACTACATGCGACACAAACAGCAGGACATACCAGGAGCAACTGACTCCTCGTATATGCCAATGTGCTCCATAGAGGCGATGTGAGAGAGGTCCAATGGGAGGAATTGGGGAAGGGGGAGAAGAGGCGCGTTCTAAGAAGAAACTTCAACACACCAATGTTCCAGAGCATCTCGAACATAAATATAGAGGATGTCGCCGATAGTGTGCCAAAAAGGGAAGTCAAAAAGAGACACGCAAGTTCGTTGCAAGGTAAAAGGCGCGGAAACCTATCGTGGAGTTGGTGGGCTCCTATAATGAGATGCGATGCAACGGTGCCGGCGTGGTAAAGGCCCAATCTACCAGACAAGAGTCCCGCCATCAGCATCATGAAATTTGCTTTATTCGACGACTGATGTCTCCATCGCTCGTGTAGTTATCAGTGTCCTACATTGACTAGCGGACTTGTTTCAGAACGCAACTGGAATATTTCACAGGCTACGCAGTCTCTTACAGGCACACCACGAAGAGAAGGAAACGACCTTTGCCCACATGATCAATATCTTTAGTAAAGGCTGCTAAGAACCTTACGCCCATCAAGTGCTTACCACGCTCAGGCCACAGTCCCGACCACGCGCCGTTTTCCTGAAACAGGTGAAACGCGCTCCTATGGGTCGATGGACGCAGTTAATCTTTCAGATGCGGCGCACCTGCTTCCCGCAGACGTGACCACCAGGGACCTTTTGCATTCCCGGCGCTCGCGGCGGAGTCTGGAGAAATGCGATTCGGCATCGGAGCGAGCTGACGGGCCTTTGCGGTACAACGTGGAGAACACTTTGCACCTTCGTCAATACAAAGGATGTTTTGATACGAGTTCATTTCGGCGGATTGCATCCTAGAAAGCCATTCTGGTCATGAGAAATTACGGATTATTACGAGTATCCGCACTTGAGCCATATGTCTGCCAGTATATCTGAACTCAGCGCTGCCTCTGCCGCGTCCACTCACCATATGCACTTATCTATTTGAAACCAACAACCCGTATGCAACACAACTCAAGATCGAGAACGTCACAAGACATTCGACTGCATGTCCCGTGTGTGAAGAGTGCGTGGCCACATAAGTGCGTATGTTCCCGATGGACTGGTATGATCCGCATATAGTAAAAGCCGAATTAGGGTTGCGGGCATGTCTTATTGAATGATCTAGTCAGAAACATTTTCCCGCTTGTTGTGCTCGAAACTGAATTGCTGCCCCAGAATAATCGACTCCTTTCCTTTCCTTCTGCGAGCGGATGTGCCACTTGGCACATCATCCAAAGTCTTCCCTTCCCCGAGCGTCTCGCCACGCTGCAATTACCTGGTATTGAGGAACATCGACCTGACAACTCCCGACACGCTAAACATCTCGGTTCAGGGAAGTCGAGCCATTCTACCAGAAGAAACGGAAGCAATTAAGTTGATTCAGTCGAGATCAATGTGCAGTCCAACCAAGAGAATTCGGAAGGGTTCTGAATTTGTATATGGCCGATATTCTCGCACGGAGGATGAACACGCAACGCACCCCGAAGCCTGTCAGAAGGTTTGGAAGTGGTGATCGACGTGAAACTTCTCCAATCTCATTAACCCCACTCTCCCAATCCGTCCGGCTGCGGCTTTCTTCTGGGGCAGCTATTTGCAGTCTCACGCGTCTATTCCCTAGTAGACGAAACCGTCAGTCCAGCATCAGAACGTCCGTGGCGTTGATATGACTCTAGCTGATCGGATCGTTCCAATGATGCCCGTAAAAGACATTCCAACCAGGTTCAGGCACTAGCATCTAGAAATGGGACAGCAAAATATCGCATATCATCCAATAGCAAGTACAGAACGTGCCACATAAACCTCGTATCACAACAAAGTCCGGAAGCAACAAGACTTAGGACAAAACGATGCGTGTCTATCAATCAAGATCGAGCAGAAGTACGGAAGTAAAATCGTTAGCTTCCAACGGGAATGCCACTCTGTAGCGAGAGGTCGTCTAACTTTCGACGAATGTCGCTCTCCGTTCCAATCTTTTTGACCTGGGTGTCTTCAAGGCGCTCTCCTTTGTTTTGCCGGTCTTTGAGGTCGTCAATGGCCTTAAGCTAAAGAAGGGACCGACTAAGCGGTTTCCCGAATAGTCAATGTTAAACACTCACCTTCTTCCTGAGATTACGCATTTGCTTCGATAAAGCCTCGAGCGCATTGTCATCAACGACGGGCGCATCCTGGGTGGCCCCCGCATTCTCGACGACTGCCGCTGCAGCAGCTTGCAGCTCCGTGACTGTTGCTTGTGGAAGCTGCTCCTCTCCTTCGGCACCATCAAGTGGTGTTGCCTCCCCACTAGGTTCATTTTCAGCCTCCCCACTAGGTTCCTTTTCAGCCTTTCCATCCTGTTTCTTGTCAGCTTTGTTCCTCTTCGTTCGAGTGTGCTTCTTCGCCCCGCCTCCTCTGGCAGGCGTTGGCGAAGCAGGCGCCGCGCCAGGAACGTAGCGACCACGCCCGCGTCCTGAACCAGGTCCACCGTAACCGTTTGCACCAGGCCCAGGACTCCGGTTATGCGGGCGATTAGGCGTGTTCGCGCCGCTATTTGGTTCACTATCTTCGCGTTTGTAAACAGAAGAAGCCTCTAAACCCCGAGCGCCTGGAGGACGATATGTGCCCATAGGCTTCGAGGATATCGGCTTTGCACCCGCATTGAAGAGTGCGACGCTCGGACTAGGTGAAGGCGCAGGCGGAATAGCCTGTGGAAAGGCCCCAACGGAGTCCACGGGGATAGGTCTCCATGATGCCTGATATAGTTCATCGATAAGCTGTACGTGCATCAGTGGGCCGCTGCAATGCCAAATTTTAATTCCATTGTCGACGCGCAGCCGCGGGGATAGCGTCGCCGTGAACATAAAACGCCCGCAAGGCGACCACTCGAAGAATGTTGTATTTGGAGCATCAACCTCTGCAATCTTCTCGCAAGAACGACGATCGTAGACGTTGATCTTGCCAGACATATTCCCAAAACCCGCAAGCGCGATTAAGCGGCCTTGTGGATTGAAGGAAATGAAATTTTGTGGCGCAGTCCCGAAGTCGTGGATGATCTTGACGCGACTGTCGAAAAGGACAGCACTCATGGGAGTATCTAGACAGAAGTGAGAAAATTACAAATGTCATGTCAATGCAATACAAAAGACGAAAGCTCATTGCATACTCACAGCCGCATACAACGCCGAATTCCTTTGAGTTTGGGCTCCAGGCAAAGTCATGAATAGGTCCTTCCTTCGTCGTGGTGACTTGGCAATCAAATGTTCCCGACGAGCTAAGGAGGTATAACCGCGATTCGCCATAGTAGCTCTTGTTTGTTTGATCGACATCGGTTCTAACAAGAGCGAGGACCTGAGTGCCAATTGTGTTCCACTTGAACTGAGCATTATCGGCACGAAACGTTGTTTTGGAACAGGTGTGCGAGCCAGAAAGTGTTAACAGGCTGTACACTCTGATGTTCGCAGGTTGGCCCTTTGGTGGCGTTTGAGATTGCATACCTCAACAAATAGAACGAAATGAAACTTACGTTCTTTCCAGCAATGAAGACAGCTATGAATGGGTTTAACCCAGGACTCAGGGATATAGCAGAAACACCCTCAAGCCTGACCTTGTCCACAACACCCTTTGACCAGTCCGCGGGATGAAAGACTTGGATCTCCTGCCCTACCAAACGCACCGCATGAGACTCGGAAATAGTAAATTGAAGCTCCCAGCCGCTCTGAGCCTTTTGTGTGAAGGATGCGAGCTCTTCACCACTCGAGACCGAGAAGACGCGTAGGTTCTTGTGTTGCGCATCATTTTCAAGCTTCACTGGAACGCATATGATCAGCAATCACGACCACAAACAAACATTAAAGCAACATACCGACTCGCTCCCAAGTAGATATATACGTGCCACGGGGAGAAAAGCTAATCTCTATGATGTTGGGAAACGGTAACTCGCGCAGCAGTTCCGCACTCTCGGCGTAATGAATGCGCACACTAAAATATAAGGGCAAATAGTTGAATCTCGCTCAATCATACTAGCCTATCACAATAAAAGTTAAAAAAACCAACCAATTAGGAAGAAGGTATGCAAACAGGCGACCATCGGGACTGTAGGTATATGTACGCGCCGTCGCCTCAGGCGCTTCAAATCCCTTCACAGTCTCATAATCAGGAGAACCGCCAACGAGTCCAAGACTCTTTTGAGATCTGACTGCAATAAGAAAAGTGCATCAGCCTCTTCCAAACTTGTTATACGATAAACGAAGACATTAGACGGGCGCACATGCATACTGTTGTGACATCGCAGATGCCATGGCAAACAATCAAGCTGGGTGACAAAAGCGGTTGTGAAGAACAGAGTGGTTTATCGAAGCAAATTAATGCCTCAGACAGAGCTGGACGATGCGGCAGGTGCAGGAGGACGCCCAAGGGCTAAGAGGAGGAGGAGATGAGTGAAGAGAGCAAGGGCAGTAAACAAAAAATGTGATGCACAGCTTAGGGCCGGACAGTTCGGAACTCTGACAAAATTTCATTTCTCTCCAATTTATTCTCTACCTACTACATAAATCGTCGAAACATCATAACCGTTGTATATTGCAGCACTCTATGCCACAACCTTGGAGCTGCCTTATATCTGCTTTGGTGAGTGCTTCGGTACTCATTCTGAAATATTCCAAACAGTTCTCTTGATTGGGCATATCTCTACCACGGGATCTAAGCATAGAGACAAGACGACCAACGTCTGGACAAGTGCACCATTCAAAGTCAAGGTACTCTAGTCTTGGAAGTAGCCCAGACGTCTCTTTTCCATGCCTAAGAGTTAGTGCATCCAGGAAGGAGGGACCCAACTCAAACCCAGAGAGTGTCAGATTCTCTAGTTCGGGGGTGTTTTTCAGACATTCCGCAAAACCAGGATGAATGTTACCAGAGCCAACGAGAGATACAATGGACAAAGGAGGAAGTTCGCGCTCTACAAAGCGGACTAGTTCGTTCCATGGAATTGTGGCGGCGTACTGTGCGCGTAGGCCCAGAGTGCTCAGTATGGGCGCCACGAGTGCATCGAGTATTGGCCCGATATCGATATCCCTCGGCCAACTAAAATAAAACACCTCCAAGTTCGGCATGCTAACACGCAGTGGCCCTTGAATTTCTGCTCCTGTCTCCGGTTGACGGGTGATATCCAAATAACAGTGTGTCAAACGTGGCAATGCAGAGAAAAGAGCAATGCTCTGTGGGACAGACACCTGTCCCTGTCCAGTGGGTTCGCGAACATACAGCTCCGAGAGATTCTGGGGCAGTCCTACCCGCCTGATGTCGAACATCGTTCCGCACAAGTCGAGAAGTCGCAAAGTGTCCGAAAATTGGTTCCCATCCACTGGATAGTCGACGTGACCTGACTTCTCATCCTCACAGACCAGTAATTCCTCGAGGCAGCTTAAACGGGAGATACCGAACTGATGGAGGAGATGATTAGGCATGACGTTCTCCAAGACTCTTATACGATTCGTATGAGGAGCGAGCGTCTGCACGACTTCATCGCGCAGCTCAAGGTCTCTTCGAGAGTCGGAGCATGGAGTAATTCCAGTTATCAAGCCTAGATCAACCTTTAGTGGGAGCGCCGCAGATCTTTTGAGGAAGATCTCCACTATTTGGATATGTGGAAGTCCACCATCAAAACCTGGTATTGGTAGAGTAATCGTATTCCATAATGCTGGTGTCTGCAGGGCAACAGCTCGCCACTTGCGGCATACTTCCGAAAGGATGAGTGGTTCAGTAAAGTCGGGTGGGAAGGAGACGCAATGAATGAAGATTAATGAAAGTACTTCGGAAGGAATGTAGTTTATAGGATGTGTTGACCCATCACGGCTTAGGCTCGTGGGGACGTTGGAATCTTCAGAAGGGGATGTGGAGGACAAACAAGAGAGGATAGTTGAATCAGGATCTCCGCTCAGTGAGGAGCCAGAGTGGGATCTTCTCATACAGACTCCTGCAAATGAGCCATTGTCACTTTTACATGCCCCTGCTTTGCCCATATGCAGTCCTTTGCGTTTGACTCGAGATTTCGTAACTGTATCATAGCAAAAGAGAGATTTAGACTGAAGCACGGCAGTTGTCTGTTGCTGAATTGACCCATCCTCGAATATGCTCTCGAAGGGTAATTGAAAGCTATCTGGATGTGAACGGAGCCGCCGTCGAGGGGTTATTGGTCTTCACCGACCCTGGACCACCATGTCTATGCACAGCATTGCATCATAAGAATGCGCAACGAGACGAATGCGGCTCTCCACAGACGGCTGATGGATAATTCAAATTACGATAATTACTTCGCCTCGGAAAAGTGAGTCTTAACGGAAGAACTTGCTAGAACTGGAAATAATATAGATATGTAGTAATGTTCTAATGCGATATCCTCCCCGGGTAAATAAGCATTAAGAGTACCGAGCAGCAATCCGTTCGTGTATTGAGAACCAATTGTGCACGCCTTATGAAATTCATCTTGTAGTTATACTTACTTTTATCTACGCGAGTTATGAATATGATGTTTTTTTATCAGCAGCGTTGCTTATATAATACTCCTTTTCTGGACGACCTCATTTTTCGGTTGGCGGTTGATCGTCGGACGTCCACCGACACCCACGTTAGCGACGACGAACATGGCACGTACCGGTCATCATCCACAATGCATACAAGCTGACTCTATATACAGGTTGATGGCCTCTGAGTTATAACAAGGCGCGCTATTTGTCTCACCGCTGAGGTCATCCGCTGCCTTTGCGGAAGTGGAGAGGCACGTAGCGGGCTCAGTCATACTTCTTGACAGCTCAGCAGTTCGCAGTACATAATCGTACATAGTATATAATGGTTGCACTCAACATCCGACGCAATATCCAGGACATGCAGGATCCCGATCCCGCCATGCTTGCTTGGACCCGCCTTCCGACGCCCCATCCGCACGAAAAGCTATCCAACGCGGCAGGCGACATTTCCTCAAGCTCCCCAGTGGCACCTCCAAAAGCACTATCTATTTTGACTGCTGGAGTCGCTGATACCCTCCTTCCCTCCCCTCTGCCATCGCCACGCGCGATATCGACAAGTGGCAGCAGCAAGACGGCCGCTTTCTTTGGCACTCCCTTCGCTTCGACCGGACCGTCGACACCCGCGCCACCGCCCCCTCCCCCGCGCAATGATACTGCCACTGTCCCCCAACCGAATGAGTCTACTCCTGCTCGCTCCGCCACCGCCGATTTCTTCGCCATTAGTACGTCGGGAATACGTCCCACACCGCCACCGAGCATAAAGTCCTCAGCCAGTTCTCGGGAGTCGTCACCACCTCGTCTCCCGCCGCTCTCACGCTTCTTCCCTTCACGAAATGCTGCCGATCCCTTCCTCGAGGAGCAAGATATGCAAGATAAGGATGCTTTGAATCGTCGGAGGAAAGGTGCTGAATGGGAAACGAATTTCAAACGTGAATTCGTGACTCTGACGGACGCCAGTCTTCAACTCCCGCCTTCTCCGCCACTGACGACAAGTCCAACCCAAGCGAAACCTCTCCCACCTGCGATAGAGAGTTATAGGCTGCCTGAGCCGCACCTACGTCATGCTGCTGGACACAATGTTCCAATCCGTCGTGAGACGCATTTAGTCGGCGCCTCACACGGGTCTGGTGATTCGGGCTCTGAGGGAGCTATTCCGGCATCAGCCCCGGTACTTGCTGCCGGAATGCACCTTGAATCCGGAACTGCAAAGTTGACGCTAGTGCGTGCTTTCGGAGAAGGTGCATTCAGTAGTGTGTGGCTTGCGACAGACGATGCAGGAACGTTAGCGCCTCAAGCCGTTCCTCAGTCTTCAGGGCGTCCCGAGACGCTTAGGAGGAAGAGCTCGAGCTGGGCAAAGAAAGGACGCGATAGACGGATGCAAGGGATCAAACCACTCTCAACAATTGGGACAAGTCTCTTGAGCAAGCTTCATGGTCAAATAGAGAATGCAGATGGAAGCGTTATTCTTGATGAACAAGACGGCGAAGGCGCGACTGCAGCAACGGAAAATTCCACCCAAGCTGTACGGTCCAAAGGAACGCTTGTTGCTGTCAAAATGATAGAGCGTGCACTTTGTGATGCCAACGACCGCACACGAATCAGCTTTGTTCGTGAAGTCGAAGTATTGAGGGTAAGGGATTGGCCTTCTCCCGTATTCTTTTTTTTATTACCACGGAACTTACCTTGTACCATAGCACATCGCACACCCGTCTATTGTTGCGTACCTTCATTCATTTACTTCCGGTACCCACCACTGTCTCGTGCTTGAGCATATCGGCGGCGGCGAGTTGTTCGAGCTTGTCAACTCTGATGAGCAATTTGGTCGAGTGACAGAACCGGCAATACGTCGTATGTGGGGTGAACTTTGTCGCGCAGTTGGTTGGATGCACGGTGTTGGCCTCGTCCATCGTGACATCAAGCTTGAAAGTAAGTAGTTAGAACTTTATTCTTCGAAAATGGATATTTGATGAAACTGCATTTCATCAGATATTCTTCTCACACAGAATGTTTTTGCTACAAATAATCCTCTTCCACCACTTGGTACTCCACTCATCAAGCTCACTGACTTCGGTCTTAGCCGGTTTATCGACCCCGCATCGCCTTTGCTTTCCACACGCTGCGGTTCCGAGTCATATGCTGCACCAGAACTCGTCCTTGGTACAAGCAAACCTCGTCCAGCCATTGTCGACGGTGGTGCATCTGAGCCCAGCGAGTCACGAGGTTACTATGACGGACGCCAGACAGATGCATGGGCATGCGGTATAGTTCTTTACGCTCTCGCCACGCGTCAGCTACCTTTCGATGCCCCACCGCCTTTCCTAGTTTCGAGTGCAGCACCTTCACGCGCGGGCAGTGTACGTAGTGCCCATAGCAGTCGTAGTGCAGCGTCTGGGTCTGTTCACCCGCGACAAATCAATCGTAGGCGAGACATGTTGATGCGCGTTGCTCAATGTGAATACCACTGGCCTGATGAGATTCAATTCGGTGACGACGATGCAAACGGTTCAAACTATGAAGAAGACGAAGAATTGGACGCCCCGTTGGCAGCAGCTCGACGCCTTGCCTCGCCAGGTCTGAAACGCGTAGTCAGGAGGCTTTTGGAGCGTATTCCTGACCGTCGTGCGAGACTAATAGATCTCTGGGACGAGCCATGGCTTCGTGGGGAAGGTGCTCCAACGCCACCGCTTTGTGCGGCGCTCTCCGCTGATAGTGCGGATGACAGATTGGATCACGAAGATGAAGAATGGCAGTCACACGAGGGCGTCCTCCTTGATGAGGAGCATATCGATAGCGTAGCGAGCCAGGATTTGGATCCGTTATAGAGCCTAACTTTTTTTCTTTTCCCGCGTTCAAGAGGCGACGTCACCTTGAGTTCTTTTTCTTTTCATTTTATGATTGGTCCCTTGATAACTTGTCTAGTATGCACACAACCCGTAACCGATATTGTGGCGGCATCGCGTTACTCCCCCCCTCCCCCCCCATTATTTTCCTCCTCACTGTCTCTGCATAATAATTTCCTCTTTCTCTTTTCCAACATACGTAGATTCCAACGATGTATATACGCAATTCACTCCTCCACTGTCGCATATGTTCATTTTAATCGCCCAAACTTGCCTTCTTCCCCTTCACCCACCTGTTTCGTTGTGTCATGACTTCATGTTTCCTAACGTGTATTCTTTGTCCTTATGTACCGCCGGGCTGTTCGGTGAAATTATTCTGATATTACGTGTTGTAGACATTTACATTGCTTCTAAATGATGATCAAGGGGAGTTACCACGACTGAGTGCTTCTTTTGCGCCGCTCTCAATGATGTAGATATAGAATGCCGAGAGTCCCTCGATGCGCGGTTGGCGTACCGCAAGTTCCGCTTACTCCGGGCTAACCGAACCCACGACCTTGCGCCGCTTTTTTTCTAGCCAAATAAGTATACAAATAGTGCCCGCACATTGCTGCATCAGGGACAAAGCAGTCAAAGCGAGCTCGCATTGACGAATTTGTATTCTATGACCCCGTTCGAAGCCTACAGGGAGAAAAAAGTTCAGCACCGGATAGCCTTCCTACATATGTGAATTTACCATGGAATTGCCCCTTCTAGCTCCTGCACGTCTCGATTGATGTGGAGGGCATTCTAACATCCCGCTATTTTTGCACAGCTGGCACAGAGCCGGCTCGTCTTGAACTGGTGTGCACTGCGTGTGTATGGTTTGAGAGAAATATACGTATAAAGGATGGCTTTGGCTGACCTTTCTTCTCTCCTCTTGGCACTTGCCACACGGTCTCATGTTTCTCGCACTGCAGCTCGTTGTACCAGTGTTCCTTTTTTCTTTGTGGTCCGGGACGACCATTGGAATGGACGTTTGTCTCGGGTTTTGCATGATGAGCGATGCATCTTCATTTTGCGATGCTGTGGACGTGTTCACGTCTTTTAGGTTTTCAAGAGCCAGAATGCAATGAGGACAAAGTCCTCCGACCGGGGGAGCTGTGAATGAGTAAGTATGTATTGCTCAGACCCATGATTCTAAAGGTGCTGACTGTAACGGTGATCCCTCCACAGATATCTAAAAGATATATAAACACCTAAATTTAAAATATAGCAATATTCACCTACTCAATGCACCTACAATCGAGGCCCCAATGTTCCTTCGTCCCATGGGCTTTGCTATGCCTGCACCATGAGTCGTTGCAATCTATCTGATGAAAATGTCAGTATCAGGAGTCACTGAGTCAGTCTCAGAATAGTTGATGTCAGCACCTTTTCAATGGACTATGTAATTGCTAAGCAAGATCAACTGATTGAGCAAGTCAAATTTACACTCACATGGGTTTCAGAATGTCCACAGTATAAATACTCAGTCGTTGTTCTAATAAAAGTGAAGCAATCAGTAAAATGACATTAGTGCATAGATAAAATGACTAACATGATGAGGAGACACATTTTGACAGCCCAGCTGGGTGCTGCTGTGAGAGGCTGTCTCTGCCAGGATCTAGATAATGACAACTTCAGTATACACTTCTTATCTCTTTTTTAAACAATTGGAAAAAAGTACAGAAGATCTTACTGAAAATCAATCATACTGGCTATTAATACCATTGTGAGGGTAACCAGTGTCGGCAGAAAAAGTGCCTCTTTGGGGAGGAAAAATGTTCCTTCACCAATAAAAAAGAGGGCGCCTCAGTGTGGCTGTACATGCACACCTTCGTGATTGTGCATTTATTAACTGTCTGACAGGTACAGTTGAAGGTGACTGTCAGGCTGAAAATTTTTCAGGGCCTGTAAAGTTACATCACCACACAACGGGTGCTGGATAAATCAATTGACAATAAGTGTTTTTTGTCTGTTAATAAAAAGGCTGGACTTATCGGACGCCGGGCAACCCAATAAAACATGATGGACAGACCCAAAAGTAGTTGCTTTTCACCGCGCTGACGCGACGCGTTTCCATCACGTGACACGCGTCACAATTTCCACTCACTCTCAATCGCTGAGTGCGATTGCCAGCTAGAGCAACTTAGCACCAATGAACGTAATTGGGAGTGTATTTCTCGGCGACGCTGCTCGAAGTCGTGTTCTTTCTCCATCACCAACGTCTCCTCCGACATCCCCAGCCCTTCATACATCGTCGGCTTTTAAGGGTCCAGCACCTACTCCGATTGACCCACAGCTATCGCTTGAGCTTCGTATCCGGTGGTTAGAGGTCCTTCTTCTTGGAGTTAAGCAAGATTCTGTTGATCACAGTCGCGATGGGAGAGAAGATGCAAAGGCGAAAGACAAAGAAGGCGAGACGAAACGAGAGAACGACGCACTCGCATTGAAGGCTGAACAACTCCAGAAGAAGTTTGATTCGACCGTGGAGAGTAATGATGGGTTAAGGAAGTTCATGGATAGATGTGAGTCTTACTGCATATAACCCGTTAAAAGCAGGAAGAGTTAGCAAGTGATTATATATAATTGATTTGAATTGATTTTAGATGACCAACATGCACAAATTCTGACACCTAGTTTTGCCCTCTCGGGTGCTTTTGCATCGACTTCGGGACCGTCTTCACCTGGATACGGCTCCATGAGCTCGGAGGAGCTCGATGCCCTTCTGACGGAAATGGAGCCTGAGATCCGCGCTGCTGAGCGAGACCTAAGGGAAATTGATGTTTTGGAGAAGAGAGGAGTGCTTGGAGCTGGAAAACTCGCTGGTAAGTATTGACGATTTCTGAATTGAACCCGTGCACAGAGTGTGTGCTCATTTCATCTCGCCCTGTCTTTCTAGACTATGAGAGTTCGACTCCCCGAGTGGATGCATTAAGAAAGGCACATGAAGAGGATTTGGCTACGGTGGCCAATATCGAGCGACGAATAGCGAATGTACTAAGAGAGTACACTACACGTGTACGTTTTTCGATAAAATCTATCAACTATTCATATAGCAAATTATTTGACTATCCTTATTTATTAGATTGATGCACTTTCAGAGCTCTTCGTAGAGTGGAACGACGTTCTTTTGGCTGCTGAAGAGAAGATTACACGGCTTGAACGTGAGAAGACGGAGAGAGTCAAGCTAGGGTTTGATGAGGCAGGATAGTACGATAAACTTTTTCATATGTTACATTGTATTATGCTATTATACCCTGTAGAGCAAGGAAATGTACAGAAGACCCATTGTGAGCACTAAATGATACATTATGCGAGTGATTGTGCAAGAACAAAAGACAAGAGGGAAAAAATGGTGAATAGGTCAATAAAGATTTTCAAAACATCGAATTATCGTTTAGACTGAGTTCAGCGAAGTGCCACTTTACAGCCATTCTTCCTCTCCTTTTAATTATTGCTTGGATGGCATCCTCGTCTTCTCCATCGAGAATTTCATCCTCTTCAGCAGTCCACGGCTCAGACTTCCTTCCAATGATAGGCGCATTATGTGAAGGAAAACCGGAAGCGGCATGTTCGCTTGAAGAAGACGAGCTCGGAGAGTCGATTTGAGCATACGATGGTGACACAGCCAGGTCTACTTCCATCTCTTCCTTCTCGCTGTCATCATCCTCGTCTCTTTGCAGACCGTCAGAGTTGGGATTCAATGGACTTCCTGTCATTCCTGAGCTCCGTCGAGCCCGATCACGCACGTATCGTGCTGCCCTTGAAGCACTCGGAGGAGCATATTGGCTGCGTAGCTTGATGAGGAACGGGTCCTCGTCGGCTGGGGTAATGAATAATTCAGAGCGACGCCTCTGTGTGGCTGAACGGCTTTGAGAGGCCGAGAGTGCAGAAAGGTCCGTCTCACGTCTCTCCGGGCTCGAATGAGCACTTGTTTCCTTCACCCGTTCCTCGACAACATTGTCTTCATCGTCCCTTCTTTTTTCATTCTCATTATCTCTCGACTCCTCAAACGCACGTATTGCCGCCTCTCGCATCTTTGCGATCGTCCGATCGGTAGTTGGCAAGTCACCTTTTTCTTGATACACATTCCGTACCCATTCTTCAGGAACTCCGTGATTCTTCGCTATTGCTTGAATGTAAACCTGTAGTCCAACATTGGCAAGTCGAATGTGGTCCGCGGGAGAAATTGAGAGGCCTTGCGGAAGTATTGTTCTCGATAAATCGACTGTCGCCGTGATAGATGAGCGCCGATTCTCGTTGGGAGTGCCTTCACGTTCATCCTTTTCTATCACTGGAGTAGTAGATGACGGCGTTGAAAGACGAGAGGCAACGGCAACGGGATTGCCTGCAATGCTGCTACGCAATGCTTTTCTCCTTAGGTCAATCTCAGGCGGTCCTTGTGTCGTCGGGAATCCAGCAAATGTCTGTCTGCGATCGTGCTTAGCATCGGCAATTTTAGTCTTGCCTTTGCCGTGTCTTTGACCCATCTCCTTTTCTTTCCCATTCTCTTGCTTTCGAAGACGACGTGCATGCTCAGTAGTGAGGAAGGGATCGCTCACAGTAGTCAGCGAATCACTTGGAGTTGGAACTTGACTCTCGGACCAATGCGTTTCTGAACGCCAATCACGAATAGTCTTTGTCTTGTCTGGCGAGGCGTTTGGAGTAGATCGTGGGGCGGAGACGTGAAGTCTGGATGGACCAGGCTCTGGTGCTGAACTTGCAGGGACCTGTTGTGAACGACGCGTTACGAGAACATCCTTGGATAGCTCTCTTTCATTAGAAACGATCGGCTTCACTGTTGCAACCACTTCTTCAACAGATGGAGCAATAGTTGACTTTTTCTGATGTGACGATGCTTTTGGAGTCTGCTTAGTAGAAAAGTTCGACAGTCTCACAGGTGAGGAAGTGACTGAGATTTTCTGAGTGACTGAAGCCACACGGCTCCTCTCGGGAACCGAGGGAGGAGGATCTCCCACGACTTTCTTCTTTCGCGCCGGCGGCCATGGTTCAGTCGTAGATAGGTCTTTAGCATTGCGAGGAGGCTCTTCATCGTCGGTAATAACTTCAGTATCGGAAGCGCTATCGAGATCAGGAAGCCGTTTCTGCGATGCTGTTCGTCCATATGTGGGTACGAAAGACTTCGTAAGAGAGCTACTCATAAATCGAGGTGGATCCCGTTTGGGTAGAGGCGGGGATGTCTGCACGCCATTTCGCCTGTTGCTTTGCTCAGCTCGTATTGTCGAAGCCAAAGACTTTGAAGAGCTTGGTTGATCAACACGCTGTTTCTCTGGAGAGGGTGAAGGCGTTTGAAAGTAATCATCGTCAAGTATAGCTTTCGATACTTTTCGTCTTGGAGCGCTCTCATTTTGAATCGGAACAGTCGGCTCGTCCACGTGCTTGTCCACTTCCTCATGGTGAGCAGGGCCAGAAACTGGTAATATTTGGCTTGATTCTCCTTCGAGATTCATTGGAGATTCAGCTGCCAAGAATGTAGTGTCATCCCAAGCACCAGGTACAGCATTTTTAGGAGGCGAGGCGGTTATAATATCATCCTCCGTTATCTGAGGGTACAGACGTTCGTTACTTGTCGTGTAATTGTGTTTCACAGAAGAGTCGATGTCTTGTAACTGAGACTGTAAATTTGGTCAGGTCAAAATAAAATAAGAACATCGTTTAGCTTGACACTGTACTTACTCTGGCGTATTCCAATACTTCTTCCTGCTCTTCTTCAGTTAATCGGAGTGCATCGACAACGGACTTTTGCACTTTCTCATCATTAAGAAACTTCTCAAGTCCTCCCATAACTGAAAGTAGTCCAAGGCAACGGCCGACAGCGGAAGATCTTAAACCAGATAAATTAGGAACAAACTTTCGCGCAACAGACACAGCAATACCTTTGTAGTCCATACTTCTGAGGGCTCAAGACGACACTTCTTAGTGTACCACCATTCGTAATGTTGTCATTCCGTGAAGGACCCGCCGAGTCTCCATCGTCGGGAGTATCTAGAAGCACGTCGTCAAGCTTTCTGCGCTTAGTTTCGTCCCGGACTTCAGCAGCATCCGCTCTTCTTTTCCCTTTGTGGCTGGAATCTGTTCCATCGCTTATATTGGCAGCATCACCATTTGTTGAAGGACGCTTGGACGCAGGGACAGTTTTCCGAGCAGTCTTGCGTGCAACACGATTTTGGCTTTGCAAAGAACCATTCTGGTGCACAGAAGCTGGTTCATTATTCTTGCTGCTTCCGGATGCCCCTGTACCGTTCGCGTATTGTCGATTTGTTTGAGAACGTTGCTCCGCAGGACCACTCCCATTGGGACGGCCGTTAGTTCCGACGCTTTCGGCTTCCGACTCTGCTTCCTGGCTGCTTTCCCTGTCCGCCAGTTCATCCTTCTTGGATTTGGCATTCGCACCAGCAATCACCCCGTGCTTTTTCTGGTATTTTTTAATCGCGGCTTTAAACCTATATTGATTGTCCTTGTAACGTTCGCGCCAACTTTGCCAAGAATGCCGCTTTGCCCACGGCCATTTGCCTTCTGCGTTCTCGACGAGTCGCTTGTAGAGCGCATTGCCCATACGATTCGCCCCGTCAGCATTGTATGTAGCAATATACTTCACCAGATACGCGTCATCATCTTGATCATATGGTACCCGGCTATAATAAATATAAGAAGATGAACTGCATTTAGATGTAAATTGCTTACGTCGGGCCCATCGTCGATTATGGTCGTTTACCAACTTCTGCGAGCGAGACACGCAGCAAACGCGAAGCGTCACAAAACGCGATTTGTCACGTGCCTCACATTTACGCCTATCATTTAAAACGCAGAGATATTTTTCACACCGAGACAATCTGTATGCCGATCTAGAGGATACATCTATTAACAACTACGTCTATGAGACATGAATAGTCGACGGCGCCCCTGTTCCGTCTTTTGAAATCTCTGCAGCAGTAAGGACTACACCACCCGAATGACTGACAACAAATTGCACTTGAATACGAGTCTTCCATCGTCCCCCATCCTTCCTGGCATTGGCTGCTCGGACTAGTAGCGCTCCAAGCTGCTTCTCTTTTGTTAGAGTTTTTTCGCGGGTCTCTTCTTCCTCTTCTTCTTCTTCCTCCTCCTCCTCATCTTCCCTCTCCTCGGGCTCACGCTTCGGGGGTTTGACTTTTTCCACCTTCACACCATCGTTTACTTCCCAGAGTTCCATACCAATCGTATACTCCTCTTTTTTTGCGTCACCCAGGTCACAATCGAATTGTACGATGCGTCGGTAAGGTAACGGCGTCTCCCGCGGAACACCTAATACCCATTGCCCACCAAGACCCTCCTTGGCTGAATCAGCTCCAGGAAGAATAATGCCAATCGTCTTCGCAGTAGCCTGTACTGCGGCATGCTCACTGTCCGGTCGGAAAGCATCGTGCAATTGTTGATCTTCTGTTGCGATCTCTGCAAGTAGACGAGCCTGTAACGCGGCTCCACGTGATAGTAAAGTCGTCGGGTCCCCTATGCCTCCTCCCACGACAGTCCCCGCAGTAAACGGTGTGACAGTACTTTCTGGGAATCCCTTTGCAAAGAACGTCTCGTCCAGCCCTGGAAGGGAAGCGGAGCCGCCAACATAGATGATTTCGTCCACGTGCAAAGGCTCAAGACCGGCGCTCTCTAGTAGATTAATGGCAGCGCGTACGACTGAGTCGTACACCGAGCGTACTTCCATGTCGAAACGCATTCGGTTGATTGTCCCGGTGAAATCGAGACCATCCTTTAACGACTCGACGGAACAGCTCGCAGCACCAGGAGATGCACTGATCGTACGTTTTGTGTGTTCTAAAGCAAGTCGCAACTTTGCTTCCGCTCGTTTGTCGGCATTGTCGGCAGGAGGACAGACAGTTAGCGGTGTCTTCATTTTCTTGGTGAATTCCTTTGCAAAATATTTCACGAGCTTCGTGTCAATCTGCTCGCCATTAATATCGAAATGATGTGCAGCATTGATTGCATAGATGAGACCGTGGCGGAAGGAAAGGACGGATAAAGATAGCGACGTCTGGCCCAAGTCGACAAGAAGTGCTGTTCGGTCAGGATCAAGTTCCATGACAGGGTCACTGACCGTAATCAGCGAACCAGCTGCAGCTTCGTCCAGGAACTGTAGTACCTTGAAGCCTGCTTCCTCTGCCGCGGATTCTAGCGCTGCACGAGCACGATCGTCGAACCATGAAGGGATAGTGACCACGGCCCCATCAACATCACGACCCAAGAAGTCTTGCGCGGATTTTACCAATGACTTGAGGAATATAGAAGTAACTTCTTGAACAGTAAGGATACGTTCTGCAGGAATGGGCTCAGATCGTGGAGTAGGAAGGACGGAAGTGGCAGGGGTGTTCGAACTAGATCGAATTGATGACTTCACACTGGCAGGTGGTAAGGGGGAGGGTGCGGGCTGTAAGATGGCAACCCTGTATGCTGCAACGTCAGGCTGTTCCGGATGTTGAATGACGGGAGCTGATGTGATGGGTTGGTCTTTTGGGATCTCCGAGAACCTGAACAGCTTCGTTAACAGAATAAAAGGCGAGGAAAACATAAATATCTACTTTTTACCGAGAAGATTTCGGAAGTTGATGATGGTGTTCTCTGAATTCTTGATAAGCTGCGGTTTTGCTTGGTTTCCAATATACTGCGCATAGATTAGCCAGAATGCTATGTGGAAACGGAAACGCAACTCACCATCTCCTCCCCATGGAAGGACACCGCGCACGCGATCTGACGTTCGCCGTCCTCATTAGCTATGCAGTCCGCAAGTCCTTCCTACCACGACGGTTTAATTCATCAGCCTCATGTATCTCGATGTTCGAGCATTTCTGACCTTGTTGATGACGGCGATGGACGAATAGGAGTTGCCAAAGTTGATGCCTACAACTGTTGGCGTTTTCGTCGGTGCCCCAGGGGCGACGCCATTCGGCTGCGACATTTTGTCTAATCTCTATAACCGTTCTGTGAGATTTTAACTCGCTCAAATAAAGGAACGTCTGACAAACTTACAAGGGGTATGGAGGTTGAGAAGGGGAATGTGCCTCTCTTCGGCCGTCTACAAATTTTTGGCAAGCGCATCTTGAGTTTCCCAATAAAGAAGGTATGACTAAGCAAATGCGTCAAGAAATCACATTCTTTCACACTCTCGTTCTCCACGGAACTTATACTCTTTCTTCCACCTGCTGGATTCCGATAACTATGGAAAACAAAGACGTCACTCGTTGACTTCGGTTGACTTCGGCAGGACACTACTAACCATTTGACAAATCACGTCGACGTCGATGGTCTCCTCGTCTCTCGAGCGCTTCTTTGGCGGTCCTGCACATTTTGGAAATACTATCTTGCTTTTACTAAACGGCCTAATGGAATCTTAGAAATTGACGGATTCCGGGATGTCATTTCTGAATTACTCCCCTCGGCCCTGGCATTCCTTGGCGCTATGTGCATTAACGTATTCTTCGAACTATTCACTCGGCAACTGGCATCATTATGAATATAATGAAGCTTGGGAATTTATAGGACTACATCCGGTTCAGATGCCTAATAAAAATGGACACTTCCCGCACGGCACGGAGTAGTCACTCGTCTTAGAATATGTATATAAGTGACCCGATCACAACGTCTTTCTAGGTATATATAAGCTACTCAAGTTGAGAATGTCTACGCGTGCACTCGCCGGAAAAGTTGCTCTCGTTACTGGTTCCTCTCGCGGTATCGGTGCCGCAATCGCTCAACGTCTTTCCGATGACGGTGCAAACGTTGTTATCAACTACGTCAGCAATGAAAAGGCGGCTAATGACGTCGTGGCTACCCTTAATGCAAAGCGCGCTGGATCAGCTATAGCTATACAGGCAGACGTCTCTAGCCCATTTAAAGCGCAGGCGCTGTTTGATGCGACGATTAAGGCATTCGGCCGCCTGGATATCCTCGTTTTAAACGCTACTGTCTTCCAGTTCCGTACATTGAGCGAGATCGACGAGGAGTTTTACGACGACCATTTCAATGCAAACGTGAAGGGACCACTTTTCCTCGTCAAGGCTGCTGCAAATTCACTCGCTCCAGGTATGCATAATTTCGTACGTTCTTAAGTATGTGTAGAGCACCCTGGCTCTTGCCTTATCTTTCTATAGGTTCACGCGTTATCTTTATCTCTTCGGGCGTTGCACATTCCTCTGTAGTACCCGCAGCGACTCTCGTATATACCGCTTGCAAGGGAGCCGTCGAGCAATTCACGCGTGTTCTTGCAAAAGACCTCGGCTCTCGTAGCATCACCGTAAACTGCATCGCTCCAGGTCCCACCGACACGGATGGCTTCCGCACAGGTATTCCTAAGGAACAGATCAACTTCCTCACAACCTTGCATCCTGAGAAACGTATCGGCCGGCCAGACGAGGTTGCGCACGTTGCCGCATTTCTAGCCTCTCCTGGAGCATCGTGGGTTAATGGGCAAACTATCCTCGTCAACGGCGTGAGTTTGCTATCTTGTTATGTGGGTATCTCTGCTGACTGCGGACTTTGGAACACTTCCAGGGTTATGTTGTTTAATGTCAGGAAATACTGCATGCCCTGTGGCATTGTTGAATTTAGAGCGTGTGGATTTGAATAAAGGCGTCTGCATCCCAGTAATCCAAAATAATAAAGGAACTTTGTCCATTTAGCAGTTGATTCATGTTGACTATCCATCCAAGTAAGGAAGGTCTGACTAATCAGGTTGCCCGGAAAGTTGGAAAAAAACTTGGGGCACATTCAACCATTGGAGGCCTTACTGATTAACTTCTACCAGAGGAGAACTGTCACTCTCGGCGATTTGTTGCGCTATGATGCTATATACTGCTCGGATAATCAGTCTGATGCAGTCACTAGCATGGTCATGAAATCTGGAACTGAGAGCCTACTGACGCCACACGTTTGCAGCTTGTTTGTCTGGTCTTGGACGGTGATTTCTCGCTTGATACCCTTTTTCTCGTCACTATTCAGCCACTAACTTGGCTCATCACCTATGACACAATACGTGCACATGGTGCCTCACAAGTCAACTCTGTTGCAGGGCGCTTTATCTCATCCTTATCTCCTACTGCTGTGACGTGTTCGCCCATGTGCCTCCTGAACCATTTTGAGGTTATCAATTTGCTTTTGAAAGAAGCTTATCCTACATTCATTTTCACATTGCAGTAAATGCGAGTTTGGTAATTCTGCAAAAACACTGTCCATTTCGGAGTGCCAAAAGTGGATGTATTTACGCCGCACTAGCTGAGTCTAGGTCTTGGGACATTGCTACCGGTGGCGTATATATGCGACTTGACCTCGACATCTATACTTCCCTGATCTGCTTGTGAGCTGAAATGTCCCTCGTGAAACCTCTCGCCGGAAAGGTCGCACTCGTAACTGGCTCTTCTCGCGGTATTGGCGCCGCAATCGCTAACCGCCTTGTTGATGATGGCGCAAGTGTAGTTGTCAACTATGTCACTAACGAAAAGGCAGCCAACACTGTCGTGGCTGGTCTTAATGCGAAGCGAGCTGGAGCGGCTATAGCTGTGAAAGCAGATGTCTCTGGACCAGCTGCAGGACAAGAGTTGTTGGATGCGACTATGAAAGCATTCGCTCGCCTGGATATTCTAGTACTAAATGCGGGTATCTTTGGTATGCGTACCTTGAGTGAAATCGATGAGGAATTCTTCGACACGCATTTCAATGCGAATGTGAAGGGACCGCTTTTCCTTGTCAAGGCCGCTGCAGGCTCATTTGATCCGGGTATGCACATGTTCTACTTAGATACAGTTTTCTGAAGCTCATCACATTTCTACAGGATCTCGCGTCATCTTTTTCTCTTCGTCGATTGCCCATGCTTCTATGGTTCCCTCCACATCACTCGTCTATGCCGCAGCCAAGGGCGCAATCGAGCAAATCACGCGCGTCCTCGCAAAAGATCTCGGGCCTCGCGCGATCACTGTGAACTGCATCGCTCCAGGTCCCATCTACACGGATCTCTTCTACGCAGGAAAGACAGAGCAGCAGATTGGATTTATCACGAACTTGCATCCCGAGAAACGTCTAGGCCAGCCGGAAGAAGTTGCCCAAGTTACTGCGTTCCTAGCCTCTCCTGAAGCGTCGTGGGTCAACGGGCAGACTATTCGTGTCAATGGCGTGAGTTTGCTACTTTCTTATCTTGATGTCGTCTGCTTATTGTAATTTGGGCAAAATTTTAAGGGATACGTCGTATGATTATCAATAACTACGTTGGGCTTTTGTACGATTCACTATTTTTCGGAGCCTTCGGATAAGACTTTAGAACCCTCGGGATTGAAATACTCTATTTTGTTTTAAAGCTTTAGCTAGTTGAAGTGGTCATTTCATGTGCATTCATGGATGTGATTTACAAAACCTCCCGTCACACTTGATTTACACTAATGATGGTGCTAACGAACGCGAGTGCTAGGAACACTTTCGATCCTGATCGAAGTGTGGCGTGGTATGCTTGAAATACGTGCACGTGATTAGACATCTCCATATTCAGGAGAAACGCGTGCCATGCCTTTACGCTATCCTCACGACTACCATGTTACTCGCCCTCCTGAATGCGCTGCAGCTCCTACTCGCTCCTATATTGTACTTCTCGGGCTCTAACTCAGCGAATGAGCAGACTATTTTGGAAAAGACACCGCTACCTCGAAAGTTTTCACTGAGACACGAACATGCAATTGTTAATGACTCGCATGTCCTCTTTGCCGACGTACTACCATCTCTCGTACCCGACCAGCACGCCGTCAAAGCTCGACATATACAAACGCACAGACCGAGCTCATTCAATGCCTTCCTAAATGCAAGAACGAACTATCGTCTATACGGACAGACTGACGCAGATTTATGGGTTCAGTCGACAGTTCCCGCTCCTGACGTGAATGACCGTGAGACCCTCCTAACACTGGCTAAAATGACCAACAATGCATACTACGAACCCACTGAGAAATCTTGGTACTCTCTCGACTCGTATTGGGGAAACGATGTGAGTCGTTAAGTTACGTGCTTCCAGTATGTGGATTAACTGGTGCCGACGTTAGAGCTTTCCGTTTGGCTGGGAACCAGACGCAGACGGGTTTAGAGGGTACATATTCGCCTCTGAAGATAACTCTACTGTCGTCCTTTCCATCAAGGGTACCTCGGGAGGTTGGATTGTTGGCGGTGGTGGTCCAACTGTGAAGAAAGACAAGATCAACGACAATCTTCTCTTCTCATGCTGCTGCGCACGGGTGGGTCCAACTTGGTCGCCTGTTTGCGGTTGCTATTCTGGTGGATACAAATGCGACCAAAGTTGTGTTGAGACTGCTTTAACTGACGAAAGTCTATTCTACAACGTTGCAATTGTTGGTGTCTATTAACTTCTCGTATTTTGCGTATTGACGACTGTAACTTCTTGACAGAATCTATACAATAATGTTACTTATCTATATCCAAATGCTGATATCTGGGTTACCGGTATGTGCTCTCGTACAGGTCTTCGAACTCGCAATTACTGAGCACGGGTCGCTCTCTTAGGTCACTCGCTCGGTGGTGCACTCGCTTCGTTAACCGGTGCGACTTTCGGTGTGCCTGTCGTCGCGTTTGAGGCTCCAGCAGAGAAGCTCGCTGCAACAAGACTTCATCTCCCTTCACCTGTATGTGGTTTCCTTTCATGTGCCATATCCTGTACTTATCAAGTCGGCTCTTGCTCGCCAGCCTTCGACGCTCCATATCACTCACGTTTATCATACGGCAGACCCAATAGCCATGGGCGTATGCAACGGCGTAACTTCATTCTGTGCGATCGGAGGGTACGCTATGGAGACCAAGTACGTACATCATAACCCAATGCCTTTCAATTCAAACTCGTGCCTTCAATTCTTTCCGTTCCCTTCACCTTCCACTTTTTTATTGATCTATCCACATTAGGTGTCATATGGGCAAAGTCATCAAATACGACACTGTAACGAAACTCAACTGGGCAGTTGACATACGCACACATTCGATCAACCGAGTTATCGAAGAGGTACTTGCAAACGATTGGGAGGAGCCGAGTGAAGGAAAGTCCGGGAGGCAGGTACCTGAGGCTGGTGATGAAGATGATTGTGTTGTGAGTCCTTTGTCTCTTGGCCCTTTTTTTTTGGTGAGTGGTAGTACTGATTTGAATAATACAGGATTGCTTTAATTGGGAATTTGGGGACTTCAAGACAAAGAGCTTTGATGAGTTACAGACAGCTGTCTGATCATTGGTGCAACTAGAGCTGTTGTATTTGTATCATATTTTATACATATTTACTTCCTAGCCATTGTTTCTGTAACAAGTCAAGCTACAAACAAGATAGTAATTGTGCACCTTTGTCTCTTTTCATCCAAGAAAATGGGAAATGGTTACTTCCTGGCTACAAGGTACAATCATTCTAATGGAGTACTGTATATTTTCGAGATGCAAATGTATATACACTCATGGCAAGCAATGCAGAGCTACAAACAAAAGGATGCAAGAACGTGTACTTAAGGCGGGAACACACAAGTGTAGCATATACACGGGGAAGAAAATTCAAACTCGTAGTAAGGTGCAAGGGAAGAGACAGATAAATATTCATATTAAAAGCAACTACGATTTCATCAACCACGGCTTATTCGCTAATGTCCACGCGTCTAACGTCTTCCAGAAATTGGCTACGACAGACTTGTCGACGTGTCGTCTGTGTTGATCGATCTAATATGGGTTATCATTTACGAATTCGTCATTAGTACATATATATTTAACCAGTATGTTAAGGAGGAGTAGGGGGCGGGGGTAAGGATGGCGTACCTTGAGTTCAGTAACGTTCCAGTCTTTAATCTTTACATTCGGCGGATCGTTTGCCCAACTTACGTAGAAGCCCTTAACTGAAAACACATATTCAGTCAGCATGAACACACACATGTGATTGATAAAAATCAAAGGCAAACCAATGTATCACTCACCATGATGAAAAAGCGTCATAGGCTCCGTCCACTTATACGGCTTGAACTGCCACGCCTGTCCCGTCGTCAACACACAAACAACCCTATCCCACGCATCACTCCCGAATTTCGCAAGGGCGTCTACACCGTCGACGACATAGTACCGTGATTGGGTGCGGCGTTCTTGGCCGGAGGGATCGATGTGTGTGTGGGTGCGGTAGATGGGGATGACGTCTTCTGGGCGGGTTGTTCCTTCGGAGGCGGCGCGGGTGCGGGCGTCGGAGGGGCTTTCGAATCTACGAGGGTGGAGAGTTAGTAGAGGGTTGGGAAGGGGGAGGGGAGTGGACGTACGAAGCTTCTTGGAGGAACTTTCGGACGTTGTACATTGTTATGAGGGATGTTGGGGACGAGGAGATCATAATAATTGGAAGCATGTTTTCTAGCCAGTGCATTGTGATTAACATTCTGAGAAAAATCGGTATAGATAAAGACAGGACATACTGGACTTTCGAGCTTGGAGTTTTGGATCTATGCAAGTAATGAGTCAAAGGAGTTTTTGAAGGTGAATAAAGTGGAATTACGAACCGATTTTTGGAGCAACTGCGGGTGGAGGAATCGCCCCGTTCTTCGAGGCTTCCTTTAGTTTCTTTAACCGTTCGGCGAACATCAATCGAACGTTGCTAAAGTCCTGTAACAAACCATCAACGACAATTCAACCTCACACTCTCGATGTAGAGATTGACATTGTCAGAAACATACATTGGGTTTCGTGCCCCTCAATACCGACGTCCGGTCAGATAGCTCAATCTCATTTGCTTTGATCTTCTTAACGACTTCCGCATCTGCAGCGTCGACTGCATGGCGTCGTTTCGCCGGTGAGCCAGTGGTCGTCGTAGACGCAGCAGCACCAGGTGGCCCAGTCTTCGGTAGAGTGATACTCTGTGACGGAGGCGAACCGGGCGGGGTGTGCGAGTCCGCTGTACATCCATTCGTCCATTCGTCAGTCGTCGCCACCAACCAACAAATACTTAAAATTAACAGAAAAGAGAGACATACATTCTAACGGTACAACCCCCTTATACGAACTCGTCTTCCCATCCAACCACTCCGCAACGCCCTTCCGATCCGTAATACCAACAAACGCACCAAGGAGCTTACACTCCCTCGCCTGCTGCATGTACTCTGCGACACTCGCATCTCGTAGCAGCCACGTCAGATACACCGCATCGAGGCGGAAAAACGCATTCGGGTCGGACTGTGGGTTCGTAGCTGTTGCATCGGGCTTGCGGAGTCGTGTTGGAGTGTCTTTCGGGAAGGAGAGGGAAGGAGAGAGGACGAGCTTTGTTGCGGCGGAGAGGGAGGAGACTGGCCCGGCGTCATTGGCGTAAATTATGGACGCTTTTGAGCGGATTGCGTCGCGGAGGGCGTTGAGCGGGTCTGGTGTCGAGGTACTCATTTTGTGTTGTGGTCGTCGGAGAAGAAGAGTTAACACTCAGACGCTTGGTATAATTCAGCACACTAGAGTCACGCGTAATACTACACACTACAATCTATAATTTTAATGCCCTTCTGGCTCAGGCTGTAATGGCCCACTCAAGGGAATGCGAGGTGGTGACTTCCAGCGGCTCCAAATGCCGGTGCGCCGAGTTCGATCCGCCCTCTCGCGAAAACTTGGAGTCCATTTGCCCAGCGCTGCGGAAGCAGTTGCTTACGGCATGGAGTAATGTGACGATGACAGGCCAGGGAAGCAATTCTGCAACCTGCTCGTCCATCCGAGTTAGTCGTATGAGATCGGGGCAGAGAGTCTGTACGCGCTGCGTTTCGTGCCCCTCGCAAACCTTTTATTTTATCTATTTATTCAAATAATATACAAGATAGTTATACTCATAGATGTTGGTATACATTTAATATTGTTACGCTCCAGTTTCCAGTTCCTTGATTCGCCCTTCAAATAGACTAATCGTCGTGTCCATCCCCTTCAGCACTCCTTCGTCTGGTCCCTCTCCCGGAGTTAGATGTGTATGCGCGAAATCGATTAGCTTCACCACATAGGGCGACCTCTCTTCCTCCTCCGAATCGTCACTATCACTGTCGTATCCGTCATCTTCCTCATCTTTCTTCCCCTCCGCGCCAAATCCCGCAGAATTCGCCAGTTCTGCCTCGCTCATACCCTGTCTTTCCTGCGCCTGAACATCCAGCAATGACCGATCAACCTCCCAATCTGCTTCGTACACGATCAACAAGCTCCCTCCGACCATGCGCAATTCTGTCTTCGCCAAGCCATCTCGCAACTCCCGTATATCATATAAAATGCCTCGTAAAATGGGTAGGAGTAAGTTTAGTGGGAGACCCAGGCCTTCGGGTTTGTTGCTGTCCGCTGGTAAAGACGAGACGGGGAAGAATCGTCGGACACCCTCTGGTAAGTCGGATGTCTTGATCGACTTGCCGTACGATTTTGGTGTTATGATAGACTCGTTCTTCGTATAATCGAAGACCTATCGAGAGAGTCGATGTAAAGTTGATTATATGCGCTTCAAAACAGTAACGGCTTAGATGTACCTGAAATCCAGTAAGCCGGATACCAGTCTCAAAAGACGTCGTATTCCGTGCTGTCTCGAGCATACGTTGTTTCTTCTCTTCCGTTGCGCCTTCCTCGTATAAGACTGTCCCTAATTTGATGTCCATGATGTTTGGTTTTGTGAATTCAGATGCGACGTTTTGTAACACTATGGACTGTAAAGTAGCATAGTACCAGATAAATCACACATCCCATATGAACGATTCTGAGTGTTGTTTACTCATCTTTCTCTTCAACTTCAGGTACGGGCACGATCCCAGTACCATCGTCCACCGCTACTCCTCCAGCACTCTGCTGTGCCGCAGCAGGAACACTCGCAACCTGCCCTTCCAACCTCAAAGTCCCATAAAACTTCGGCACAAACTTCTGCAAATACACCAACTCCATACTCTCCTGCGCCAACAACTCATAGAAAGTCCTTTCCTTATGCAACGACTGTTTAACGATCAACGCGTTATCTTCTGAAGCTAGTACGCCTGGGTGTCCGCCGACTTGTGAGGCGAGGGCGTGGAAGGCGGATTCACCTGCTGAGATTGCTGAGGCTGTTGCGTTGGAGAGTTTGCGGACTGTTGGTTTGGGGAGGGCAGAGGGAGCGGGGGAGGAGGTTGTTGACATTGTGAAGAAATTGGATTGGATAATTTGGAGGGAGGGCGAGAGGAGAGGATGAGCCGACTGTTGCCGATGAGACGCGTCTATTTTCTAATTTCTTTACCTGTGCCCAGCTTTCGTGTCTCCTCTCAACAGAACGTAATACTTAAACCATGGCCACTACAAAACTCGCTACACTCGCGATTCGCGTAAGCATCTGTCTCTCTTGGCCGTAATCGCCAAAACCAAACAAATGATTGTTCTTAACCGTGACTCCAGACGTTAGCGAAACCAATCGCGAATACCATAAAGCAACAAGCCAAAGAGTTGAGTCTTGGCTACTTTATCCGACATTCACATATCTGACGACGAGCTTGGTTTGGTTGATTTGTTAGACACGAGACATTCCGCCGCTGGTGCATGAACCTCGCACAAGCCAAACACCGTGCAGAAGTCAACCTCCGTACCAACCTCCTTGGTGAACCTGCAAAGAACATCCGTCCTCTCTCTGAAGCTCGGTCTGTCTCTTCTCCCTTCTTTCTCCTCTCTTCCTTTCTCCTCTCCTCACATTCACATTCTCTCCTCGACCCCCCGTGACCAAAATCAAATCATTAACGAAAATAACAGAGCAATCGACCAAGGAGCAGACGCCATAGCCGAAGGCTTCCTCTTCTCCGTCGCAGCACTCCTCATCCTCGGCGAGACATACCGCAGTTCACGAAGTCAAGCTAAACGCCGAGACGTCATCGATGATAAAATTGAGGATCTGAATAATCGAATAGAGGGGTTGAGTGAGGGTGTAAAGGCGTTGGAGAGGAGGTTTGAGGAACAGTGGGAGTTGGAGAAGGGACGGTATGTCTTTTCTTTACTTCGTTCTCCGCTGGCTTCTGTTTCTTTTTAAATTCGTCATCAGCGGGCGATACTCATGTATTTTTTCTCTTTGGTGTTGCAGGAACGAGGAGCTCACGCGAGTATTGAATCGAATAGTCGACGTCGGGCTACGAGGAGGCTGGGCAGAATTTGAAGATACATCACTCCGTATACCGAGTAATAGTATTACAACGCCTTCACCACAGTCCTCCTCATCTTCACGAGATGACGCATCTCGGCCCCAAAAGCCTTCATAATCTTTATAATCATCGTGGATGCTAGATTTCGTGACATAATATTATAATCACACGAATTCGAACTACACAGGAACGGATTATCAATAATACCGATTCGAACTCAAGCCTAACAAGACTGTCTCGTACCAGACCACAAAATATACTCAACATTACACATGTCTGTACAAAGAACAAAGCCCGTGTATTGTTGATATGTCCTGAAATCATGTATGTGAAAACACTTGTATTCTAACTCTGCAAAAGCTGCTAAATTAAACAGATGTACGTTGCATATCTGCATGAAAGTGCTTTATTTGAAATGAAAGGGACGAACAAAGTATATAAGGATGAAAAGAAGCAAAGCATGCAGAATTGCTTTGTATTTTCTTCAAAGCCTTTCATGAAACTCATTTGCTTCTCCACTCGTCTTTATTCAACCCCGCTTTCAATGCGCTTTCTCTTTGTAGCTTAATCAAGATACACTACAAAACTATATATATAAGTGTATGAGAACAGGCTATTAGTTACTTAGCAATACTCATTCCCGGGCCATTGCTCACTGTAGCCGCAATGATTCCTACCCTCTTGGCCTCCTCAGGATTGGACACGGACACAATGTCCCTGGGAGTCTGGGTATTTGTTGGAGGCAGGGACACGGATATCGATGCTAACACTGAGTTTCATTACATTCTTATCATCTACATGTTATCAAAGACGCCATACAACTTACCCTCTGAGTTGTAATGCTTGATCGCATGTAGCAAACAAATAGTAATAAAAGGAATCACAGTCTTTCAGCCACTTTCCCCTCTGCAGCTTCTACAACTTGGATACTGTGTGTATATTAGTATGCTAGGAAACTCCATTTAATGCCTGGTAATACTTGGATTGATGTTCTTCATCAGTATTGACACACCTTCTCCTTTCTGCATTCCTAGTATTGTCGGGATACTCTTCTCCAAGTTGTCTAAATTTGTGAGGGACGCTGACAAATATATGGCAAGCTCATATTGGATGAAGGCATGTATACTTCTGCAAGGATTAGGCTTAATAAAATCTCCCTATTGCGAGTATCTAATATTTAAGTTTCTACTGAATCGAGAATAATGATAGAAATTACAATATTTTAATGAATACAGAAGTTGAGTCCTGAAGGTCAGACCAGTACAGTCCCCGTGCTTGATATGGAAGAGAGACAATCCTAGTTTCGCAGTTATACTAGTATGTGCATTACAGAGTACTATGAAACCAAAATTAATATCAATCAATCATCCCTCTGGCTCCCTTCCCTTGTCTCATTTGAGCCACAACCTGTGTAAAGCTATATGCATACTTGGGGTTGATATTACTAACAGACCCGCCCTCAAATCGCCACCTTGACGGTCTCAGTCTCTAAATCATTCACATGCCCGTGCATACAAGGGCTATGCTTACAATCGGACATACTGCGGAACGGCGTTTGTGCTCTCCATCTTTCTATGTCGTTCACCTAGGACCTAGGTAAAGACCCATGCGTGCGAGTCCAATAGCATTGATATCATTCTGGACCATAGCACATTTAAGTTATGTAGCTGTGATGACGAGAGCTTATCAAAGGGGACATACTGTACCCATCTGTATGGGTACAACCAGCTGGAGTGCGTTACCGGTGAAAATTGGAAACCAACCCATGCGTACGTGTTACAGTTGCTAACTCAGGCAACCTAGACGGATCTTGCTGGATGTTACTATACTAGATTAGCATTAGTATATAGATTCAATCTTATCTATTTTCTGAACGAAAAAGGAACATTAGACCAAATGGAGAAAATAAGGTGTCCTACTACTACCTATTTCCGAGGTTGTTCATTCTGTCTTGAAGATAAAAATACCTGGAGGCCGTAGTCAACAATACTGTACACTTGCTAATAACGTTAAGGCATTGAGTAGTACTTCTGGACTTATTCCAAGTGCTCAGGAAGAGGATATATATGCTTACAATGACGAGGGAATACTATGGGGGGAGGATGGAGTTGGTTTGCCTACAATCCAGTAATCTTTTCAAGTTTTCTTACGCTTGTAGTACTATACTTGATTACACTTGAATTGTCTTACATAATCTAATACTCGCTTAAAAATGTAACGCTCCTTAAGGGAAAGCAACTACTTCTATTCGTTACACGTTACTCCTAGCAACCAAACCACCCCTGCGTTACACGTTACGGTTGTACCCATACAGATGGGTACAGTACTTGCCACCACACCAAGACGAAACAAGCAGTGTATTGATAATATCATTATTAAGCATCCATTCTGAGTTCCTATACTACTTTGTATGTGTATCAAAGCCTTTCATGTATCTCATTAGTTAGCTCACTCGTCTTTGTTTCGACCCATTTTCAAAGCATTTCCCCTTTGTAGCTGAAGTAAGATACATTGTAACTGTGTATATATAACCACATTAGAAGAAGTCATTAATAAAAAAACCTATTACTTAATGATACTCCAAACATTGCTCACTGTGGGATTAGTAACTCGTCCTAATCCTCTTGCCTCTAAGAGTGGCGCACCAACAACATGTCTCCGAGTACCTGTTGGGGGTAGGAACGTGGATGTTATTAACAAATTTTCCTTCGTTATTATCATTTACTTGTGAGGACGCAATGATATCTGCCTTCCCTCTGAGTTGCAAATGTTACCTCACATTTGGTAAATGTGTCATAATGGAAGGAATCTTTCCAGTGAGCACTTTGATGCCAGACCAGCGCTATTAGTACTGATCCGCCGCCTCGCAACTGCTTCATGTAGAAGGGAGCTGGTGCTAGTTGCACAGTATATATGTTCTACGGATTATTATCCAACTAATTTTTCTACTAATCAAATATTCTTCTGCTATCCTGTTCCTGTTTCAGATGTGAGTAAAGCAATGCATGTTTACAGCTAATACTAGGCCTTCTTACCCTCATATCAATGTCTTGGCGTTCGAGCCGGTCGCACTCTCGAATCAATTCACATGCCTCGTGCATACAAGGGCTATGCTTTACAATCAGACGTACTGCGGAACGCGAGTACGTTCGTGATGTCCATCACTACGGTGCATATCTAGGTATAGGCCTGTACGTGAGTACGTGATAGTGCTGAAATCATTCTGGGCCATGGCTCATTTGGGTTATGTAGTAGTAGTTGTGATGACGGGAAAATATCAAGGGAGACCAATATAGCACTTGCTCGCCACCAAGGCGAAAACAGGCGGTGCATATCACAACATCATTATCAAGTCTCCGTCCGCTAGTCACTTTATGGACTGCGGAACTATAAGACCATAGCATTGCAGGCAATTATGACGCGTCATCTACGTCTACTTGAAGCAGAAAGCGAGAAAGAGGCGGTAAGCTCGGAGTTAAGTGGATGTAGAAGGTAAAGGAAGTGGTACGATGTCCGTAGTCATGAAAGAATAAAAATACAATTATACTTAATGTCATTCGATTATAAGAATTTGAAAAAAGTTCGCGTGCCAATGATGATGAAAGAAAATGATTGGCTGAAAGTGTAAAGAAAGAATTACGAGGCGATAATATGAGGCAACGTTCCAGTCCGTATCCAATACAAGTCCAATTCTGATTCTGGTTCTGAGTGAATAAAAAAAGTTCCTGAAAGTCTATAATGGAAAATCTAAAAAGAGTTCTGGTTTTCGTAAGGAGAGTTGCTGTGTGGGATGTTTTCGTATGCGTTGAGAACTCTTTGGTCTACTTCGTATGGTGGGCAAGGCAGGTTCGCCGATAGTGTAGCTAACGCGTAGTTCAGGACAAGATATTCGTCATAAGGAGTGTGGCAGTTGTGACATGCAGGAAGTACAGGTGGAACCAAGCTGTAAGTTCGAAGACAGTGAATTAGTTCCAACGTTCAAGACGAAAGATGGACAACTTGACTCACCATGGGTTATTTTGTGCATACTGCTGCACAAAGTGGGGTACAGTGAGATTTTGATTGTGAGTTGGAAATTGATTTTGATTTTCGTTGCGCTGTTGCTGAGCATAGAACGGATCCTGCCCGACCATGTCGACAGTATTCGAACTGCCTGAAGCGACAAGGGTCTGATTCTGCACCCACTCGCGTGTTGTTGCCATGTCTGGGTATAGCCCACCTTCATCTTGATTATATGCCCCAGAATACCCAACTGGAGATTTGCCTGACCCGTAATATGACGGACTGACGGAGCGCGAGGAAAAATCCTTATCGTCGGTCTATAATGACAGGAGAAAGAATGTTAAACACTTGATAGCCTATGCACATGCGAGTAACAAACCCACCTCAAGAGGCGAAAGGCTCTCATTGTCGCGTATGCTGGCCTTTCGGTTGGACCACGAGATGTGCGGTGGGCATTCTATCAAGCCATGGCTCCTGCATCGTTCGCACAAATTTGGCACATCAGGAATTACTTTGCACTGCAACCAATATTTAATTAGAGACGGAGTCATAAACAAATGATGGACGTGGAGAAATACGGACCTTCCGCTTGCTGCTCGAACATGCACCGCAGGGCTTGCGGTTCCTGTCGATGCTCGGTTTTTTGCCGCTGCTGCGCGAGGGGCTTGTAGTTCCAGCAGCATGTGGAGATGAAGTAGCCACCGATTCAACGTGTGTCGAGCCAGAGCTAACCATGCTCTGCGGAGAGGCAGCACGAGGTGCCGCGTGGGGGAGTGGTGCATATACATCCGAGGTAACTTCTACATTGGGAGTTGGGCTTGGATGCGTACTTTGCGGTGTGCTCCCGAAACAGGACTGCCAGTCAGACGTGGGTGGTGTTTGGTAGAAGTCGAAAGAGGGAGATGAAGTGGCGGAGAGCGGGGGTGGTACAGAGGAGGAATCTCGGGCCTCGACGAGGAAGGCTCGAGGGTCTGAGAGGGAATGCGAACGGCCGTGCATGCGGAGGGTGGAGGATGATTGTCCCGAGCTACTGCCAGAGTGTGTCGCTTGCATTGTCGCGGTAGTGGTCACTGCGAGAGGATCACGAGTTGACGCAAGCAACGGCCGTCTCTAAGAGACGAGTCAGTACACAGATGACGACACGAGAATCGACGGGTCACGATGAGTAGTCAGTGTTTCTGCAGCCTCGTAATATAGGCCGGAGCCTGCACAGGCAGAGATGGTCGCGGATGAAAAGGTGGAATGCTGTCCGCAGACCATCTCCGAGCAGGCCGACTAGGGCTTCTAAAGATCAACTCGGACAAGACGTAGTTGTATTACTATTAGTCTGTCGATCCGAGGTCGAACCCTGAGTAGCCCCTGAATCTCGCTGAAGTCGCTTGATTCGCACGGACGTATAGGTAAATTGAGTTTAAAATCGATCAAATCTCGGTATGTATTCAGCGTGTAGCGAGCGAAGTGCGAGAAGTATACCAAGTGTTTCGCTCTCGAAGCGGTACTTGCACTAGATTTTCGGGTACTCCGGATCCAGTTTTACAGAGAGCTGAGAAGGACAGGCCAAGCCTTGTCAGATAAAGGCGCGCATTGTGTGCGCTCCGCAGCAGCGAAGTGCGAGTCTGTGCACACTCTCGTGATCGCGTCCCTTTGAACTCTCAGGTAAACCGATGCATTCGGTGTTCCCGGTCAAATGCAACCAAAAACGAGCAAGAAAGACGAGGCGCTGTCAGTGAAATCTCCGAGTTGTGCATAAAAGCACACTGCCCCCACCGTGTTATACGGGCGTGGGCTTGCACAGCAGTGACTGACGACACGATGGCGGTCTATTCTTGAGTGAGGCTATGCGCAATTCCGAAAAGGTAATCGCGCGTGCTGATCTTTGATCCGCCATCATGCCGAACTCACACGACTTTGGGTTGAAGAATAAAAAGATCATAAAACCTCATCAAACCCATCTATGTCGTCTAATCAGAATGTCGAAGGTGGAAATCACACTGCCCTACATAGCCGAAGTGAAGTGAACAGACGGGGAAGGGACTAGAGAAAAATGATATCACTTCAGAAGACGATGGCAGGGGTTATGTCAATGATGTGCAGAGCCTTGCGAGTCTCAGTTTGGAGTCCCTTCATCTTGGTTCCATACTTTCCAGATCGTCCACATCTGGTCGAGGATGAAGCGGAACAGGGAACCACTAATGTGCCTGCCTCGAGGCTCACACGTCCCGCTTCCCTTCTTTGTCTCACTGTCCTCTTCCTCTTTACCCTCAATATTAATAATGAACAGGCATCCAGATGAAATTAATTAATTGACGGAAGAGAATAGAAGGGTATAGGCCAATATTAATATCTTCGAGTACCACGTGTACCAATAGAATAAACGCCGCTGCTCCTGTCTTCTAGGCGTCTGATCTTCGTGGCTAAACGCGTGTTTGTGAAACTAGGGATGAATGAAAAGAGGAGGGCGGGATGACGGCGAAATATCTTCAATTCAAGCGGGCACGCGTCGGCATATCAGAAGCGCGCCCGGCAGGCCCAGGGACCTTAGCAGTGACAACACCATTGATTCGAAGACTAGCACACCGAACGTCGTGGATTTCAGTTCTAGTATTCCCGAACAATTCATTAATAGAAACTGTCCTTCGATGACTCTTATTCAAATGAAAGGGGCTGAAATGATTGTCGTAATATGTCTTGGCTTCTGGAAAACAGCAACCATGGAGCAAATTTATCGTCTCAGTGGGACAGCAGAACAAAATCAACTTACACATCAGTGTTCCGCTTCCCAGACAGATCCGCATGAACTCTAATCTGAAGGTACAATACGGTATACATATCGATTATTGATTCTTAAATTTAAATGCTCAAAACTCCGCTCAGATGAAACTTGAAACGAGACTTTGATTGAAAGCAAAGCAACATATCGAAGAAAGAACCGCGGAAGCGTGGAGCAAGTGATATGAAGTGTGAAGCTTTAGGAACAGAATTTCGTGGGCCTCAATCTCATTCGTAAAGACCACACGCGAGTTGAATTGAGGAAGATTGCCACCAAGGGTCTCTATCGACGTGATTTTGATACCGATCATCAGACAGCTCTCCCTGAGATAATTGACGCGCATAGGGCCTAGAGGATGCTAAATTTACTTGTGAATAGAAGACAACTATTGTTTCAAGCTCGGAGAGTTCTCAACCCTCTGATTTTCACGTTTAGGAGCTGCGGGTCCAAGGTACTCGTTTCGGCCAAGGTTACTTACCAACCGCCGTCGCAATGGCATCAAGCCATATCAACACAAGTAAAGCTATCTTGGCCATGGCGTTCCGCAAGCTACATTCCGAATCTGAGAAGCGGTGATATCACAAAAAGAATGAAGGCGCTGAGAAACGAGCACGGACATATAGTGTGCGATGTCGCCTCGATTTGATTCATGCAGAGACGAAGAGAGCAGCTACATGCATTCCAAGCCCGGAGGATGAACGGGATTTAAACCACCACCCCAAAATTCAAGGCCCAGGGTTCGGCGGTAAAATCAAGCGAAATAAGACTTAGGAACTTCTCAAGGAAAGTAATTGGCTCGAGATCTGAGAAGAAAGTAAGTGGCGGCAGAGCCCGAACGTTCACGTATATCATGTAGGTGACATGTTCTCGTAAACCCGATGCAGGGATGGATCGAGCGGGAGTGACAAACGATCCGACCAATTTCAATCTAAAAAACAGAAAGTCTCGAACACACATGTATCAGCACGAACAATAAGCATCGTACTAATGCGTATAGCCTAAATATAAATCACTCACGAAGTACTAGCATCCAGAGAAGTAATGGCCTTGCCTAGGAAACATGAAGGTCCAGTCTCTGTCGAATCATCCTTTAGATACCTCGTGGTACACATATTACTATCCCATCTTCCATTTTTTTCTGCTTCCTCGCGATTGAGGAGCGTAGTTAGTGAGCCGAGACGCTCACTTTAGCATTGTGAGTTGCGACTATCACGAAGCTAGGAACACCAAATTCGTTAACTTTTCGAAGGCATGAGTGGGGGAAGAAGCGCTCCGATATTCCGAGATCCGTTTCCGACTCGCTAGAAGCCGCTCCGCACAGATACGCTCCTGGCAACGAGCAGGCCGATCAGGTAGGAAGATAGAAGGGCCCTCCGTAAACTGTTTCCGAAGGAAGTCGAAGAAATGTCAGAAATTGAGCGGAGAATAAATCACAATGCACACATAGAAGGTTCAAAACCTAGTTCTGTTTGGTCAACAACGAGTACACTCAACAAACGAAACAAAGCTATGCATGACTATCTCTATTGCATTCATTCCTCCGAAGTTTCGCCTCAAAAGTTGACTTTGACCTACTAAGAAATGCGGTATTGCAAATCGGAAAGCTAACACGGGTTGGGCAAAATCGAGAGTAGGGAAGTAACCACGCGGGATATCGTAATAGCCTGAAACGAGTCCCCCTATCGTGCTTGTAATTGAAAAACCAAATGAGAAGTAAGAGGAGACCAACAACGCACCACGTGGCAGGGATACATACGATGCAAAACAAGATAAAATATGTGTCTCAGTTTGTTGAAACGGAGAGTTTTGCACATTTCATCTGTATTTTCCGTCCAAGTGTATTTCCAGATGATCATCATGAAGAGTATTTCGATATGACTCCGACTGATCTGCGGTAATGATCTACATTCTCAACGAAAACTGATAATAGCGGTAATCAATAATTGGTAGCAGTGCTGCTTATGCGAATAAACAAGTCGATACTTGTCAGTTATCATCGTACGCTCGCACTTGTTTTGCATTCCCTTTGCTTGGAAATCGATCGATTGGATTAAAGGGAGCAGATCAAGTAACAGCACCTTGTGTCATCCCAAAGTAATGGCTTTGTGAATGTACGTGTCCAAGCGTTTCTGAAGTCGGATTTACATTAGTGATAGATCAACCAAGGCTGTTCGAACGATTTATCCCATACATCAGCATATCCCTGTATGGCTTTGTGTCATGCGGAACAACTCAAGGACAACAACATCTCTTACGAGTGTGGATGGCAAGTATGGTCCAATGATGCACCCAAGGCTGTGTGAGTAAGCCTCTGTATGACTGTGATGTCCCAATTGCATTCTAAATAAACAGAAATCAAACCGATTTGATGGCTTTGGGCAGCTAGGCAAGATGCACACGCACTACCTTGCATTGTCAAGTTGGTTGATGCAGATGGTAAAAAGTACCGTACCGCTTGCGTCACTTTCGGGATTGCAAGATTTGATATAGCCCTCCGTACTCTTCGCGAGAGCAATTAGATGGCACCGATGCCGAAGCATAGGGCTTTATCCTGTATACGCCCGGAAATATGCTGTGAAAACGATGGAAGCGGAAAAATGCTGTGAGTACGCAGGTTGCCAGAGGAGAATCAGGGCGGCATTGATAAACCTCTTACGTGTATATCCTGGACGCTTGTATTTGCAAGTATGAATTTCATATGACCTGTAAAACATAAGTAATCGTCTCGAAAATGTATGACGGTCTGAGACTCCGAGGCGACCGAGTCTTTTGCGACCATTTGCTGTTTCATTGTCAAGGTTCATCAAGTTCCCAGTAAGATGGATTAGCCGATATGTAGCTTCCAATTTGCGAGCGCCAAGAGTGGAAGTGTCACGGATAAATTTGAGCAAAACGAAGAAAGGCAAATGCTCGATTAATCTATGAAACAAAATCAAATTTAAGTATTGGGACGAATGACAATCGTGAATGCATTTGAATAATCGAAACGGTACTCACCTGGTGAACGGGGAGTCGACCGAGATATTACTGTCCTTCCCAGAAGTTCGGGAATTCTTCGAGTATAGACAAGATAGTGAGGCAAGTCAAAGCGTAGTTCTGAATGATATATAATGATGTGAGACGAATACCGTCAGGAAGTAGACAAGATAGAGAAGGACCCAGAGGTAAGACGGGAGCTGAGACTAATCCCGACGGAGCAAATAGCGTTTTCACGAGTTCGCACGACAACAAACAGTACAATCTGATGACCGCGAAACCCTCCAAATAGTGGCTCCGTCGTTGCGAGCCGACATGTATGACGACTCTGAACAACATTTAATATTCCCTTGATGGCGTTCCTATTGAATTGCTCGAGATTGGCAGGTACCATTTCATGCCCGTTACGGAAGAATGAAACATATGAACTCAGCGAACATTGCCTTCTCTCCTTTCACGGACAACGCCGATGAGCGCCTGGAAGCTCTCAGAATAAGGTACGAACAAGAGGGTGAGCAAAGAAGAGGCCAGTGGCGAATGTGGAGATGAAACTGCAATGTAGAGCGGTCATGGTTACGGCGAGCGCCGTCTTCTCTCCGCAGCGTCTTCTCTTGACTTCTGACAGCCATGTCGACCAGCAAACACTTGAGCGACAATGACGGCTACACGCCGTGATCTGCTCACCGGTAATAACGGAGGCAGCGACGATGACAAGGCCAATGTTCAATTATGGTACTGGACAAGATGGAGGAGAATGGGTGAAGAGACCCTGGGCTAGGCACGGATGTATTTCGGCCATGTCATCTCGTCCCGCCCCGGTCCTCCCTTGTCAGCGTCATCTTCAACGTCCTTAACAATGTTTCTGCGCAACATTCACACATTGTCTGCATCGCTCAGACATAACCCGTGGCGAGGCCGACGATTTTCTACTATCGATGTCGATCGAGATAGGATTTCTGTCTCGGCACTGAATGCCACATTCCCGTTCGTCTGGCTGCGCGATTCGTGCCAGTGTCCGTTATGTGTACATCCATCGACGCGCCAGAAATTGCACCGATCCTCCGACTTTGCTCAGGGAATTACGCCAGCGGAGGCATTGGCTGTTGACGGTGGACTACGTGTTTCTTGGGCTCCCCCGGGCTCAGATACGAAACACGTATCGTTCTATCCCACCTCGTTCTTAGAGCGACATGCATCGTCCGCATCCCTCGCTAAATTTCATCGAGATATCAATCCTGAGCCATGGACTGCCGCCAAATTTGCGTCTCATACGACCATTCCATACTCCGAGCTCGAGAATCCTCAAGTACTCCTGGAATTACTCAGACAGCTCAGAAGAGACGGACTCGTATTCTTAACAGATGTCCCGTCGGACGAAACATCTGATGCCGACTGTGAGCTTCGCAAATTAGCGAACAGGATTAGCGTCATAAGAAAGACGTTCTATGGTGAGACTTGGGACGTGAGGAACGTTCGAAATAGCAAGAACATCGCTTATACGAATTTGGACTTGGGACTACACATGGATTTATTGTAGGTTTTCGATCGTATTTTTCACGCAATAATTCCAGAGTTCAACTGATACTTGCGCATATAGGTACTTCAAGGAGCCTCCTCGGTACCAGATTCTGCACTCCCTTCGGAACTGCGTTCGTGGCGGCCAGTCTCTTTTCGTCGACGCTTTGTATGCCGCTCAGCGCCTTCAAGCATCGTCTCCAGTTGCTTTCACTGAACTTGTGAACACTCCAGTACCATTCCATTATGTGAATGATGGCCATCATCTACATCACTCGCACCCTACGATTCAGCTTTCCCCCTTGTTTCTCTCGTCCTCACAAACACGAAGCGATATAAATTACGCTGGGGCAATGATGGAAATAACAAGCATAAATTACTCTCCTCCTTTTCAAGCTCCTCTTCCTGTCAATACACTGCCGTCGTTCTACAAGTCCCTTGCAGATTTTACACGGTTCTTAGAGGATCCTGATGCATGTGTAACGCGTCTCCTAAGGGAGGGTGACGCAGTGGTATTCGACAATCGCCGAGTCTTACACGGCCGAGCATCTTTTGAAGACATCGTCCAAGATAGCAGTAAGGGGGCCAGAGAGGGGGAGACGAGCAGGTGGTTGAAAGGGTGTTATCTTGAAGAGGATCCTGTACTAGATCGGATGTGTATTTTAAGCTCGGAATTAGACAAGTAAGATATTGACATTTTAATCATTGCGCGGAGTTCTGACATGCTTTTAGATGATAATTGAGATTTTTCATGTGACAAAGAAAATAGATGCGCATTTCACCTTTCCCGTTCGCCGAGTAAGTCACGCTTTGCATGGGAGTATTTCTATGTGTTATTTCAACAGGGAAGAGTTGAGGTTATCATCAAATCAATACGCATTTAGTCAGATGAGCAAGACAAATACAAGTGCGGATGGTCCTTATTTTTTCAGGCTTCCTCACAAGAGTACCTGAGGATGCAAAAAATTAGGCAAGTCACAACCAATTTTTTCAGAGGATTAGAAATGCATTAGACAGAAAGGTGGTAATTCAATCAAATCTCGTGTACGCTGAATTTAATGGCATGCTAGGTATGTGCTACAGGCATTTCACCTAAAATGAACGGACTGGCGAAAGAATGTACATCAATATTATGCCGCGTCAGCTGGTCTCTCTGCGCCCCTTTCGTGTCTATCTTCGTTCCCAGGCTGTCCTTCATTTTCATCCACATGCATGCTGTTTTCTGGGTCTCCTCCATCTTCTCCACCTTCCATCTCTTCGAGCTCCGGGAACGGTGGGAGCTCATCCTCTCCGGCCTGGTAGAGCACAGCAAGTAGCTCTCGATGAGTCTCGACTACTCTCGCATAGGGATACACGGAGTCATCTTCGGCTGCCTCCAATATCAGGTTCTCGATGCCGCACTCATGAAGCCTGGGTGCTACTGACTCTGTGACCTTCATGCAATACATAATTGCCACCTCCGTCATCTGTAACACACCTTCGGGTGTGTCCTTTGCACGGCTTTTGAGGAAGTTCACCAAGCTGTCCACTTCGAATCCCTCGCAGACACCCATGTTGAATATCTGGAGGTTTGGAAGGAGACTCGAATTCCATTCTGGATCCGTGCAGGTGAGAGCATGGAATATACTGTCGTGTATTTCACAGTGGTTGAGCGTAAGGTGAACGAGGTTCGGGAGATGTGCGAAACACCGGAGGTATTGTACGTCAACGGAACTGAAATCGCCGAGCGAGACGCGCTCGATGGGTGCCTTGGACGCCTCGAGGAAATCGTGCAACCCGGTCCAAGGCCGTTGCGGTACCATCGGAGTACCGCGCAAACCAAGTTTGGTAAGCTTGGGGGCAGATATGCAACGAAGCAAGTTGTCGATATCTGCAGGGAAGACCCAGGAAAGGAAGAGTAATTCGAGGTTTTCCAACACTATGCATCTCTCGGGGGGCGTCCAATCTTGCCGCTCGAATCGTGTGAGGTCCAAGATGCAGTTCTTCAGCTTCGGCATATTTTGCATAAGCTGGAAGGCCGTCTCCTGACAGATCTCCCCGCCGCGATGTAAGTCAAGAAGCTCGATGTGCGTGAGCTGATTTTGTAGCTGGACGGAGCTGATGTTTGCTGCGCACCCACAGATGGCAAGGGATCGGAGCGCATCTCGCTGGGGCCCAACGTCCAATTTGTTCGTCAGCATGTCAATTTCGCTGTCTTCCATTCCCTCAGTTGCAATCTTATCTCCCAGCATCCCGCAGTAGTACACATGTTCGGCATTCACCATCTCAGATACTCCTACCTCTTCCATGAGGAACTCAGGGAAGACGCCTCGGAATCTTAACATCCTTGCTCGATGCGGTTTGAGGAATTCTAGCACTTTCTTTAGGAATTCATGCAGTTCATTCAGTGTGTCTGGATCTGGGAAGACCATAACATCTTCATTGAACAAGCTGATATCTATATCGAGCGGCGCCTCTCCAGATTTTTCCACCCAAAGCTTCACAAGTTCCCAAGCATTCTTCGGAAGCTCTTGCCAATCAGGAATAAGGATAGTCGCCCATATACGTGGTGTGTCGAAGGCGATCGCACGCCAGGACCGGCATACTTGCGTAAGCGAGAGTGGAGGTTTGGACGATGAGAGGCTTGGTTTGTCAGGGAGAGTATGTTCGAAGATGAGACCGATGAGCTCAGCGGGGAGACACTTGAATATTGAATCATCCATATATATTTTCAGCCTTCAATTCCTTTCACTTCCACCAATTCCGTTCTTTCTTCGTAGCGCTTATCCCCTTCCTCTTCTTTCGAGGTCACGCGTGGAAAGGAATGGCACGTAGTCGGGGCGTCGGTGGGGTATTGTTGACGGACGAGTGTACGTATCCCGGCGAAAGGGGATCCTTCCCGAGGCATTGCACGCGGTACTCTCTCATATGGGCTCACGGCGCATACTCATCTCATCTAAACTAGCAAAGATACGGGCAGGCATGCAAATTCTGTCACCTGCCGTGCGAACAATGCACTATATGAATGACCAACGCTCGTGATCCAGCTCACTTTGTTCAGCAGTTGAGATGAAGTCTGTGGCAGCATTGTGAAGGGTTTCGTAAGAGCTGTGGTCGCTTTTGATTGGTTCCAAGGTCCGAGGGAACAAGGGTTCGACGTTGACAATGGAAAACAGAGGAAACTAAATTAAGGTGCAAAGTCCGGCGTATTCGGGAAGAGGTTTGTTCGAAACGAGCATCAGTTGAGGTGGAGAGCTTTGCATGTGTAGATGCTGAGTCATTTCGAGCGAGCAAAATTCTAGTGTGCTAGTCTGGTCGTCGCTGGTAATTAGGAAACATACTCTCATGTATTAGGCTTAGTCGATACCGTTAGATGGTATTTTTGGTTATTGAATCACGCGGAGAGAACACGTATGATATTTATAAAGAAATAAACGATGCAAATTATGTACAATGCTGTGTCTAGAACGTACATACATGATTAGTTCAGCTGTATGACCGCCAGGACTGTGAATGAAAATGTGTGCATGAGAATGAAAAGCAATAGATTATTAAGAAAGACAGGATGAGAGAGCGAAAGCCAAATCAAAAGCAGTTTCAAGCGCACATCATTGAGAATCATCGTAGTATCAGACTCAAGAAGACCTGGATCTTCAAGGAGTGATCCAAGCACGGGGAATGCAGCTAGTCATCTGGGTGAGTTCCTCGGGGTTCGATTTACGCGGACAATGACATTCTCAATTCCCGAGTTCTCAATATCCTTCCGATGCGATTCCATTATCCTTCTGCAAAAAGACAATCGAATCCCGCGCAATCGCCTCGCACGGACTTGACGGCCCTTTCCGCGTGTATAAAGCATGGCAACCAAGTCCTTCACTTCGAAATCGTCGCAAGCCTCGAGCGAGAGGAACTCGAGCATCGGGAGGACGTTGTGCATTACAGGAAGTCGAGGGTCAAGACGAAGTGTCCTGACAAAATTGCTATCAACGGAGCAGTGGCTGAGAGAGAGGTTCGTGAGTGTTGGAACTAGCCTGAGACAGTCAATGAGTTGGATATCTGTGAAGCCAATTTCCTTGATTGAGAGCTGTGTCAGAGCGGGTCGGCTGCGTTTCAGGAAGCGTCGGAGGTGAGTCCATTGGCGTCGGGTTGGTGGCGGGCCTCGGAGCCCGAGACGTCGGAGATTGGGTGTATGTAGGACATCGAGAATAGGGCCAACGTCAACTAACCAATCCCATGAGATGAACAAGAACGAGAGATTAGGCATGCTAACTTCTGGGTGCAAGATCTCTCTGTTGAAGTCTCCTTGAGCCACATCCAGAGTACACGATTCCAGCCAGGTCAGATCTCGCAAAAGCTTGAGACACGTTGCGATAGACATTTGTCCTTCCCCTTGTAGTTGCCATAGATCCAGGTGCTGAATAGTTTTGAGTGAAGAGAATGCTTTGGTATCAAAGAAAGTTTGTCTGAGAGACAAGCACCGCAGCGTATCAGGGACCTTGAAAGTCTGTGGCGCGACATGCGTCTGGCCAGCAATACTATCCGAGATGTCACAGATAAACAAGTCATCAAGGTTGGACATATGTTCCAACCGCAGATCGTTTAGAAGAAAACGGGGAAATACGCGAAGGAGCTTTGTTATCCTATGCGCATGTGGGGCTAGTATCCGTACTACTTCTTGTACGGCAAGTACATGTTCCACGGATATTTTCCAGGGTTGGTAATCGCTGGCTAGATGAAAGTCCACTGATATTGGGCGGGATCTAGACCGCTCTAGCCATACTTTGCAGAGCTCCACGTCTCCTGGGGAGAGCCCTTCAACGGGGGAAGGGAGGTATATAGTATCCCAAAGTGCTGACTGTGTCGTCGCACATTCTCGCCACCAACTGCACACATGCGTTAAGACTAATGGACTCTCCATGGCTTTGAATGATGGGACGGGTGGCAGGGTCCACAAGAAGATTTCGTTGAGTAATTCGGATGGGAGCTTGCGCATAGCACATGCTCCAGAAGGAGTAATATCCGGCTCCACCCTTTCGTCGCCGAAATCCGTATCCATAAGTTTTCGCTTCCTCTTCCACTGACTTGTATGACACGCCGGTACCACGGCTGGAATGATCACCGATCGGTGAAGGCTACGACACGCACGAGTCGCCACGGTGGAAGAAAGTATGTTTGGCAAACGTAGGGTGCGTTATATCTATGCAGGACTGAACGAGGGAGGAAGAGGGAAGCAAAGCTGGGGAGGGCGTCCTTCCTCCCATCTTTGCGGAGAGTTTTGGCAATAGTCGCAGGACGCAAACATGCGAACGACAGAACCCCGTGGCGAGCCGACCACAACCGGGCGAGCGGGTCATCATAGAAAACTGTATCTCAGCTCACCTCTCATTCAAGGTTGCCACATTTTGGCTTTCAGAGATAATTTGTCGCAGCTGGCAACATCTAGAGAGCAGAAGAAGTGTAGATGTTCAGCTGAGTCTGGGGGAGCATGCAGATTTTTTCCGCCGCAAAGTAAGAAATTTCAAGGATAGTCAATGTCTAATCTATCCTTCCGTCTTCCGAACTGGAGCGAGGAACAATTCCACGACATCCCTAAATGATAAGCTAGCTTTCCCCCGAAGTCATTTGATACGAAGCTATAAAAATTAGAAAATTATAACCTTTTAAACTCGTTGTAGAAATCCGGTTACATAAGCAATGCCTTGAAAACCTCATCAGTCGAAATGAAGGTAAAATTGCCGTCTTCAATTAGCGCATCAGGTTCAAAGTGGAGCTGTTCATGTGCAAAGTGGAGCTTCTCAAATGCGTATCTAGCTTCCAACTGTCTTAAGTCAACGAATGAGGAAAAGCTCACAATCACGGTTGCCTTTCACGTTGATATCGACAACCGACCGAAATACGACATCAAATATCAGAACTCGTTTGTCATAGAAGTAGCTATACAAGAGTCACTTACAGGAGTATTTAACATTGTCAAGAGTAAGAAAGAATCACGAACTTGACGAAGGAGGAGCTACTAATAAACCCACGATAGGACTGTGGTAGTGAGACGCGCACACGTGATCTGAAATCACGAGACGTGACGGTCGTTTCGGAGTGTGGATGCAATTGTTCTCACTTCCCATCCACTGAATCCCGAGGGCACAGTTGGTCGTTGTTATTGCCATGGATAACTGGACAGCAGACTCGAGCAAAGCATTGAATCTTTCGCTGGGCAAGTCAAATCGCGTCTGCTATGATGATTAGCTACTAATCGAACCTACAGTTCGTGCATCGCTGGACAACGAAGTCCTGACGAGCGACGAGTCATACGAGGAATTTCACCCTACATTTACGTATCCAGTACAGCCTCTCAAGTTTCTGCAATATTGCGGCAGTAGTCTCACTCAAATAACAGATATATGGTGATGACGAGAAGATATATGGATACCGGGACTTGGTTATTGATGTGAGGCCTCCTACATATACTGCCCGTTGTGACCCTTGACAAGAAACAGCTTAGATTCGCGTCTGGTTCCCTTGTGCCATATTTGAACACAAACTTCTCGGCAAAGCTACAATCAACTTCAACAGTGGATGATGTAGAAGGCACTCTACAACAGTTCATTTCTCCTGGCTAGGATCCCATGCATTGCGTGTCTAGCACGACGAATCTAACATAATCCATGTCTAGATTACCTTAAAGACGAAGAGGAGTTCCTAGCACGCGTCGAAAAGGATTCAATGGAATTCAAGCCTCTTGGCGAAAAGATATTCTCATACAAGAGAAGCCCTTCATCTTCCAAAGGAAAGAAGAAAGCTTTCGATTTTGGTGAAGATCTAGATGAGACAAGTGACGACGTCGTCGTTTTCGAAGCATATCATGTACGCTCTCCTGTTCCGAGTGCCTACTCTATCCCTTAATATTATTTTAAAGGCTACTTGGGATACACTAGGCTTCCGGGAATATCATCGCCGGATGCAAATCTTCATCTTGCTATATATTGAAGCAGGCTCGTTCATCAAGGAAGATGAAGAGGGATGGGAGTTTGTCGTTCTGTGAGTGTGAATATATTTCAGTGGCTTCAATGGCTATTGAGCCACTATTGCTAGATATGAGAAGCGAAGGCGACGGGACGGGACGCATACATACCATTTCGTTGGCTATTCCTCCCTTTTCCCGTTTTTCTGCTTTCCAGATAGAGTGAGGATGCGACTTAGGTAAATAGTATGTCCTATTATATTATCATCAATTGACGTTCGTCCAAAGCCAGTTCGTCATCGTTCCGCCTTTTCAGCACGCCGGACATGGCTGTGAGTATTCTATAAGCCCTTCTATATTGTCACAAGGCTAATGAGGCTGCAGCTGCCTTGTATACTGCCATATACCAATACGTCCTCGGCCAATCCCGTATTGCAGAACTGACTGTCGAAGACCCAGCAGAAGCCTTTGAAGACTTACGAGATCGAAATGACCTGCATATGCTCCTTGGACTCGAGCCCTTTATCACTGAGGCTCTGGGAGGTCCCCGAGAAAGTGGGCTGGTAAGGGGTAAAGCAAGACTCGGTCCACCTGTAGAGAAAGGATGGGCGGAGAAGTGGAGACAAGATTTGAAGATCGCTGGGGTATGTTAGCTATCAGCTTTCCACATAACCCTAGTATATTAAACTCATGTTCTTTGTCGTTCAGCGTCAATTCCACCGCCTAATTGAAATGCTCATCCTCAAGCATATTGATCTATCTGATTCCAAAGCTGTCCGTGCTTACAGATTGCAGGTCAAAGAGCGATTGTACAAGTTCAATTATGTGCGTGCGATTATTCATTGCATATTGAATTCGTTAGGTCTTATTAATGTACTCTCTCCTTTGCAGGAAATCTTGGCTCAATTAGAAAATAAATCAGACAGATTGGAGAAGCTCGAGGAAACGTTCCAGAGCGTCAGGGAAGATTATCGGAGAATATTGGCTATGATTTAATACATCTGTGTTGTGTTGGTTCTACAATCATGTTATCTGATACTTGTACACATTGCGATATTCAAGGCTATCTGACGGATTGACGAAGGGAAACAACGAAAACAAGTGCTAAAAGCACTGGTACGAATTGTCATTCTTTGACGATTCGTTTGATTACGAACAATCCATGCCTGATGTATGTGTCAGCAAGTTTCCGGCAAAAGAAAAACATTCAGCAGTAGCGCACCATCTACTTCACTTGCGGGTCCAGACGACGTGTCCAAAAGCAACTCCACTTCTTCAAGCTCCCACGACTCTGAGTCGTCGTTCATTTCTTCTACCTCCTTTGCCAGTTCATCCGCTTCAACCTCCGAGAGACGTACACTACCAGCCCTCAAGAATCCCTCGGTGGTTTCAAGATCAAGATCTTTCTCTCTAGTGTTTCTCTCAGGCAGATCGCGAGGCTCTTCTTCGTCTTCTACACGCATACACTCACAGATCTTGCGTAATGCGAATTCGGAAGATCCATCGGCCAGGACTTGCATTGCCTTTTCTGCTACGAGGCCTTTCGCGAGCGGCTTGTTTGCTGCGGTGATGGGTCCAGCTACGATGCGATCATGTATCAGCACGACTACGCCGTCTTTCCGGTTCACGCGTGGGTTGGTTTGGGTCCTCCTATACAACAGATTGTGAGACACGCGTCAACACCCCGCATTGAGGACTTACTGGAATTTCGCCCTCATGCAACCCGACTTTGCGACCCATTGCAACAGTCTTGAGACGGGATCGTAAGGAATGTCAGGATGAAGTAACACCAAGACATCCTTCATCAACTCCTCGATAATCGGCGCCGTAATCGTGTAATCAAATCCACTGTCCACAAACACTGCGCCAATAACGCTCTCAAATATATCTCCCAGAACTTTCGGTGGGTCATATCTCCAATCGTTCAAGGATACATCCTCGTATGAAGCGGCGGAGAGTATCTCAACTTCCTTTGCCACGTCCTCTGACAATTCCACACAGTTAGCTAGCAGATATTTATGCAATGAAAGCCGATTCACTGCAAGTGCAGCTAGTGTGGTATTGCAAATGGCTCGGGCACGTGCCCATGACATTTGACCTGAGTTGGCCCCAGGAAACTTGTTATAGAGGTATGTCGTTACGACAAGTTCAATGACAGCTAGTATCAATAAAATAACAGATTAAGTAAATGCTTGATACTTTCAAATATAATCACCTACCATCACCTAGAAATTCTAGCCGTTGGTAACATGGATAGTTCTCCAGAAAGTCGAATGATGGATGCTTGACTGCCTCAACTAAGAGTTTTCCATTGCGAAAGGTATACTGTAAATCTTCCTGTAGCTTTCCGAAAAGGGCTGCCGGAGGCACAAATTCAGTTAACGGATATCGCTCTGGCCATGGAGTGGGGCCACCAAAGCAAAGACCTAATGCAGTGCCTGTTTGAAGGGCGAAGTTAAGTCCACCTGCTACGTATGCCGCGCCGAGTGAAGCCTCCATACAATCCTGTAGACTTCGACGAGGAAAGGTTCTGTGAGCGAGAGCTATTTCTTCCGAGCCTATCTTGCAGGTTCCGAGACTTGTAACAGATGATCGCTCGAACCGCCAAGTTCGCATGCTCCGGTTCTCGCTAGTCAAGAAGCGCTCTAGGTGTACTTCTTTCGCGCGGGCTAAGAGAAGGCGGTTGGAAACGCTGTTCTCCTTCAGAGCGGTCAATTGGCCTTCATGTCTGTTCGGGAATGCATTGAATATGTATACGACGACTGACAGCTTGAGGACGCTGTCACCCATAGTTTCCAGCCGCTGATTGTTAAATCCAGCCATCGCGGAAGGAAGAGTTAGAGCCTCGACAATCAAGTTATCTGGAATCGGAGGATACTTGAGAAAATTCCGAGCCACCCTTGCACGGAAAACATCGCAAACACGCTGGCAAGCAGATGCGAACACCTGAAAGGCTTCGACAATATCCATATGGAAAAGAGCTCGTCTACAGTACGATTCTGGGAGAAGGAACGTTGCCATTGACTGTTGCGTATCATACGCGTCTTGTTGCGGTCTGGAAACGCGGAAGTTGTAACCTGATGAAGGATAACGCGGCATTTCCGATACTTCAACAATACGTCCTGATGCCGTTGCTACGATGCGGACATGCTCTGTCTTCTTGTACTTGAATGAGTATTTTGCCTCGAAGTACGCTGCATATGTGTCGAATGATCCCTCGATAGTTGTAGGAGAAGGCTTTGTATCCACAGATAAATCAGGTCGAAATCGTATGAAACGGAGGACTCGACCGACTCTCCTAGAATTCATGAGCATGACCTTGCCTTCATCATTGTCCTTAACGTCACTCCAATCGTAGGTTCCGATCTCGTTGGTTACCGCCCTCTCTATCGCGGACCAATCAATATTCCCCTGTTGGTCAAGTGGAACTAGGAAGCAAGCAACAGGAGAAGTGACTGGGCTGCCCGTAACACGCCACCATATTCCCATCCTCGTGAATTTTTCTAGCAGATCCAGCTGGACCAAAGTTAGGTCGAAAGGTAATACCGACGCTTGGGAGTGGACCTGAACGTATTTTCCCCGTGTCACCAGGTCAACTTCAGGGAGAGATCTTCCGCAAACCAAGCCAGCGTGGAATTTATCGTTGATACGGAGAACATGCAAATGCCATGGTGGACCAGTGCTCCACGGACTCGCAACAAGTACATCCATCATGACGCCCACAGCATTAACCTTCGCAATGGGCCGCCCATCTGCATCCTCGATGCTCATGCCCTTCCGGGATTTGATCGGCGAAAGATAATCGTCAAAAATTCCCAAGGTATGTAGCATGCGCATTGCTATGAAGGCGACAGCACGTTTAGCTTCTTTCTTCGACCGTTTCGGCGGACCATTGTACAGAAGCTGGTCGCTAGTTAGAGGCAGCGCTCGGGGAAGGTGCAAGGTTGCCGTGAACTCTGTCTTGTCTGCAGACTCTATAATATACTTTGGCTGCAGAGATCGCGTGTACGAATCTCCAGGTATTAGCGAGCAGAAGTGGCTGAGTAACGAGATGGCAGAGCTATAGGTCAGAGTGGCACCAGTTGAAGGTATTGTATAGGTTTCGCGAGAGGCAAGGTCCAAAGGATCGACGTAATCATTATCCAGCTCGTCACCATTGTCCAGTTCGCCCGATGATCCACCAGCATTCATCGTCTGATATACAATCCTCAGTTCGGGTTCGGCGTTGCGCAACCCCTTGTAACGAGCAATCTCCTGTGCATCGTTCTCCGCAGCCATTACCACGTAAGTCGAATTTTGCTGGCGTGCGCGACCTCGAGACTGGACATAGCCAACCATGTGCTTGACTGAGTCATAGCGGATGACAAGTGCACAAGCCTAACCGGGAACCATAGCATAAAATTCAACAATCAAAAGCACGCTAGTTGATGAGAAGACCTACGGGAAAATCGAGGCCTTCCTCTCCGACGTCAGTAGCGATCACTTTGAGAACATTAGCATCCGTCTCGAGTGGAAGCTAGTTATATGACCTTACTTACAGAGATTGAGGTTTCCAGACCTGAACGATTGCACAATATCCCGTTGCCTCTTTATATCCATCCCTTTGCCTGATGAACTACTCTTCGAGCTCTCTCCATGTCCGATCAATTCTCCACAACGAAGCCAGGTTTTCGTCTCCAATACGCGGCCGAGGATCCATGACAGCGCCTTCGCGACCTGCCTTTGGTTGACGAAGATGATACCTTGAAATGATTCTGAACGGTGTTTAACTAGAATATCAACAGCTGCTCGGAGTTTTGGCGAAAGCCATTCAGGTGGTAAAGTTCGACCATCTGATAGTAAACGCCTGCGAAACGATAACACAGCAGAGCGTAGCTTCTCAAGCCCAATAGCAAGTTCGTTGTCATCATTTCTCCCGGAGTCTGAAATCGTGTCGGATGTAAATGATGCTTTCTTCCTAGACCGCGAAGATATTTCGGGCATCATTGCGCGTAACTCGTACTCCTCCACAGCGTGTATTGCATGTTTCAATAGAAAATAATCCGCCCCTGCTGGTCCAACTGCGTTAAGCGTGACCTTGTAGCGAACTTCCGCATCCCTGATCGCCAATATCGGGCTAATAACTTGCTCGTCTGAATGAAGATAGTCCCAGAGTGACGGCTTGTAATAAGTATCATAATGTTCATCGCTTGGGTTTTGATACCTCACAATGAGCTGGGAATGTCAGGGCGCATATAGTGAGAGTTTGAGGCAGAGGACATACTTCTATAGGTCTATTGACATGCTGGTCGAGCAGATCCATGTGTTGGCGTACAGCGATTACTTTTGAACATAAATTATTCTGCAGAGTCTCTATTGATTCTAAAGGCTTTTCCCGATTCCAAATTGGCGAGGCCGTCATTCCGAAAATCTTGGGCTTCCATTCACTTGAGCGATAGTGGTCCACCATTATTGCATTATATGGGTGGTATTTCCGAGCGTGATGGCATTCATCAAAAATCAAAAGAGCAACCTTAATAAGATGTAATCAGTAATATGTAGAACTGCGGCAGGTGCCTGACACTCACCTGATCGAGACTCCAGTATCCGTGTACAAGGATGTTTTTGAAAATCTGGGCTACATCAACTTGGAATGCAGACCTTTCAAGCGTAAGTCAAACTTGTTGTACCTGTCATAACGAGGCAATCTGATTGCAAGAACTCCAGCTCCCATCGGCCCTTGTCCCAGGCATCAACACCCATCGCACCGACATAGCCTCGGACAATGAGTGGAGTTTGCTTAGACAGGACGTCGCGTTGCTGATCCACGAGCGGGACCTTTGGAACCAAGAAAACTGTCTTCTTTCCGGCTTGAGATGGCTGCGACATGACCCATTTGATGAGAAGTGCTGCGATGAAGGTCTTGCCACTGCCCGTGTCTAGTGCTGCAATGACATTGCCATTCTGCGCTTGTTCAAAGATCTCTTCCTGGTAAGCGCGAGGAACGAGACTAAGTGCTTCTTCGACGCTGGACATGAGGAAGGAGGAAAGAGAGATTCTCGATGTCCTGAAAGCGTGGCAGCAAGGTGCATTGTCATTTAATGATGAGCGCCAAAAGTAAGTTTAGACATGAAGCATCACTTCACGCGGCACGCGTCTGTCCGCCGAGCGCTTAGGCCTCTTACTCCATCTGCTACGCTGCGCAGTGCACAACTTGCTGCGATCTCCTCCGTATGCCTTCACCACAGTCGAGCACACTATAAAAAGTCAGGCGGAAAGCGCCTGAGGTTACTTTTAGTCTCCTTCACCTATTACTATGGCCATCAATCCGGACGAAGATACAGAATTGTGAGTGTGAAGCATTGTGCTAATACTGATTTCACTTCTGACGCTCAAGGCAGTAATGATGCACTTCGAAAACATGGGATTCTACCTCCTAAGCCAGAAGCACCACGTACCCCATCTCCGCCACCATCTCCAACGCTAGAGGAACTATTAGAAGACTATGAACCTGATCAGCTGCGCGAACGAGCCGACGAAGCTCGGGACGATGATGAAGCTCGTGCCATCGAGGCTTACCGACGGCAGCGAATAGCAGAAATGCAGCAGGAGCAGAGGCGAGCACGATTTGGACGCGTATATCCAATAGGGAGGGACGATTATACGCGGGAGGTCACCGAAGCAAGCAAGATTGACGAAGAGGGTGACGACATGGTAGGCAAAGGAACCGGTGTAATATGTTTTCTGTATAAGGATGGGTAAAGATCTCCCTATTTTCTCTCTTGCCGCCGCTAAGCTCTTCATCTTTAGTCATTTACCTAGTGAGCGTGCTTTCAATCATATCCGAACACTTGCAACCCGCCACCCTCGGACAAAATTTGTCTCAATTGTCGGAGACAAATGCATACCCAACTATCCTGATCGCCATCTCCCAACTGTCTTCATATATCGGAAAGGTGAAATTGTAAACCAGCAAGTGGCCTGGGGAGCCGATAGGGAGCGAACTCTTGAGGGTACGAGTACTGCCTTCAGTCCAGGGAAATCCCATCTCATTATGATAATAGAGCTGGAATCTCTACTCATTGCTTGCGGAGCCATCATCCCAACAGACCTGCCACAGCCCAAGCAGAAAGCCGCTGCAGATGATGAAGAAGAGGATTTATCGGACGATGGAATGTTAGCTCGATCAGCCGCGGCGAAGGTCAACGGACCTACACCAAAGAATATCAGAGGTCCACCCCGCAAAGATGACGAATCTGATTCCGATTTCGATTTATGAAAGTGGCCCGACGTTGTACCTTTTGCAAATTCACATTAAATCATATTTATGATGATGGACTTCAATGTGCATTGAAGACATCAGTATTTCACATTTCCTGTGGCGCACCTCCCGCCAGATCTGCTTTGGAGATGCTTCACACTCTACTATCGCTATGACCTTAACTCGGCCAAAGTATCAGTCACCTTCCGTGAACAGCATTGGATTTAGTAGCGTATAGGAGGTTGTCAACTGCATACAATTCTGGGGCGGGCCGCTGCTGGTATTACTAGGGCCCTTGTTGCGTCGTCACATCAGGCATCTAAACTACTCAATCTTATGCTTGGAATCATTGTCTTTACTGCCGGGCGACGTGGTGACATCCGGGCTAGAAAAGCGTTCTTCATTTTGTGTTCCGATTGTTGATCACGGCCATGACGTAAAACCGACAGTAGATACCATCTCAACACCAGAGATGTACACTGAAGGCGCATACATTTATCTGCGGGGTTTCGAACGGATATCACCTTTGATTTTCGATTCGCGTTTTCATTCTTATCTCCGATCTTCTGCTGCTCGGGAGAGTGTAAAGTAGGTGTATCATTTTTCTTCAACAGAAGCAAGTTTGCTCTTCTGAAGTTCTATCATGAGTTCCTTCATCTGCGATCTTATCTCGTCTGTGTAAACGGGTATCAGTCAGAATACGACGAAAATGACATGAAGGAGAAAACTGTCTGCCTTTGAAGTAAATCTTATGGTGTAAGATTTACCGTCTAGTGTTTGACAGACGTTGTTGCGTCTTCCGGGTAATTAAGCTTATCAATCAACCTACTGTATGTTCTTTGCTTAGGCCCAAGTGTTAGTAGTATTGATGGGAAGGTGCACTGCAGATGGGGACTGTTATCTGTTGATGAATGCGTGGAGCTTGTGGTATGTGCCGTGCTATTCAACAATCCAATGTAGGAGAGATGCAGCACCATAAGGATCTGCAAGCTCGTATCTCGAGCGCATGAATGTCGTGGTCATCGGATGCACCGCTAGTCTACAGCACCGGTATTGCGGCACATATTAATACTGAGATACAGCTATGTGGAAAAAGTGTTCGTCTTTCCTGAAAAGGTAGACAGATTAGTAAGTGATTTTCGTCGATTTATTAGGCAGTTAGAGACGCGTCAAGCCACAAGACAAAGGCTTGACGCGTCTCTAACTG